AGCCGGTATTTGCAGGGTATCAAAAAAGGGATGTTCTTGATTAAGCCTTCTTTGGTATAATGTTACGCAGAATTCGAACTATTTTCAAGGAATTTTAGTAATTTTAAAATAAAAAAAATTTACCTATAGTTTATAAATCTCTTAAAAATGTGTTTTAAAATGGTATTTTGAAGCAAGAAAATCAAAATTTCAAATGTTCAAAGTTTTCTAAGGTAATCCAGGATATCTTTCAGACTCTAGAGCATCCTTAATTCGAATATTTCCTCGAAATTTCTTGCCTCGCTGCTGCTGCTGCTGATGATGACGATGCTAAAGATTGCAATCACGTTGCGCGCAGCGTACAGAATTTGTATCTGCAAGATACATCTGCGTTGCCTCGACTCCCTGCTCCCTGAATTTAATTTCACTGGAATTTATTTAGAACACATTGTTGCCGCTGCTGCTGTCGATGTGGCTCGGGGGCTTAGCAGGACCAGCAGCAGCCGCAACAGCAGTAGCAACACAGCAGCAACACAGCAGCAACATGCGGCATTCCAAGGCCCAAAAAAGGCAAATCCCAAGCTACAGCAGCGGCGCAAAATCGATTGGCAGCCTGAAATTTCATTGCAGTTTAGTCGGATTCCCACTGCACCACCTCTCTGCTTTTCCCGAGCTAACATATCGAATAAATTGAATCGAATCGAATCGAATCGAATGAGATGCCAAAGAGTCTCGGTGCCGACTGGAAATGGAGTGAAAGTAGGGTAGGCAGATTAGACTCTGTCGCAGCGACTCTCCGGATTGGATCTGTGACTCCGACTTGGAGATCGATATACACTGGGGCGAAAATGTGGCTATAACGGGGCTAAAAAAGTGTGAAAAAAAGAAATCCTAAGATTTGATTTTAATTTTTTTGTAAGGCTTAAATAAGTTCATATATTTTCAAATATTTTCAAATAAATATAACCAACTATTTCTTCAAGTGCAGCAAACATTCCAAACTTCCCATAACAACAACAACGACAAAAAATCTCCAACGACCAGCCAAAAGGTCAAAGTTGAGATTCTGTTCCAAGCCAACAGTCTCGCGTCAGGGAAAATCAACACAAACTTTGGTATGACGCTCATTCAGGTGACCAGCACTCCCCCACCACCACACCCCCAACACTCACACAGGTATTTACAACAACAACGATCCAACGATCCGAATAGGAAGTGAGTTAGTGTAACAAAAGTCATAAAAATACCTGGGGACGGCCGAAGGAATGATGATGATGATGATGGGCAAAGCACGAAGTGGCAGCCGGAGCTGGGTTGGGTTTGTTGGGTTTCGGGGGCGGAGGTGACTCTCCATTAACATTATCGTGGCCAGAACAGAAATATTTGGCCATAATAAAAAGAATACGAAACAAAGCGAATCGAATCGAGCAGCGAATTGAAACGGAAACACAAATTGTCAACTCATGGAAGCTCTAGATACACTTGATCGGGAATGATAAGGTATGGGTTAGGGATTAAACAAAGGGAAATATTATATAATATAATATTACCAATAATAAAGGTATTTGTAAGGAGTTTATAGTTAAAATTCCTTCTCAGAATGATTGAAAATTTCATAAGAAATTTAATTAATTGATAATGTCTTGAAATACTTTATAATAAAAATCAGTTTTGGTAAACAATTATCATCAGTATTAATTTATTTATTTATTTTGTAATTACCACAGTTAATATTTTGCTGTGGATTCTCGCTAAATTTCAACTTGGGAATTATTAGAATGCAATTTAAAATAAAAAGTGTGCATTTGACATAAAAAGAAACCATTTTTATATAAACAAACAATTTAAAACCTTTTTATATAGTTTTATATACCCCTTTAAAAGAAATTCCCACACTCCCTAGACTCTTCTCCCGTGCCAAAGCATCCCAGAAAGCGTAACTTCCCTATTCTCCATATAGGGTAAGAAAGTATGCGACAATCGGCGATATCGACGAGCGATCGACAGCAATGAAGCGTAACGAAAACACAGCAGCAACAAAAAAAAAAGCAAAAGCAACAAAAGCAAAGCAAAAGCACACACCAACTACTGAGAGCTGGAGACCCGCGTCATATGCCAACTTATTCAATAAATTCCAGGCCTCATCGCCAGCGACTTTTGGCCAAAACCGAAAAAAGCCCGAGGAATTTTGAATAGAAAGAGGATCAATGGCAGCTGCTGCTCTCGCACAAAAAAACAAAAAAAAAAAAACAAAATGAAACCCACAAAAGAAAAAAAAGACAGCCCAGAATTGCGCGCCAATTCTGCAAAAGAGATTCTGGGGACCCGGAGACTGGAGACTGAGGCCGACTTCAAGGAATTGCATAAAAAATTCTTGGCTCTTTCTTCTGTTTTTTTTCCCCCCCCATTTTTTTGTTCGCTCTTCGCGCTGTTGCTGCTGCTGCTGCTGCTGCGGTCGAATCTTCGGCCTCGACCAGGCTCCAGCTCACAGCTACAGGTACAGATACAGATACAGATACAGATACGCGTACCACACAATGTTGACCAAGAACGTAGCGCCCAAAAGGCAGCTTACAGCCACAACAACAACCGGTCTTAGAGAACAGCGATCCAGCCAGCGATCGGCCGAAGACGAAAGAATAACGAACGGAGAGCGAACGAAAAAAAATAAAAATAAACTAAAATAAAAAGAATACCCATAAACAAGAATGAAAAGCTGCGGCTCCAAGAAGTCGAAGATACAGCTACTCTAAGGCATTCTACCGGCTTTAGTCAGGTTGATCAGCCCCCAAAGATAGTGCAGAATTACTATGCAAGATCTTGGGAGATTTCCACAAAGGATATTAGCTTGGCTGAGCTTTGGGGTTACTATTTTGTTTTATGATTAAATAAAAGTGGGATTTTCTTGAGGTACTTTAATTAAGATTTGCATAGTTCTATGTAACATTAGTTATAGTTTTTGATTTTATAATCAAATTAAAAAAAAAAACAAATAAAATTGTTCTAAAAATGCTGATGCATTTGTAAGTTCAAGGGTAGATTTAAAAATAACCTTCTAATAATTCATTTTTATAATAGAACATTATATCATATCAAAATTAAAATATAGATCTTCGATCTTAAATATTAACACAAGAAAAGCATAGTAAACTTTAATAAATTCCAGATTTTAAAAGCCTGTAAAGGGATAATTTAATATTTCCTAAAAAATGGCATTATATTTGTGAATATATCTTTCTAAAAATTCTCAGCACAGCATACACTGTATACTTGTTCAATTCTAAAGTAATAATATTGGTAATACGATGATTTAGCAAATTATTAAAAATGCAATAAGTTATAGTTTATTGTTAATCACTTGAAATAGTGTATAAAAAAAACACACAAAAAAGACGCAAAGTACACTCGAAGAAATCGTAGGCTGAGCCGAGAGTTCTCATCGTGGGGCGTGTGTATGCTGCCGCATATTTGAGGCAGCAGCAGCAGCCGAAGCAGAATCAGAAGAAGGAGAAGGCGAAGGCAAAGCCAGAAGAAGGAAGAGGAGGGAGCCGCGAGAGTAAAAAGGAAAACAAAACTCACGAAAAAAATAAAAAGAATCCAGCAAATCAAGCTCACATAGGAATGCAATGCGCCCAAGTGACGATATCGTAGCAGCAGAGGACGTCGACGTTGGCAGCGCAGCGACTGCGGCGGAGGCAGAGCCGCTCTTACAAATGGCCAGCAGCAGCAGCAGCCTCCCCACTCCCCCCACCACTTATATTTCCTTTGGCCGTTTCTATCTGGGATTTCGTCCGGAGAGTTTATTTTTAAGATAGCCGGCCATAAAAGACGATGGGGATCCTAAAAGTTTGATTTGAATTCTGCAATTTTTCAATGGCTTTACGATCCACAATATTTGTTTATATTTATTGCAATTTGTGAACTTTGTTCGAAAGTGATAAGCGGTAGACTTTTGGATAGCCGATACAATGGTTAAATCAGTGCAAAAATTACGACTTAACATAATTTATTTGAATATAAATAATGTTAATAAGCAGCTACAAAGTGGATAGAATGCTCAAGAAATCTTATCTTTTTTTTATAATATTATTTAACCCCTTTATTACCTGGCTGAAAGACCTAACCTTAACTTCATTTCACATTGTAATTTAAAGTAAAACTCCTTTGCTTTTCTTCCTGAAAGGGTTCCACATTCCAGGGGCTCTCCTTCCACTTTTTCAGTCATCTCCTCCTCTGAGGCCCCTGCTCCATCTCACCAGATAAGCCATTGGAATGCCACTCACACTCGGGCACACCTCACACATAGATACATCATACACACTCTGACAATGCAGTTGTTGGCTACTGGGATTCTCCTTTGAAGTTTGTTTTTCTTTTATTGCTATTTACATTATTTTCTTGGTGTTTTTTTTTTTTTGTTGCTGCTGTTGGATTTGTTTACTACCGAATGTTTTAATTTAAGATTTCTTTTGTGTTGTAACTTTTTTAATTTAATTTTTATACAAAAAAATATTAAAATTGGAATTTATTTTATTGGAAATTATGCTAAAATTGGCTTAGTGAATTTTCTTGATTTTAAAATTCTACCAATTTAACAGAACTATGTTATAAGTTGTTTTTTAGCAGCAGTGGTTTACTCTCTTCTTGGTGCTCTCTCTTTCTGTTCCCTTACATGTTCCAATTCCACTTTGTTTCGCCAGTTACTGCGATCGCCAAGAGAGAGAGAGAACGAGCACCGCTCCGGCTAACAGAAATTTCTGTTACGTTCACTCTCCAACTAACAGATCTGCTAATCGGAATTCATGCCGCTATGATTGGTTTTATTTTAAATATATAAAAAAAATCCTTAAATTATAACATATAATACAATAATTACATATTCATTATCAAACGTAATATAAAAAAAAAAATCAATTTTTAGTACAGAAATATTTTAAAAGATACAAAAATAATTTGGCCTGCAGAAGTATCTACAGCTTTGCTAACAGACTGTTACGGAGAGGCTATAAAAGTGAGTGCCAGCCGAAATCGGAACGGAACACAAGATTTAAGATACAAAAAACGAAGTCGGTTGTGCGCGCGGAACTTCATTCCGGTTATTTTTCGTCGACTCAACAAGTATCTTTCACTCGATCGCGCGGTGAAAATACATGGCATGCGGTTTCGGTAGACCAATATATTGAATATTTCGTGGATTCGTTGGATTTTTGCCTCGATTTCTTCTCGGCTCCAAGTCCCCGCGCTGTATCTCACGCACACACGCTTGCCCCGAGCATAAACACGGATACAGCTGCACAGACACAGTAGATCACAGTGGAGTTCGGTTGGAAAACAAAATATTATAAAAAAAAACGGCGACAAGGAAAACAGCGCGTTTTGATTTTGGAAACGGTCTCAGATTCATTGCATTCGCTTAAATTACAGTTCTGAGCCGCGTGTGAGTGTGTGCGAAAGGTGATTTTTGTTGGTGTGTGTAACGCGTGCGTGTGTGTGCTGCTGCTGCTGCTGCTTGGGAAAACGCGAGAAAATAACTCCGACTAACTGCAAAAACTACGGCCAGCGTTGAAAAAAAAACCCACTGAAATCAACTCAAAAAAACAACTCCAAAAAGTTGGCGCTGGTCAAACCAACAACAAAAAAGAGCGAAGAAAAAAAAAAAGAAAAAATCGAGCTACAACAACTGGCTGCGGCAACTACAACAAATCAAACGGCAACAAAAGCAACAACAACTAAACCCAGCAAACGGCATTCTTTCGCGCAACAACAACGGCTCCAAAACGAGAGACGGAGAGAGAGAGAGAGCAAACACACACAGATACACACACACACACACAACCCAATATCGCTCGCTCTCGCGTGTGTATGCGTGAATTTTGATTAAAAAAAACGTGCTCTCCCGCTCCCACACTGACCCCCCCAACCCCCACACACACCCTCGTTTCATCGTGCGACGCTGGAATGCGGCCCGTTCGCTGTTGACTGCGCAGTCGCAGCGCGCGTCGCGAAGAGGTCAGAAAACAACAACGAAAACAACAAAAATACATACCAAACACAAGCAGCGCCAACGAAATTTTTACTGTTAGGCATTTATCGATAGCCAATCGATAGATTTTGTTTTAAAGAGTGCAGAAAGAAAGAAAGAAAGCAGCTACAAATTCAACTTGAAAACTCTATTTTTGTGGATTACGCGAAACAGCAGCAGCAGCAACAACAACAATGCCGACAACTGCAGCGGCTGCCTAAGGTGAGAAAGGAAATATATATGAATATATTTATAAGTATTAGTAAAGATTGTAGGGTTCCATTTCCCTGGAATTTTAATGACGAACTCATAAATGAAGAAAAAAAAGAAAAAAACTGCAAACAAAACAAATGCCAAGCGAATTTCTTATCTGCCAGCCATAAAATCGCCAACGTCCAACGATTGTTTAACTTTTCGTTGTTGTCGCCACATTTTTTCTTTTTTTTTCTTTTTTATTTTCTTTGTTTTTGTTTTTTACCTTTTCTCCAATTTTTTCTCGTTTATTTTTTGGTTTTGCTATCCACAAAAAAAGAGTAAAAAATCCAGCGAATTGTGCAATTAACCCATTTCAAAGCATGGAATATCAAATATCTTTCGGATTTTGCACTTTTCGGGGGGTATTTGGAGGTCTTAAGATAATAAATATTAGGTTCCGAAAGAACTTTATCTTCAATTGATGTGAAATGAGAATATTTCTAGTAAGCTAAACCTATAGCCAATATAGTTTCCTATAGATTAAACTTGGCTTATTGACAACAAATATTAAAACAAAACAAATATAGTGGTCATAGTGTTTTCAAAATATTAGAAAAGTTAAGAAAAATAATTCAAATCACTTGCTTATCATTTTTAAATTCCGTTTCGTAACTTTTCCATGCTCTCTCCATCAAAGTTAAGGGTATTTGAACTTCGAGACTGTTTCCAAAGATCTTTTAGCATTCCCTGCATAGAATTTCATGCCCCGTTGAACCGAAATCCTAAATCCTAATTCCCAACTGGGTTAGATCGCCGGGTTCTGTCGGATTCCTATGGGTTCTAGTGGGTTAAGTGCTCTCGCTTATCGGGGCAACGGGCAGGTGGGTGTTTAAGCTGTTGTCTGAAAACGATCGACAGCGGAACAATTAAGTGGAAATTGTAGCCACCACCGATCACCAAATAGGGGATGGGCTCGTTCCTGCTCTTGTTTGTCCCGGGTCTGGGATTTCAATCGATGATCCGGGGAAATGGGGGAACTGTGGAGAACAATAACTGAAATCAGAGCCCGACGACAATCAGACATCTCGAATGTAAATCAGCTGCGAAAGATAAACAAACGAGTGGAAACACACGCTTTGAGTGGTTAACGTTAAACGCTAATCGTTAAACGATTTTGCCACCAGGCGATATAGCCATACAGACATACCTATATGTAGTTAATTGTCGGTGGGTAACTGTATCTGCGGACAGGCGTATCTGTATCTCGCCCCGTACACATGTATCCCCACTGGTTTTGCAGTTGTATCTTGTGGTTTGCGATTGAGCACTGACATCTCCATCTGTAGATCGCACTTGACCTCAGCCGGGCCGAGGGCTTTGCATTGAAAAAAAAACTGACAACTCTGACAACGGCGATGATAATAACTACTTGAAATAATAATTTCGTAAACCGAAATTCCTGCACGCATCGAATATGCGTAAAAACACAAACACACTCTCGCACTCGACAAGTGTGTTGTTTCGAACAATTCAAGCAATTAAAATGTACAACAAATTAAACAAATTTTGAATGACAATCGAGTCGAGGCTGAGAGATAGAGATATAGCGACTTGGCGTGGCTCAGCCGACGAGTTCATTGAGTTTGGGGATAGACTAATGAGTGACCTTTAAGAGGGTATAAGAGTCCCCCCGGAACATTAAAGCTACATAAGACTTTGAAGGGGAATATAGCTAAGTATTTCTTCATCGATTGATCGCAAGAAATATGGCAGCTATAAAGTTTAAACAACTATTAAATAAATCAATGGCCTGGTCTTTTAAGCGATCTAGGCTTGTGATATGCCCGATTTTTATTATTCCAACTGGTTTTCATGGTCAGCCCCAAAATAGAACACCTAAAATAAGCACAACAACAGAGATCCTTTTTAATATTCAGGGTAATAAAGTTGCTGAAATTTAAATTTCTTATGAAAGCTGATCTCTGGGTTGGAATTAAGCGGTTTCTATCTTAATTTTCTTTTTTTTTTTAGAAGTTTTTTAAATGGTATTTCTTTAAAATCGAACTTCCTGCTTTCTTATTAAAAGAAAACCCTCTTTTCTGATACCTGTAATTTTTCCTAGGGTATTACGGCAGACATAGTTTCGCACGCCTTCGATTCGGCATGCGACACACGTTGTGGCTGCCAGGTTTGTATTTTTTTTTTTGTTTCTTGCTGTTTGGCTGCTCTCATTGCGGAGGCCATCGGCTCCTCCGCGCTGCTCCACCTTTGCCCAGGTGTGGCTTGGTGCGGTGCAAAGTGGTGGTGCCAAGCCAAGCGACGACGACGACGACGTGTGCGCTGGTTTCTACTGCCTGGGCTGGCCTGGCCCACTCCGCCCTGGCATGGTTGCTCATCACCATTGCTATTATCGGCGGAGCGTCATTATCGTGATCGCAGGGGGGGACATTTCGCGCATTTCAAAGACACCAAAATGTTGTGTGTGTGAGAGTGTGCGTGTGTTTGTGTTTGGCCATAACTGGCACAACAAGTGGAATTTCGTGGAGTTGGGAATTTGGTATTCGGTATTCGGCATTTGCCGCTGTTTGGTTTTGTTTCTCTGTCGCTTTTCTGCTCGTCTCTGTGTCTCATTTCTGTTTTCTCCTTTTCATATATATTTTTGTCGGCATTTGGCAAGAAAACGCCAAGTTATTTGCCGATTTGATGGCTCATAAGGGGCATAGTAAACACCTTACTTTACTACTACTACTTACTTAATAATATTGGTTACAGGTTGTTTACTCGAAGGTTTTATAATTTATTAAAATATATTTCAGAAATGAGACCCTTATTTTAAGTTTAATTAATGTTCATTTAACATTAATGTAGTGAAAATTGTCTTAAATATTGTAATAATAAACGTTTCTAATCATTTTACTTTAATTTTTTATTACAAAATCTAAAAATATTACTTTTATTGAGTTTTCAAAATTCCTTATCTAAAAGAGAATAATTTTAAGTCTATAAACCACCAAATTTTGTTTACAAACTCGACTAAAACTCATTTGCGTGACGAATGCCACACCCCTTACGGGAATGACACTTGCTGGGCACCGGCTCTGTTCCCAATGACGCGCATCCGCCGCATTGGCCAGCGTGTGAAAATGCCACCAAACCGAACCGATCAAATACGTACCGAGTCTGAACTGAACTGAACTAAACTAAACTATTTCAGGCCGCCCCATTGACGCCAGCTAGCCGTTCGTATCGGTAATTAAAAGGCCCAGACGCACGTAGAACTAAACCCGCTCCGGTTATTCAGTCCATTCCGGTCTCGCCAAGCCAAGCCAGGCCAACTCATGAGCAAAATATTCCACGTCAAAAGCTACCGCTTTGCCGATCGTCATTCATTAAGTCCGTTGTTGAAGCTCTGAGAACGAGCGAAACACTTTCAATAGAATGCGCGAATCCAGTTTGAGAGCAAAGCAACTCGGTGCTAGAGCACTCAGGTTAGACCACTACAAGATCATAGTTGGTCAGAGAGGAAGAATCTCTTAGAGAAGAATCTCTGGGTGGAGAATCTAGGGAAGATGTGTGGGTTCTCTGAGGCTTTTGCTGGAAGCTGAGAGGTAGATAGGGTTGGATCGAGAGGGCTTATGGTAATTAGTTTTGATATAAATTAAAGGTATAGTTAGATTTTGGAAAGCATTATAGCTTTCTTAAAATAGTATGTAATTTCTTTATATATTTTTGATGTCGTGTCTATAAATATAGTTTTCAAATTACATTATTTATACAGACTCTGGATTACAATACAAGTCAGCAAATTATATAGACTGTGCTGCCTCCCTAACCATTAACCTAAGCATTGATTATATTGTTATGCGCAAAAAAGTGTCTCCTACATCATTATATAATTTGTATATCAAAGCTAAGAATAGACTATCTATACTCTTTATTCAACATTTATATAATATCTTTTAGATACATTCCAGACATCTTTTGAACTTTAAAATAATTTATTCTGCAAAATGTATCAGTTAATTTTAATCTTTATCTGCCGCCTCTGCTGGGTCTATCCCACGTTCAGATCATCTTGGATTCGATTAAATTCGATTCAATACTATTTCGCATTCCACGCTGCTCGATTTTACGATCATTTACGCTGCCTTGTTTATTGATCTGATCAATGCGCGCGCACTCGCATTCCTCGCTGAAATCCATATGGATATTTCCAATTTCTGATTCCGTTTCTGATTCGATCAGCATTTCAATGGGCCAGCCAGCAGCTAGCACACGCGGTTAAAGCGTTTATCGTGGTCTCCGTCTCCGTCTCCGTCTCGGCTCTAGGTCTCGATTCCATTGGGTTACTACCCGCCGCCATATCCGCCATTCTTGGCACCCCGCTTGTATCCAAGATCCAATCGATCGCCGTTCGACTTTGGCGATTGCTGGGTTGACTCGAACTCGGTTGACAAACACACGCCCCGAATGAGCTCAGTGCAATGGCATGTGCAGTTGACATAGTCGTTGGTGACAAGAGGGGTGGCAGTGGGGCGGGGAGTTCACGGGGAGAAAAATATGCGGGGTTATAGATATGGGGTTTCTACAGATGGTTTAAAATTTGATCAAAGTCTATTGTTACACAAAGATTTCTTTAATAATATTTAAAAAGTCTATTTAAAACCATTTTTAATATAAACACTGCTTAAAAAGCTAAGAAATTCACCCCCTTTCCCACTTTTCCCAAAGTTTCCTCAGTTTGACTTTTGAAATTCCTCATTTTTTTATGATTGCACCTCGGAAACAGTTGGAAGTTGTTGGGAAGTGCCTGAACTTTTCGCAGTGTTTGCTGTTTGAATTGCTGTCGCAGCACAACGTGGCGTATGCGCAACGTCTCTGTTTCTGTTTCTGTTGCTGTTACTGTTTCTGTATCGCCGTCTCTGTCCCTGACTCCGACTGAGCTGCTTCCCCCCAATGTGGGGTTGAAGGAGGAGGGGGGCAAGCATTCGCTTAGCTGGCAGAAAAGCATTCACTGCCTGGCGCTTGCGCCATTTAATTGACTTTGGTCGTCGTCGGCGTCGTCGTCGCGGCAGAGCCCGTGGGATTTTATTGCCTCCGCTGTCGCCTTCTCCTTCTCTTTCTCCGTCTGCATTCCAAACTCTCTCGAAAGCAACCCCCCCACCCAGCACCCTCGTTCCCCTCGTATTTGAGCTTATCATAAACAAAATACAAGTATTTATTGCCATTTGCTAATTGCTGATTAGCGTGTCTCCCCAAACAGCTCCACTTGGCTCGCTTCTTTGCCGGGTTTCTTTAGTTTTTTTTGTTGTGTTGCTTTTTAATTGCCACCCCTCTTGGCAGCCCCCTTGATCCGTGACTCCCCTCTTGCTCTGGCCTGTGTGTTGACTTTGATAATTAGCGTTGGCATGGCTTTCTTCGCTTCCCGCTCTCATTAGCCAACGGAATGCGGATAATTTGCTATGATTGAAATTGTTAAATGCTTTTAATTTGTTTGCATTTCAAATTAAAAAACAGCACCGGCAGCTCTACTCTTGACTCATCCAACCATCCTCTCCTCCAGCTTCGAGATTTCATAAAAAGTCGTGATCGCAACTGGCAGACTCTACTACTGGGGGATGGCAAATATGTATTTTTTAGCTTTTTGGCATTGCCTTTTTGTTTGTCTGTATATACATATATATATTGCATAATGACCGGCATTGTGAGCTGTTGGAATTCGTTGGAAATACGAGCAGGGGAGCTGGCTTTCTTCGCGAGGCTTTAAAGATACATTTGTATCTTAGCTGGAAATGTCGCCCGTTTCGATCCATCTTGCTCCCACTTCCGGAGAAATCTGTGCATAATCGAACAGCAATCTACATCTGCCAAGAACTCATTTCGCTTAAACGTTCTCTTCTCTCTCTCTCTCATTAAGGCCAGGTTGGTACGTTTCCTTGGGAATTCCCTCTGAGCAATCTGATGGCAATCTTCTAATTAGTTTCCTTTTATTGTTATCAGGCCATTTCCTTTTATGACTGATCTTCATTATAGTTTATTATGTTTAAGTGGAATAAACAGTTCCAGGGAAAGATTGATTATTGGTTGAGTCTGGAATATATTATTATCAGGTATTTATTTGTATAGCAAGCTCTGATTATGTTCTTATTAATTTCCTATTAGAAGGTGATTTCCTTTATTTTTACTTTGAATACTTACCAGGAATGTTTTATCTCTCAAATTCCCTTCCCTTTTACCCCAAATCACTCCATATCCCGGACTCTGAGTGATCACTTAATCCAGTTCCTCTTGAGACCTCAACAATGTTGTTATTTTTTGTGTTTCTCCGATAAATTCCTCGGTAATAAGTCAATCGCGAGACACATTAGAGTACGAGAGAGAGGGACTGAGAGGTACCTGGAATTCCGATTCTCGTTTCGTAACCAACAGTGATCTGGCATAAAGAGCCTGTTCTCCAGATCACCTTAGCCAGGTCCAAGGTGCGCATGGAAATCGGCTTAAAATATAATTGCTTTTCAAAAGCTTTTTTTGGAGGAGGGGAGAATCGGGGAGAGAAGAGTTTTGTTTGCCAGTATTCCCAGATATTCTTTGGTTTCTAATTTATGTCAAATGCGAGCTTTGATTGATGATCGCTTTTGGTAGGGAAGGCAAACGGAACGGGCGGAGAGGCATTCCTTGAATCGGTCTGATCATATATTTATAAGTCAGGGCGGTTCTCCAACTCTAAAGCCGTCGTCCCACTCCAACTATCTCGCCTGCAGATGTTTCTCTCTGTCTCTCCCTCTCTCTGTCTATCTCCCTGGCGACTCTCGATTCCCGAGTCTCGACTCCGGCTCTCGGACTTGACTCTGAATAAATTTATTGGACGTTGAAATTTATTAGACACAGAAAATGCGCCAATATTGAAATTTATGCGTCTCCATCGGGCTGAAGTTAGAAACCGTAGTCGCTGGCGCTCGGCTCTATACACAAAAAGTTGATTTGATTCGATTTGATTTTAATTTATGCATAAAATACTTTTCTTTCATCACGGCGGGCCCGGTTTCGGTCTCTCTCTCTCTCTATCTCTCTGAGTCTGTCTTGGAACTTTCTTTAACTGAATTTTAATAATTTTATGCGCAACGCATCGAGAGGGGGAGGCCTGGCTGCCACGCACGCACCGCCTCAAGTCTTTGGCTATTTAGTTTTTTAAGACCAAGACCAAGTTGGAGTCCCCAGTCCGAGTGCGAGTGCGAGTCCCCTGGCCGCTAATCAAGTTTGTCGCCTAAGTCTTTCGTTATTGATTGGTGAAATTGTTCGGCAGTCGGTTTGGGCCCAAAAGAGGCGGGCGCCACCGCTTCTTCGCTCCAGCGTCCGTCTGGGGCGGCTCCAGCGGCATCAATTTGCCTGAAAAAAAAACAAAAACAACACCAGAGAAAAAAAATATATAAAAGAATGGTGCCTAACCGAGCCGATCTTGCGGCAGCTTTATCGGCATTTGATGAGCCAGAAATGCGGTTAGAAATGACGCTTCGAAGCCTGAACACTTGGGTTGTTGCTGGCTTTTTAGCTCGTATCACCGGAATGCGATGAAATTTCATCGCCGGAATGGTTTATCGCCGGAATGGTGATGGTATATCACAATCGTAAAAATTTGGAGCGCTTCGAAAACCAATTTTCATATCATGTGTCCAATAGATGAGTTTTAGGCTGTGATTAACCATCGATAGAAAGTCGTAGTTTACACTGGTAAAATAAGGGGAGACTGGGAGTTTTTAGGAATTTATTAAGAGAATTTAAAAAGAGATTTAGAACTAGTATAAAGAAGCTGCTTTATGGGTATTTATCTTATTCAAGGTGAATATATTCAAAGAAGCTTGAATGTTACCTACATTTTTTATATTATAATATTATTAAATTCTTATAAATATAGCTATTATTTCGTACAGAATTATATAACAAAATTTTAAAATATTAAACTTGAAATTGCTCTTTACTTTTATAACTCTTTAATAGATACTTTAGGTATCCTGCAACTTCAAGAGTTTCTCTATAGATTTTTCTAGTACAAAATACTTCCTAAAACTCTCAGTTTCTTTACCATTAATTAACCCCTCGATATTCTTAAATATTAACCTATTTTCTCCTAATTTCTTTTCATCCCAAATAGCAACATATTTCAAACGCGCGCGCTGTATACGGAAAATGATGCAGCATGCGAGCATTTTGCACCGTCAGCGCGCCCCTGGAAGTATGCGCGTCCTCAGCCGAGCAACTATCACCAGGCTCGCGATTCCTGGCCCTGAGGTGAGTCTTTTATTAAACAATAATTTCTATAAATATTAATATTTTTTTGGAAATTTCTTAACAGACTTCTGGGGCAGCAGCAGCCGAAAACCCTGTACTTCCTAGTCGATGCCAAGAGCCGCGTTCGAGAGGTCTACACGCAGACATGTCTGCACTTTGCCACGCAAGGGATGCTGGACACCGAACTCTTCGGTCTGGCTGTGCTCATAGGTGAGTCCTAGGGAGTGGGAATTTCTCTGTGGGATAAGGTTACAGATGTGTCCAAATGAAGAGTAGCCAAAATGCCAGCGATAAGGCACGAAAAGTACAACTAATAAACATAAACCAGTCTTCTCTAAAAGCTGCTCATCATCATCATCAGCAGCAGCAGCAGCAGCAGCGAGGAGCAGTGAGAAGCAGGAGATTCAGCCTCCATCCTCCATTCTGGCCAAAGCGATCTGCCAAAACACATAAAAATACCAACACAGCAAAGCTACAGAAAAAAAACACCAAGAAAAAATGGCACATAAAACGAACAAAAAGCCAGGGAACGCGTCGCCTTCATGGCGAACAAACAATTTCAGGAATACAGAAGAGGGGCCTCGGCCTGGAGGAGCAGGAGGAGATGCAGGGCAGCAGGGAACAGACACAAGACGCGTGTTCAGTAATTCAGGTAGCCGTCGCGCGTTGCATTAACACAAACGAATCGAACGACAGCCAAGGAGGATGGCGGCGATTCGAGGCTGCCTTCGTAGCTGGAATTGGAGTTGGTGTTTCGGAGGATGGAGGATGGAGGCTGGAGCTTGAACTGAAACTCGGCAAAGAGGCGAGCAGACAGCGTCTTTGGCATTGGCTTGAGATATATATACGTATATATATGCGTTTTTCAAAGGCCCAATAACACACACACACACAAGTCCCGGGGAGAGCAAACGAGAAAGGAGCAAAGAATTTCATTTGATTTGAAGACGAAGTTCTATTACCCTAGAAAAAGAGTTTTTAAAAGGAAAAAGTTTGGTAATATAGTAAGAAACAAAATAAGAAAAGGTTTTTTAAGGCAGGTTTAAGTAAGGATTGCAAAAACTATGACTAGATATACTCGATGTTTTACACAATACACCATATTTTACGTGAAAGTCTATAAAAATCTATATTTTAACCCTGCTTCCTTTCTTGTTTGTTGTTCGTCTATACCCCTTATTTCATGTTACCATGGTTAGAGCAAGAGCCCAAGAACACAACACGTAAATTTTCGAATCTGGTTGGCATCAATTTCGTGGCAAGAGGCAGGCATTCAACGGGGGGCAAGCGGTGGTGAGGAGCGGCGAGGAAGTTGCCTCAACATCTTCAGCAAAGAATTTGGTATGCAGTTTGAAGTTGGAGTCTCGCTGCTGGAGCTGAAGCTGGAGCTGGAGCTCGAACTGAAGCTGAAGCTGAAGCTGCGGCTTTAACTGAATCTGAAGATGGGGTTGGGCATGCCAACGTCCTCGCTTGCCTCGAAGAAGGCGGACGATGAGGAGGTAGATGCTGTGGCACAAGCAGAGGAGGATTCCTCTGGCTCAACTATGAAATTGGCAGTTTGCATTCTGCTCTTGTGTGTGTTAGTGTTAGTGTTGGGGTTTGGTTTGGTTTGGGTTTTGTGGCCAAGGATTCCAGCCAATGTCAGTTGTTTTGGTGTGTTCTGTGTGTGTGCTTGAGTTGTGGCATGCGGTTGTGGCTGCAAGACCGCGTTTCTTGGTTCTCTAACAACCTTGTATCTTTCACTATAAAAACCCTGAATTTGTGTATTAGAAAGAAAGATAAATAGGGAAAATATGGAAAGAAATATTAAATATCAAATTATATATATTCCATTTTATTATTTAAATTCTTTCTCCTTAGCAAGTTTGTTGCCTGAATCTTTTGATTGTCTTCCCTTCTCAATACCCCAAAAAAAAACGAGTAAGAGCTGCCAAAATGATGTCCCTTCTTTGCTAAATGGAAATGAATTTCAATTTTATGGCCAGCCAGCGTCAATAAATTTCATCTTTATGCAAATTCGCTTTGCTCCTCGACAGAAGATGCATCTTTAAGTGGTGGCTCGGTCACTTGGATGGCCGCTGGCAATTTGGCAACATTGTCGTCGGCCATATCTCTCCTCCTCAAACTCATCCTCATCCTCAGCCTCATGGTGTTATTTTTAGGCTGTCGCATTGCTCGGATTCCTGTGCCGCATTCCGTACCCTTTGGGTACGTTCTCTCCGCCCCACAAAACTCTATCTCTCTTCGCTCCTTCTGGAGGGGGCCCCGCCCCCTTTGTAGCTGTAATCTGTAGACCAGCATTTTCTTTTCCATTTAATGTTAATGGCTCATAATCATTATTATATGGCGTTGGCCGGTCCTCGTCTTCGGTCTTCAGTCTTCAATCTTTGGACGACGACGGTCGGCCTTGCAGTCGAGCTGCCACATGCCCCGGCCCCGGCCCCGGCCCCAGCCCCTGATCCTCTCCTGCCTTGCCTCTTCGGGCTGCGTGCATCTGATAACATCGGAAATTAAAATTCTTTTGGTTTTATGTTGTTTCTTTTTTTTTTCGTCCGCTGGTTCGTTCTCTTTCAGCCAGTTTCGATGCACACACACACATATTAATCTTCGAGGCTGTCCATTCTTGGGGATATCCTATAAAAGAGTGTGTGTATAGGATCAAGGGTATGCTCGAAGTCGGGGGTTTTGAGGAGGTTTTCTGGGTGTGATTATGTTGAAATATATTTTGATATATTTTTTAATATAGCAACAAAGCAAATTCTGAAAGCAAAAACAACGTATACTTATAACTTTGTTATTAAATATAGTTTATTTTAATTTAAAACCTCCAAACTCCAAGGTACTTATTATTTTCCAATGTAAACTCTTAAAGATGCAATCTTCATCTTGTTGGACTTGGTTCTATATTATAATGTCGCAGTTTTCCATCTTTTCAACATCCTTAAGCCATCCTTAACCCACATTCCAGAGCATTCCCTCGTCGAGTTCTATCTTCACCTGACTTTATTCTTTACTTTTTTGTTTTGTTTTTGGTTATTATGGCCACTCAAACTCGGACTGAGACCTTTTGGAAAATAAATCTGAATCTGAAGAATGCCAGGCCATGGCATTGGGCGCAGCTGTCTCCGTGGCCAGACCCTGCTCTCCTCCTCCTCCTGCTCCTACTCCTCGCCAGTTATTATGCCTGCCCCTCAGCTCACCTGGCTCTCACCTCACCTGAACTCGAGCTGGAATTCCTCGGCTTGATGAGCCTTTGCCTGCTGCCTCTGCTTTGAGGCTGTAATTTGTGTTGCATGTGTTTCAAATTGAAGATTTATTTCGCTGCCCCTCAACCCTCGGTCTTGGGTCTTCGGTCCACAGTCCGCAGTCCGAAGTCCTCAGTCCCGTGTGCGTGCGTGTTAATTGTGAGCGCTGAGGAATGCGATGGAAAATATGTTAATTATTAGGTTTTTTTTTTATGCCGCGGGGGCGGGGATTGGTATTGGGATTGCGTGAGGATCCATCAGGGCAGGCAGTCGGAGACAGAGACTGGCTACCGCAGATCAGACCTCTCTGCTGGCCTTCACACCTGCCGTGTGCTGGCTCTTAGAACCAGGCAGTAGTAGGTTTTTCTTGGGCCAAAAGGAATGCCATTTTGGCCAGGAGTTGGGTGAAATTTGAATGCGAAAAGAAATCGCTTGGAGTTTCGGCCTGTGGAGCTCACTCGGAAACTGCGAACCAAAAACCAAACCGAACGACTTGGGTTTCAGCTGCCTCTTTTTTTTTTTGCCTCTCAGTGCTTACCTGTCTTTCTACCTGTTTCTTTTTTTTGTGTTTCTCCTCTTTCTCTCTGGCTCTTTTTTTTTATATATTTTTGTTGCTGCGTTTTGGGCTTGGTATGCAACACTCGCTCTCGCTCTGACTTGGTTTTTACACGATGAGAAAATGTGGGTGATTTTATAAAGAATTTAAGGGAATTTATTAATGGAATATGTATATTTTTTTAATGATATTTATGGATAGAAGTTTATTAAATTATTTTAACTATTATTTACTTATTTTTTTTAGAATTCAATTTATAAACTGAAAAGGAAGGTAGAGCTTAGCCTTAGCAACTTTGTTTATAAAGTCTCTTTTCTGTGCTATCTTATCTTAGTTTATCAACTATTTAACCCCCCATTTTTTCTCAGTGCCTCCAACTCGAATACCTATTCTTTCCTGGCCGTCCACTTGTTGCCACTTCCACTCCAGCTTCAGCTCCAGCTCCAGCTCCAACTCCGGTCCACGACGTCGTCATTGATAGGCACTTATTCGGCCGCTGATGATTATTATGATATTGTTGCTGCTGCTGCTGATGCTGCTGCTTCTGCTGGATGCTGTGGTGCCTCCATTCCATGCCCTCTCCTCTGCCCACCCCCCCCTTGACTTTTTTTCATAATTATTATTTTTCATCTTGCTGCTGCTCTTCATTTCGTATGCAGGAATTCCAATTTTTCGTTCGATGAAGTGTGTGTTGATTTCGTTGTTGTTGGTGTTTCACCCGACATGCCCTTGGGGGCCCTTCTTCTGCTGGATGGGGATCGGTTTTGGGATGGAAGCCCTGCCCCCGAACCCTGCTCTCTCTCCCTCTCTGACAGCCTGACGTGTCGTCATCATCATCATGATGATCGCGTCGTCGTCGTCTCAGGCTCTTGTCGATGTCAATGGGCTGCTTGTTTATTGCCTGACAAACTGACAGAGAAGTCTGGTCCCGGTACGAATGGGAGCCTGGCCCAGGCATAGCCGAAAGTTCATTTAAAATTTTGATTAGCGACCTTGGCGGCTGCGCGCCAAAAAGGGTTCCTGGCCTGGCAACCGGAAATTCGTTGGAATTTAACTTGACAACCGAGGAGATATTCAAGTTGACCAGTTTTTAGCTCAGGATTTGTCAATGGGTTTAGGGGGAATACTCCGCTTAATGAATAATTTTATAAATTTATGTATTGCTTAACTAAATTAACTTTTATTTTTCACAATTCCCTTGCAGATGGCGAGTACATGTTTGCAGATCCCGAGAGCAAGCTCTCCAAATACGGCCCGAAGAGCTGGCGATCCTCGCACACCCACGTGAGTAGCTCAACTCTACAAAGTCCCATCTGGTCACCCTGATTAACCCATGAATCCCTAACCCCACCAGGGCCTGGATGCCAATGGACGACCGCTCCTGGAGCTACACTTTCGCGTGCAGTTCTACATCGAGAGTCCGTTCATGCTGAAAGATGAGACCTCCCGCCACAACTACTACCTGCAGCTGCGCCACAACATCCTGCAGCGTGACCTGCCTCGGGAGCAGGCCGAGCAGGCTTTAGTCTTCCTGGCTGGATTGGCCCTTCAGGCCGATCTGGGTGATGCTCCGCCTGGAGCGGGCAACTCCAAGGATGACTCGGGTGAGGAGGCCTCACCTTCCGGCGGAAGAGGAGGAGGCTTGAGTGCCACCACCACTCTACCCAAGATCAGTAAGCGTGCCAATGAGCGGATGTTGAGGCTCTCCACCTACGTGGCTTCCACGTCGAAGAGGGAATCCATACCGCTGCCACCCAGCCTGCCCACAAGCGGAGCGGATTACTTTCGGATAGAGGATTACCTGCCCAGTGGTTTGCACACTCCCTGGGCGAGAAGTGCTTTGAGAGCATGCCATCGGGAGCACTTGGGCATGGCCACGCCGGAGGCCGAGCTGTTGTACATTCAGCAGGCTTGCAGTCTGCACGAGACCATCAATGCCCACACCTACCGGATGAGGCTGGCCAAGAGTGAGCAGGGATCGGGCAGTGCCTGGTTTGTGGTCTACGCCAAGGGCATTAAAATCCTCGGAGGAGAAGCCGTCAGCAGCAGCAGTTCGTCATCCTCCAGCCCGGAAGCCACTACCTTTCTTTGGCCAAACATAACCAAGCTATCGTTCGAGCGGAAAAAGTTTGAAATACGTTCCGGGGAGAGCAGGATCACCCTGTATGCGGCCTCCGATGAGAAGAACAAGCTCCTGCTGACCCTCTGCAAGGACACCCATCAGTGGAGCATGAAGCTGGCGGCCAGGCTTAAAGAGGTGTCTAAGCGGGAGGAGGAGGAAGCAGCCGAATCGCAGAGACTACATGCCAGCTATGCCTGCTCTCGAAGCCTCCTATTGCCCTACAAAAGCAAAAACGAGCAGCGCATCTCGGTGATCTCGAGCACCAGTTCCAATACCACCTCCGGCATTGTCAGCGATCGTGTTCACTCCGAGGATGAGCTGGAAATCATGATTAATACACCGCCGGCCCCTCTAGCAGCTCCTTCGACGGAAAGTCTAGCCCTGGCTCATCTCCTGGACCGGCCCAGTGTGAGCAGGCAAACCTCGAGCGTGGGTCAGATGTCCCTGAAGGATTTGGAGGAGCAGCTGGCTGCGTTGAGCGTGAGACCACCAGATGCCAACTCCAATGGGGCAGGATCCCTGGCAAACTCCTCGGTTCAGCGGAGCTCCTCGGGCACAGCGGCCAATGATTCGTCAACGGCCACCGATTCACCTAGTTCGCAGCACAACATTGGCTCCCAGTGCTCCTCCACATGCAGCACAGTAGTGGTCACTTCACCTACTAGTAATGGAGGCGGTGGAACAGCCTCCTCAACGGGTGCTCCTGTGCCAGTGCACTCAACTTCATCCAGCCTGGAGCTGGGCTTTAGTCATACCGCCCAGAACTCCGCTCTAAGCGAGGCGAATCCCGAGGACTTCCTCTCAACTTCGGCGCGAGAGGAGACGGAAAGTGTGTCGGGTGTGTCCGGGGTGTACACCTTGGCCCATGGGGCACCGCCCACCGAAACCTCAGGGGTTTACACGATGCACAGCAGCGAGCTAACCGGACAGTCCTCGGAGATGGCCGAGTCGGAGAAGAGCTCGCACTACGGCATGTTCCAGCCGCAGAAACTGGAGACTAACCATGTGCCACATCCAGACTCTGTGGATGGCAAGAAGAGAGCCGAGTTTCGACTGCGTTCGGACTCCAACATCAGCACAGGCAGCTCCTTCCGTGGCGATGGCAGTGATCCCACGGACAACAAGCATTCCCTGCTCTCCGCCGAGGAGCTAACCGATTTGATAGTGGGCCGCGGAACCTATCCCAGCAGGAAGACGGTGTCCAACAGCCTCCACTCGGACTGCGACTATGTGACGCTGGGCAATCAGGGAGGCGTGGAGGAGGATCATACGGAGCAGGAGCTACCCCCAGCACCGCCGCCACCCTACAGTGCGCGCCACGAGAAGACGGGTCTGTGTGGTCCACCGATTTCCAAGCCAGTGCCACCGAAACCCATTGCTGTGGTGGCACCCAAGCCAGAGGCACCCCCAGCACCGCCAGCACCTCTGCCTGCACCGCCAGCTGCCTTACGTCGCCGTGATCCTCCGCCATATCCCAGCTCCAGCAAGCCCAGGCCCACATCCCTGATATCGGTGAGTTCCTCGGCCAACCCAGCGCCCAGTGCAGCCGGTTCGATGAGTTCCCTCAAGTCCGAGGAGGTGACGGCCAGGTTTATCACCACGAGACCCCAGATCAGCATCCTGAAGGCCCACACCAGCCTCCTGCCCGATGGAGCCAAGCCCAGCTATGCCTCGCCGCATCACTGCTCCTCGGCGGCCTCCTCCAGTGGCTCGGTGTGCAGCCACCAGCTGAGTCAGCAGTCCCTGCACAACTCCAACTATGCTGGCGGATCCCAGGCCTCGCTGCATCATCACCACCTGCCGCCGCCGCCGGCTCATCACCGGCACTCGGGATCGGCCGCCATTGGGATACCGATAGTTCCATACGGGCTGCACAAGAGCACCGCCTCGCTGCACCACCAGCAGTCGTGTGTGCTCCTGCCGGTAATCAAGCCGCGTCAGTTTCTGCCTCCGCCGCCGCCCAGTTTGCCCAGGCAGCCGCCGCCACCGCCCCCGCCCAGTCACTCGCACCTGGCGGCGGCAAGTCATCTCTATGGTCGCGAGCTGGCCAGGAAGCAGCTGGAGCTGTACCAGCAGCAGCTGTACAGCGACGTGGACTACGTGATCTATCCCATCCAGGATCCGGCTGTGAGCCAGCAGGAGTATCTGGATGCCAAGCAGGGTTCCCTGCTGGCAGCCATGGCCCAGGCAGCACCACCGCCGCCTCATCATCCTTATTTGGCCATGCAGGTGGCTCCGGCGATATACAGGAGCACGCCCTACCTGCCCTTGACCTTGTCCACCCACTCGAGATACGCCTCCACCCAGAATCTGTCGGATACGTATGTACAGCTGCCGGGAGCGGGCTACTCGCCGTTGTACTCCCCCTCCATGGCCAGCCTGTGCTCCTCGTATGAGCCACCACCGCCGCCGCCCCTGCATCCGGCTGCCCTGGCAGCAGCTGCAGCAGCGGCGGCTGCCTCAGGCTCGGGCGCCTCCTCCTCGATGTTTGCACGATCGCGATCAGACGATAATATTCTGAATTCGCTCGACTCGCTGCCCAAGGGGAAGCGTCTGCCGCCACCACCGCCGCCGCCCTATGTGAACAGGCGGCTCAAGAAGCCACCAATGCCGGCGCCCAGTGAAAAGCCACCTCCAAGTAAGTGGAATCAGGAGAGAGGAGGTTGTCCAAGGCTCTAACTTATGATTTTTTAACTTTTACAGTACCCTCTAAGCCCAGTGCCAGCATGATGAACCTCCTGCCGCCCAGGAAGCCGCCTACGCTGAATCCTCACCTGGCCAACTCGCCGCTGACAAAGACCTCCAGTGGCGCCCAGTGGGCAGGAGAGCGTCCGCGTCCAGACTTGAGTCTGGGTTTGGGTTTAAACCGTGGGAATAACAGCATTTTGGCCCAGTTGCAGGCCTCCATGGCTGCCGAGTCTCAGGCCCAGGCTCAAGCTCAGGCCTTGGACATTGCTTTGTTGAGGGAGAAGAGCAAGCACTTGGATCTGCCGCTTATCTCGGCTCTGTGCAATGATCGCTCCCTGCTGAAGCAGACTAAGGTGATGGTTAATCCCAAGACAGGCCAGGAGATACCCAGTTCTAGTACGCAATCCTCGGCGAGTGCTGCCACCACCAATGGCAACTCTCACTCAACAGGAGGAGGCGGCACCCTGAGCAAGGTGAGGAAGGGTTCAACTGTTAGCCATCGTCATCCGCAGGATAAGTTGCCGCCCTTGCCAGTGCAACAGCTGGCGGAGGCCAATAACTATGTGATTGATCCCGCCGTGATGATGAAGCAGCAGCAACAGCAGCAGCACAAGACCAGCTAGACTCGCCAGGAAACGGAAGTGGAGGAAGAAAAAGGATGTCAAGCCGACACTCTACTCTCTAGTTTGATGTACGGACGCTGTGGTGTATCTGTGTTGGGTGCAGGGATCTTTTTTTCGTTCCCAAAATTTGCATAGAGAGTACAAGTGAGTGTGTTCGATCACAGTGTTTCGGAGGGGTAGCAAGGGGAATTCCCCGGAAAGGGTTAACAGCAGCAGCAGCAGCAGAACAGTAACAGACGTCAAACTAATAGAAAAGGATATCAGAGTGAGATTAGAGTTTCTGAAAGACAAGCAAAAAGGAAATAAAGCCAGTTTTTAAAACCATTTAACAACTTATAGTAACAGCAACCACCTAGTAACAGAGAGTCATTTAAACATTCCATAACATTACGTAACAGTAACAGAAGCCACGTAACAACTTAACAGAGTCAAGGTCATGTTAACACCAGGACGAAAGCGAGAAAGCAACTTAACCTCAAATACGAATATTCAAATAATCAGAGAACCCAGTCTAGTCACTTAAGGGAAACGGTAGGACAAGGACACAACAATGGTAAAACAGAGGGAATATATATATATATCTAGAGAGAGAGAGAGCGAAAGAGAGAGAGTTAGAAGCAGGACAACAAATACTCAAGTATAAAATACAACAACCACTACTTAATTAACCAACTAAAGCTTAGTAGAACCTTAGTCTTTAGCTGCAAACAAAAAAACCTAGTTAGGCCAGGAAACAAAGCGAATACTTAAAAAACTAACTAAACTACTTCCGCCCAAACAACTGTGATTGATTTTATTTAAACACTTACACTAACTTAACTCGTACAACTAACTATTTTTTAGTCAGCCAAGAACAAAAGCAAAAACTATGCAAATTTTTTTTTTAAAAAGTTAAGAAGAAAGTCTCCCACACACACACAAATACTCACAACGAAAGGAGCTAGCCATGGTCGAGGGTGTTTTTTCACCCGGTTCATATATATATTTTATAACCGGTTTAGGAACCTCCTTTCCTATGGCTGGAACCCAAAAAGAACTAAAGAATTTCAAGAGTGCCTAGACTTGCCCCCAAAAAATCCCCACCGTAGCGAGTAAGCAAAGAAAAAAAAGCTAGATAGATGGATGTTTTATTTGATTATTATTTTTTATATCCACACTTTGTTTATTTTTTATTATTTTTTGTTCGTTTATTAACACCCCAACCCCCCACCAGCAATGTGAGAGTGTGCGTGCAAAAATGATGATTTCAAGTTGTCACAAATATTTGCGTAGATTTTTCTCGTCTAAAAGTCTATGGCTAAATTGAGGAATTGTGATCTTTGAGAAAATGTTAAATTTTTTGCCATATATCTTACATACACATATACATATAAATATATATAAATAAATATATATATATATATGCATATAAAATTATACTTAATTTATTATTATTACAAAAAACAACAAACCAACATTCAAAGTAAAGCGCATTTATAAAGCAAATTCGTATACGATAAGTAAAAAGCAAGTCCTTTGAGTTGTAAAAATTATAATTTGCAAAGAAAATAAAATGAAAAATTCAAATGTATAAAGAGTGTGTGTGTTTTAATGACATTAAGTAATTCTCAATTATAGATTACAGGGGAATGGGGATTAGGGTTTTTGCTATCACAAAATGCAAGCATCACTTACATATTACATAACGCGTAACGAAACGAATAACAATCTCAGCGCGACTATATAGAATGGAACTAGGAGTGTTAAACTTGTCCTGGCACTTTGGGCTATGCTTAAAATCTACACCTAGGACACCCTTCAATTGGTGGCCAGCATGTCCTCGTCGTCGGCAGCTCGTCGCACCCAACGCTTGGTCAGCGTCAGGACTACGCCAGTGACGAGAAAAACGCTGGCAAAGCCTATCAAGCAGTAACCAAAGATAAGGCCATAGCTTTCCAGGTTGATGGCCAACTGAAAAAACAAGAAAATATGTTTTAAAATGAACTAAAACATTCCTAGAAAACCCAACTCACCTTGGCCTTGGAAGCCAGATCGGAGGAGAGCTCTGCATACTGATCGAACCAGAACATGGGCATCAAAACCTTGGGCACACCGCGGTAAATGCTAAAAAAAATAATTAAATTTAAATCAAATTTATAAAATAATAAATTAAACTCACTCAAAATCATCATCTGGCTCAATCATCATATTAATCTGAATGCGACCGTGCACCTGGACAGGCACTCCCGTCGTGGGCTCCACCGCCAAGAAGAACTCGTGCTTGTCCTTCTCCGGCTTCATGCCGCTCACCGCATCAATGTACGACTGATCGGCAAGATAAAAGTGCGGGAAAGAGGAGTATATAGGAGCCTTATCCCGGCAGGCCTTGCACTCCACCACTCCCGTTTTCGGGCACTCATCAAACCTCACAGGATCGCAGAAGCAAGCCTGATTGGGATAATTCTCCCCCGAGTCCAGGGTCTCCTCAGTGCCCACCCATTTGGTGGCGGTCAGTCCATGATTCTCATAAGTGCCCTGCGGCCTTAGGTTCATAAAACGACAGGCATCGGTGGCAAATATCGTAATCTCATCCTTTACATTCATCTTGGGCGGAAAGAGGTCACCGGTGGTGCCATTAACCACGCCGCAGGGCATCTCGTAGAAGCCCGTCTCCGGTTTGCTATTCCAGTGGGTGAGTCGTCCCAAATTGGAAATGTCATCGGTGCCCGTGTGAATGGTGAACAGACCGTCATAGGTCAGCGATTCATTGCGATCCGCCAGCCAGCCAAACCTCGTGTATGGAATGTCAATTGCGGAGGTGTTGAAGAGATTCAGGAAATCCGTAAGATTATCCTGATAGCCATCGAAAATCCACTCTCCCACTGGCTTTGTGGTGTACAGCTCGCCGCCCTCGTGGTTCAGCATAAAGTTGATGATTTTCTTCACAATCTTACGCTGATTACGCATCTCATCCGCCACGGTGGCGGTGATGGCATGGGCAGCCGTCACCAGGTCGTCCAGAGTGCCATTGGAACGCTCTGGATCAAAGAACCAGGTGCGACGCTCGTAATACGCCACTGTGGCATTCTCAAAGAACGTGTAGTTCTCCTTCTTGTGCTTCTCCAAGAAGGTGTACGGTCCCATTTCCACAAAGTTGGGCTTGACGTTCGGATTCCTAATCTCCTCCGGATTCGTCCAGTTGAACATGTAGAAGCTCAGGTAAATGGGTATGGGCGCCTCCAGCCAACTGTCGTAGGTGTCGGTGCCAGGCTTCAGCTTGAGGCCCTGGATGGGAAGAGAAGTATGTGTTATTATTATTATTACAGATTTAAAAAAAATAGTTTTTGCCATTTTATATTAATGGAAAAGTCTAAAATTTCTTAAAAATGTTTATCTTGGAATCAAATATATATTTTATATTTTAAAGAAAAAAAACAACAATTTTTAATCTTGGGATTCATTATTTTTTATATATTTTTGTATTAATGGAAAAGGGTTTAATTCTTAAAAATATTTAATCTTGGTTTAAATTACAAATCCCGCAATATATTTATATTTTAAAGGGAAAAGCTTTAATTTCTTAACAATTTGTAATCTTGGGATTAATTATAGATCCTGCTATATACCAGTTAAACCCCTATAATCCAAATGTTCAACGCAAAAACAATTGATAAGATCAAACATCTAAAAATATCAGTTAATCTAGTCAAGAAATCTCTGACGTATAGTATTTAGAAAGATAAGTTGAGTTTTGGAATGTGTGTTAAAGGCTTTATTATATATAATTTTAAATATAATATAACTTTAGTCCGAAAAATTTTTTTCTTTTTAATTTTTTAAATTTTAGGCTCCATTTAGAGGGTTTTTAGAGTTTATCAGGTAGAAGAATTCATTTCCGAACCCATAAGTCATATATATTCTTGATCAGCATCAAAAGCAGAACCGATTTAGCCATGTTCGGCTTAAAAAAAAATGTTTACAAATTTTTTCCATTTTCTTAAAAATTGATAAGGGGTTACATCATTAAAATTTGCAAATTTCGAAAAAAAAATTAAATTATTTTTATCATAAAATTTTAAATGCAGATTTAAAAACCTTATAAAAACCAGCACAGAACAGCTTTCCAAATTAAAATTAAGTCATTTTTGGCTTAGTTATGATATTTTTTAAACTTAAAAATTCTTGAAAATTTGCAAAACTGCAAAATCTAGCAACAAACATTTCATTTATTTATAAACTAGAATTAAATTTCAGAATTCACCACCATTTTAATTTAAATGGTGTTAAGATCTCTTCCCTAAATCAAAATATACTTACATCCTCGACTAGACTGTCGGCCAAATTGGGCCAAAAGATCACGGTGAGAATTCCCAGGACCAGGAAGAGCGAACCCAGGCCAAAGACCCAGGCCTTGCGTTGAGTTTCCCCGCAGCAGCTGCAGCACATGACTGAGGAAGATTCACGGATTCGGGAAGCAGCAAATGTAACAGAACAGAGACCTCCCTACCCACTAAGTTGCATCTGGAAAGGGGGGAGAGCAGAGTTCATTGGGTTATTTTCGCGCTTGCATAATCTGTGGCAATAAACCGTATCGCAGCTTATCGGGGAATTTTTATTCGGCATTTTCCTGGCACCCAGCAAAGCTGCCGCTAATAATAATAATAATCCACCAGGGCCAGCCTATCGAGGGTTTTTTTTTTTTGTCCCTGCTTAAGTATTCCGATAAGCCTGTACGATTAAGTCTGTTTTAGCTATTTTTTGAGTGAAGTTGCAGTCAAAGATTACGGCGGGACAGTGTCCACTTGGAGCCAAGTACAGACATCCGCAGATCTCGCGAGTTGACAAGCACTTGCTAAAGGAAGGCAAAGGAACTTACGCGAATTGCTAACTGAAGAAGGAGACTACTGAAAGTGCTCCCAGTTGAGTAGAAAACTCTATGAGGAACTATTACAACCGCACGCGACCACTGCTGGGGTGAAACTGTTTGCTAGTGGGTATTTCATTAGGTCTTTAAATGGAACCACTTGAGGTTTTACTACTTGGTTTACTAACTAATCTCTGGATTTTTGCTAATCTGGAATGTATTGCATGCCTGATAGGAGGGGTCAAAGAAATGGTAACTTCTAAAGGGCAAATCAGTGGAATGTATCTACTTGAGGGTTTCCCCTTCAGTTCAATGATTACCTAAGCTTGCTCCCTTCAACTGTTGCTCAATGAATGGGCTTTCCATCCAACCCGTTTGACACAGATCGACAGCTTGAAATGTGAGATAGGCTCTGGCAATATGCTTATCTCACTATTTAAACGCAATTCTTGGGCATTTATGCTTGGTCAAGATGTTTGGTACACGCAAACGCTCACAAGGGGTTCCTATTTATGGCAAACGATAAGATAAACCGTGCGCCGCCCGGAGAGATATTGACGGATGCGATTAGCCGGCTGACATGTGTTTAGCCCGAATCCGGGCCACTAATATGTAGATTACCAGCGTCTATTCTAGAGGTTTGCCCATGTAATAGGAACGGGGCCTCTTAGATATGAATTAAAGTCTAGTGCATATCGTATTGCAAGTATTTTTCTGTGCTCAAACTGTCCTTTGTTTTCCATATATTGTCGCCCTGAGTCACAGAGCTTGTTTATTTGTCCGATTAGTGGGTCTCGTCTTTGTTCTGAGGCTCATTATCAGAGCAAAAAAGGGGTCTGGAGCTACAGTAAAACTTGACTAAATGGAAATTGAAGGAGCGGGATTTTGTGATATGGGAGATGTATTATAACAGTTTTGAAAAAGGTAAAAAATTAACAAAAAAAAAACCTTGCTTTCAATCTAAAAGGAATGAAATACTTCAGAGAATAAATTATTTCAAGTAAAAAAAATATTAAAAAAAATATATATGCATATAAATAATAATATGCAAGAAATATTTTTTTTGGGAGTTTTTGAAGTTTTAAGTAAAATATGAAAATATATTGTATTAATCTATAGTGTCTTACGTACTAATTTATAAGTTTTAAATTTGTAGCGTAGCAAATCTAAATTAAAAAATTAATCCTATCTTTCAAGAAGTATAACTGGACCCAAAATTAAAGTAACTAATTGAGATGTTCTTTTTGTTTAAACTAAATAAAGATAAATACCCTAAAATTAAGGGGATTTTATACATAACTTTAGATATTGATCTATAAAGAGACTTTTGAGTCAATATCCTGATATCGAATATCTTTTGGTTCCTCTTAAGAAGTCTTCACTGTAACATAAAGCTATGATACCCCAACTTCTCTATGAATACTTTGCCCCATTAAAATCCTAAACCCCTGTGATATTTTGCCAAGGGACAGTTGAAAATGTGATGATATCATCGGTCAGGTATTAAGCTAATTAACACGTATTATTACATGCAAATTACTCACCTTTTCTAAGGCCAAACAACACAACTGCAAATGCGTTTTATGCCAGCTGTTTTTCTTGTTTTTGTTTTTGCTGCTGTGGCCTTGACTTTAAATATTCGCTATTAAGTAGTGTTGAATTTATGTTTTCCAAGACTGCCAGCTCAAAGTCCTAGCCTTTAAGCTTAATTAAATGCTGAAAGTGTAGAAACTACAGTTAAAAGGTTTGATTTGCAAAGGGATTATTGAAATTAAATTACCTTTACCTGAGGGAGCTTCTCATTAACCGGTAACTATTTATAAAGGCACCTGCGTGTTTATAGGATATCCAAAGCAGCTACGGCGAAATTTCCAGCAGCAGTCACCCAGTCAACTGGCGGTGGTCGTACTTAGTTAATTGGATTAAACAATTGTTTTCGTTTTTGCAAAGTTGGTTTTTTTGTTGGTCGAGTGTGCCCGTTGCACTTTTTTCTGGTTTAACCAAACGCGCCAAAGGGTCATACTTGGCTGGTGTGAAATGAGTTTTTGTGTTTTTCTCATATTATAAGCCATTTTTTGTGAATTGTTTTGTTCCTGATGACTGTGGAAAATGTGTAGAAGTAAACATTTAATTAATTTAATTTAATTTAAAAATATAATAAACAGCTGGTGTGTTATACTCAACCGGGCCAAGAGCGGTCACACTATTCTTCAATCAACAAAACAAAATAAATTTTATAATTACTTTTTTCAACAGTAAATTGCATCGCCGAATAAAATTTAAAAACATGGATGGGTAAGCAAGGATCTTGATATTATATTAAATAAATATGTTTGTAATATTTCAATTCCAGGGAAATCTGTCGAGTCTGTTTGGAGCCTTCGAAAGGCATGGCATGTGTTTTTGATGTTATTGGCGTTTTGGATAGAAGGATTTCCATAGCGGCTATGATATCCCAGTGCACTGGATTTCGTGTTTCTAGAGGGGATCCTTTTTCCAAAACCATATGCTCATCCTGCCAGCAGGATGCCAGAAATGCTTACGAGATAAAACAACTTTACGAGACGAGCCACAGGGTCTTCTGCCAAATGGAAAAGGATATCAAGGGAGAGGTGGACATATCCGGCTACGAGGACACAGATACGGAAACTGAAAAGGCACCTGAAAAAATGAAAACTAATTTTGAGATATATAAAATAGAGAAAATAAGAGCAGATGATGGCAGAGTGGAAAACGAGCCAGTTGAAGAAGACATTTCGGATTATGAGGTGGATCTTGACTTGCAAGTCAAAACTGAGGAATTTCAGGAATATTTAACAGATGAAGAACGTAATGATGATCGTGAGAACACAGCAAAACACCCACACAAGTGTTCTTACTGCCAAAAATCCTTTTCACAAAAAGGCAATCTTGAGCTACACATTCGTACCCACACCGGAGAACGTCCGTACACGTGTTCTTACTGCCAGAAATCCTTTGCCCTAAATTGCACCCTTCAGAAACACCTACGGACTCACACAGGCGAACGCCCTTACCAGTGTTCCCGCTGTGAGAAGACCTTCAAGACAATAGGACCTCTGCAGACCCACAAGCGGACCCATACAGGAGAACGTCCCTACAAATGCTCCGATTGCCCAAAGACCTTTTCACAAAATCATCATCTTCAGGATCACATGCGAACGCACACTGGCGAAAAGCCTTACAAGTGTTCCCAGTGCCAGACGTCCTTTTCCCACAAGCAAAGCCTGCAGCGACACATCAAAGCCCATGCAGGAGAACGGCCTTACAAGTGTTCTCACAAGTCCTGCAAGAAGTCCTTTTCCCGTATTGATAGTCTCCTGGAACATAACCGAAACCACACAGAAGAGAGGCCTTTCAAGTGCGGACAATGTCAGCAGGCTTTTAGTTTAAAGCGATATCTTCGGTTACATATTAAAACGCATAAAGTGAATTAAAAAGCAAGGCTTTAAAAATTGTAAGATATGTGAATATGTACATTACAGAAACAATTTATTGTAACAGTTTTTTATAGATTGGTTAAGGCATGATTTTTGTGAATTATAAAAACATTTGAAATTGTTTTATTTTTGATTATTGAAGAGAATTGAAACTTTGGTAAAGAATAAATAATTATTAGGTTTTTAGTAGGCAAATTTATGTAGAAATTGTTTATTATGAATTGCTAACCCGGCTATCAAAGCTCTTTGGAAAAATATTTCCTCATTTCTTCTAAAGAAACTAAGGTAGAAAATATAGATTTATTTTATTTTGTAGTAATTCGTGGTGATGTACATGTAGTGTATTAAGTTTATGTAGTTTATAGTACATAATAGGTAAGTAAGTAATGGCTGACATTTATTTACGTTTATTTTATAAGGCATCATTGATTTAATCGAGGAAGTTAGTGGAGAGCCTGTCTCCACGTTTGTCAAGTTCTACGGATAACAGCATTCAGCTCGTCCAATCGCTCCGAAATCTTTAAGAGGAGCTGAGTTTCCTGCCATAATAATTCCGCCATTATTTCCAAGAGTTCCACGCAGCCAGGACATATGTCTACATATGACAATGGCGCTGAAGGTAGGTAAGTGTGGATCCGCATATGACGCTGCAGATCTTCGTTTTGTGTGAAACCTCTCAGGCATTCTGAACACTTGTAAGGACGTAGATTTTGGCTACGCAAAAAAGATTTTTGGCATCGCGAGCAATTGTAAGACTCTTCTGTGTGGGTTAGGATGTGCCGCTGGAGATTCCCCTTTCGTAAGAAGGATTTTTGACATTGGGAACACTTGTAAGGTTGTTTGCCTGTGTGGGTACGGATGTTCTGAGTATGCTCTGTTTCTTTATATCTTTCTTCCTCCAGTAGTCTCCTCTCCTCCTTATCCTTTTGAATCTGACAGAAAGCCATGTGGCTTTTCTTATAAAGTTGTTTTAGCTCATAGGCATTAGTTGCATCCTGCTTGCAAGGAGCGCATATGGTTTTGGGCAAATTATCCTCTCCAGAAACTTGATGTCCGGTAGAATGGGAAATCATATCGGCTATGGAAATGCGTTTTTCTGGTATGCCATCAAATATATTGACCATGTCTTCCGACGGGTTCAGACAAACTCTACAAAGGTCGCTGAAAATGAAATATAGAATGATTTGTTCGAGAGGATATCAAGTATTTCCACTTACACGTCCATGGCTAGGCCTTATTGCATTCCAAGGGTTTGCAATTTTTCTTTAGTAAAATCAAAATTGGTTTATTTTGACCGGGTAAACTTGACCTCCAGAATAGTGTGCCCGTTCCTGGCATCGTAAGGTGGGAAATAATCGATGAAACTACCGATCACATCGAATCGGTATCGATGTTTCACTGGGTTGGCAGCCCTGGCAAGCCGGCAGCCTGTACAACTAATTTTACACGCTTACAGAATAACAGTGTAAAATTTGTATGGGAATGTTAGTTTGGGGTCGAATTCGCGTTTTTGGGGTCGAATTCTCGTTTTTGGGGTCGAATTCTTGTTTTTGGGGTCGAATTCTCGTGTAGAATGTTAAAATGTAGAGAAAGAACTGTTTGTTAACATAGAAATGTTAAGGAAATGTTAGGGCGATAAGCGATGAAAACTATCGATGGCGTCGATATCGGTATCGATATCGGTATCGATATCGGTATCGATATCGGAGCCGGCAGCCAATCAGGGCGTCCCACGAAAACAGCAACAACTCCAAAATTTTTGCCAGCATTTACGTTTCATTTATCCCGGAAAAACAGCATGAATTACTGCCATTGAGCGAGCCAAAGCAACGGAAAACAGGAAAATGCAGGTGATTAAGTACGTGGTGCTGGTGCAGCTGGCCCTGCTGCTCGTGGACGAGGCGCTGGCCGGCCGGGACTTCTACAAGATTCTGAACGTCAAGCGCAATGCCAACACGAACGAGATCAAGAAGGCGTACCGCCGCCTGGCCAAGGAGCTGCATCCGGACAAGAACAAGGACGACCCGGAGGCCTCGACCAAGTTCCAGGACCTGGGTGCCGCCTACGAAGTGCTGTCCAATGCCGACAAGCGCAAGACCTACGATCGCTGCGGCGAGGAGTGCCTGAAGAAGGAGGGCATGATGGACCATGGCGGTGATCCCTTCTCCAGCTTCTTTGGGGACTTTGGCTTCCACTTTGGCAACGGTGATCCACACCAGCAGGACACACCACGCGGCGCGGACATTGTGATGAACATGTTCGTGTCTTTGGAGGAGCTCTACTCGGGCAATTTCGTGGAGATTGTGCGCAACAAGCCTGTGATGAAGCCCGCTTCGGGCACGCGCAAGTGCAACTGCCGCCAGGAGATGGTAACCCGGAATTTGGGTCCCGGCCGCTTCCAAATGATCCAGCAAACCGTGTGCGATGAGTGCCCCAACGTCAAGCTGGTCAACGAGGAACGCACCCTCGAAATCGAGGTGGAGCAGGGCATGGTCGATGGCCAGGAGACACGGTTTGTGGCCGAGGGTGAACCACACATCGATGGCGAGCCGGGCGATCTCATAGTGCGCGTCCAACAGATGCCCCATCCGCGATTCCTTCGCAAGGAAGATGATCTTTATACGAATGTGACCATTAGCCTGCAGGACGCCCTTGTGGGCTTCTCCATGGAGATTAAGCACTTGGACGGCCATCTGGTGCCCATTACGAGAGAGAAGATTACGTGGCCGGGCGCTAGGATCCGCAAGAAGGGCGAGGGAATGCCCAACTTTGAGAACAACAACCTCACGGGCAATCTGTACATAACCTTTGATGTGGAGTTCCCCAAGAAGGACTTGACGGAGGAGGACAAGGAAGGTGAGTGTCTTGAAATCTTTGGATTCCTTTTCAAATTATTAACTATTTCTTTCTTTCCTTTTAGCGCTCAAGAAAATACTCGACCAATCGTCCATCAATCGCATCTACAATGGACTGTGAAACTGCAACGCTCGCCGGCTGTACTCTAGTATTTAAAAATGCCTAGCTGGGGGCGGTTTCTAAATGGAAACGCCCCCCAAATTCAAGCAACGACTTTGTTCAAAAAAGTTGTTGCCATAAAAAACAAATTTAATTTTAGTTTAGAACTTTGTAAAATAGAAAAAAAAGGAGAAACAAGAAGAAAACTACTGGCGATTCTTGGCTAACACAAAAGGAATTGCAAAGACAAACAACCAACCAACACAAAACACACGAAAATAAAACAGATTTCAATTATAAACCACTCCACTGGCTATTTATTAAGGGAAATAAAATATCATTATTTAATGATTAAAAATTACATTTGAATTTATTACCACATTAAATTCAATTATGATCCCTCCACTGCCCATTTATTTAGCAAAATAAAATATAAATTAATGCTTAAAAATTACATTTAAATTGAAAATCCTTCAAGAGGCTTATCGATAACTTTTAACCGGAAGCAACCTTGCAAACAGCTGTCCTTAGCTGGCGCAGGACAACGGTACAAGAGAGCGCAAGAGAGAGAGAGAGCAGCACAGGAAGTGGCGAAAGTCTTCAGAGAGCGAAGAAATTTTCAGCAGTGCGGACGTAGGACAAGCTTAGTCTTCTCAGGCTTTTATTTTTTTACAAGCAAGCTAAACCGAAACTCACAGAACCAATCACTGGAGCAGCTCTTAGTGTTTTTACTGTACTTTGCCTTACAACCCAAGCGCAGCTGGTCCCCCCGAAAAGCACCGTTAGCTTGAACATAACCTAGAAAAAAAGGGAAGGAAAAACATTCAAAGGATTTCCTTACACCTGCGGCTCAAGAATAAAAAAAAGACAACAACATCGACAACAAATACATAGTATGAATGTCGCCTAAATATCATCATTTCGAGGTAAGTCGCTGGGGGAGCTCCTTCCTTGTAACTCCCATTTCCCCGGGTCCTGCGACCGCACTCTTTTCCCAGTTCTTACTATCGATTTTCTGCGGGGTTGTCCCTTCAACTTTAAGTGACCCACAAAAAAAAAAAAAAAAACACACACAGAGAAGGGAGCAAAGGCAGGGCAGGGTGGTTTTAGGTCAGCCGGCAAAGTTGCGTGCAGGAAGCGCTCATCCATTCGCATTTTATGCTTTATTTATTAGATTGCACTGGTCTACTTTCTGCTGCTGATACCATGGCCGCCGACGAATGTCCTCAGGATGCTCTGTTCGCGAGATAACAGCCGGCTGGTACGCAAGATAGTGCGCTCCAAGTGGACACCTATATTGGACAAGCATCAGGTTAGTTTTTCTCTTTTAAATTGCATTTATAATTATTGATTTATGTGGCTTGCAGGTGAAGCTACCCCTCGAGTGCCCGCTGCATCCTTTCCGGGATGTGTTTGCCCCCAGACAGGATGCCAAGCAAAGGGATAGACCCACTCAGTGGACGTGTAGGAAGTGTGGCAAGAGCTTCTACCAGGAGAAGCACTTGGATCTACACTTTGAAACGCGACACAAGAGCATCATCAATGAGGTGAGGTTAAAGAAAGGATTGGGGATATATATATCCGATGCCTTGTTCTAACTTAATTTATCCCTAGAAATGTAATGTAAATTAAATTAAATTTAATTAAAAAATTTTAACTTATATTTATTTTTTGCCCTTCCCCAGGCGGAGGATGCCGTTTGCCTGGCCGACTTCTGTGACATCATGCGCTGCGAAGTGTTCGAGACGGAGGATGCGTCGAGTCTTAAGTTCGGGGACCAGCACATTGTCACCGACATCGAGGTCTGGGGCGACTCCCTGGGCCAGAACTCCGCCTTGGCCAAAGCGAATGCCGCCTACTTGAGCTTAATACCAAGGTGAGTGATGGCCCCTCCCCCACCCAGGCCTGTAAATATTCATTTAACTCTTTGATTCCTCGCAGAACTTCCACATTGGGTGCCTCGCGTGCCGCCAAAGTACAAAACCGTCAATTACTCCAAGACAAGCCAAGCCAGGCCAGCAGCAAGCAGGATCAGTCGCCGGCAGGTGAGCGAACACATCCCCATTCCCACCACCACCACCACCAGAATTCCCACCACCTCCCTCGAGAGCGTCCATCCACCACAGCCAATCCCCTTCGCCTAGATGCAACACCGGAGGATGGTTCGGCGGCCCGGCCCAAGTCGGCGGGCGAGAAGCTCCTCCACAAGCTCAAGGAGCTGGGCAAGGCGCACCTTAAGTCCGCCGCTGCAGAACCCGAGGCCAGCAGGCAGAACGAGACGGATGACGATGACGACGAGGAGGAGGAGGAGGGCAGCGGACAAGCCGAGGGCAGTGGCCAGTCCGTGGATCAGGCCAAAATGGAGGAAGGATCGGGTACCAATGGGAATGGCAACAAGGCCAGGGCCAATTGCAAGCCAGAGGAACTGAGCAAGCTCAAGACCCGCTGCGAGCTGCTGCTGAGGAGTTGCATCGGTGGCCTGCTGCTGTCCATGTCGGATCAGGCCTTCAAGGAAATGGAAGGTGAGTGTGGGAGAAGGTATTTTTAATGGTTAATAAACCTCCTGCCCTGCAGAGGAGATGAACAAGGCTGTGTGTTGGTATCTGACCTGCGACCGTTACTGGGAGGATGGCCCTTTGGAGCCGCGCGCCTTTCCCTGGGGCCTGATCGTGATCCTGATCTTTGTGCTGTCGACTGGCATCTGCTTCTGCTACTACATTATCTGGATCCTGTTCGAGTAAGTGTGCGCCGTGTGCCGGGCCTCCTCCCATTGAGATTGAGCGAACCTAAGTCATCTGTTTCAGCTCCGAAGAGACGACAATCAACGCCAACCACTACTACGGCCAGGGAGCCATCGGCGGCAGCGGCGGGAGCATCTACATGCCCGGAGCAGCAGTGGGTCATCACTACCATGTGGACTATGCCACGCGGCACGACCTCGACCTGGACGCCGGCGGGATAGCTGCTCAACAGCAGCAACAGCAGCTGCTTCAGGAGCAGCAGTTCTACTACCAGCAACAGCAACAGCAGCAGGCGGCCTCTGCCAGGGATTTGTATCCGGATCCGGTGCAATACCATCGGCACAGCCCGCGGCATTACATCGGCGATCAGCGTCCGGTGGTGGCTGTGGGCACACCCACCCAAGGGGCCGTGCGCACCAGCTCCTCCAACGCCAACACGCCATTGCACCATCGCCAGCACCCGGGTCATCCACCCCACCTGCAGCATCGTCACTCGACGAGCCTGGCCTACCCACAGGACATTTTAGACCGACGCGACTATACAAGTAGCTCCTCGCGCCCCATCGCCACCAGCATGGTGGCTGGTTCAGGATCGGTGTTAGCATCAGCAGCAGCAGCCGGGGCACCAGGATCGGGTGCTCCTGGCGATGCCCAGCAGCGGCACTACAACACGCACCCGCGGCCGCTGGAGACGAGGCATCGCCATGTGGGCTCCTCGCAGCAATCCCTACGTGCCTCCGCCTCCACGCACGAGATTGTGCAGCAGGAGGCGGGTCTTGGTCAGAACGAGCACTACATCTATGTGACCTATCCGCCGGACCTTAAGAAGCGCTACTTTGAGTAGTAGTTGGACGCTTCAGTGGATCGGGCAGATCCCGTACTATGGAGACTGTGTTGCGGAGCCTTCGAAAGGGAAGAGAGATGGAAAGTGATGGGACAGAGAGACCAAAGAGCCCTCGGAAGGAGAGCCAGGAAACGAAACCAAAGCCAGAGATCGGGATGAATGATCTGGATAACATGGAGGAGATATATAGAGAACGATTTAGCGGAGGACTGGCCGCCAACCTAACCCCAAAAAGTTGGTTTTTTACTTTTAGCCTGCAAATACTAGATTTGTGAACTGTGCTGTTCTTTTTTAATTCTACAAAATAAATTGCAATATTTCTGTAAAATAGAAAACAAGGGGTTTTCGGTAATTGGAATTGATAATAATCATTAAAGGGTAACGTTACATTAGGTAAGGATATTTTATTTATAAAGAATATATTAACTCATGTAAAAGTTATCATTTTTCATCATATAATTTTAGTAAGCAGATTTGTTTATCTGGCAAAAACTAGCACAGAAAAACCTCCGAATTGAATTTGATGCTTTTTTGGCTTAGCTATGATTATTTTTTATAAAAAAATTACCATATAAAATATATAAAAATATTCATTTAAAGAGTGTGAATATTTTAGATCTTCTTGAGTGGTTTTATGATTTTTGTCAGCGAAGGAGTCGTTTCCGACCCTATAAATCATATATATTCTTGATCAGCACAAAAAGCGGAGTCGATCTAGCCATGTTTAGAAGAAAAACATTTTTCATAATTTTTTTTTTGTATTTTTGGGGTCTTAAAATGGTTTATTGTCACAGAAAAAATGAGCGAAAATTGTAATATCTTAAAGTTTGAAATTTAGTAAGCAGATTTGTTTATCTGGCAAAAACTAGCACAGAAAAACTTTCCGAATTGAATTTGATGCTTTTTTGGCTTAGTTATGATTATTTTTTATAAAAAAATTACCATTTAAAATATTTATTTAAAGAGTGTGAATATTTTAGATCTTCTTGAGTGGTTTTATGATTTTTGTCAGCGAAGGAGTCATTTCCGACCCTATAAAGTATATATATTCTTGATCAGCATCGACAGGGGAGTCGATCTAGCTATGTCCTAAAAAAAAATTTTATTTTAATTTTTTCATTTTTTGAAAAATTTGATAAGGGGTTACATCATCAAAATTGTGAAAAATTCTAAAAAATTTTAATTTTTAAAATTTAAAAATATTATATGCAGATTTGTTAACCTTATAAAAACTAACACAAAACTGTTTTCCGAATTGAAATTAAGCCATTTTTGGTTTAATTATGAAATTTTTTAAGTTTACAAAATTAATTAAATCTTAGGCTTTACGCAGTGAAAGCTTACTTGCTGGTTATTTTTTAAATTAAATTAAATATCAAATGATATTTTTACACATATTTAAGTATACAAAAAATCAATTAAAAGCAAATTACCTTTCACTTACTTTGATTTCCTTTATAAACCCCTCTGTAGACCCATAAAAACCCCAAAAGTCACCGATTAACATTTACATAAAACATTTATTTCTCATTATTTTTGTTTTTTTAGTATTTCGTATATCATTTCCTTTTGTTTGGTTTTTGCTCAAAGACACTCACATTGATATAGTCACAAATCTTAACGCTAGGGGGTACAATGAAAACCTTTCGATATACAAGAGTACGGCTAGAAAATACATACAGATATATCCATATATCCATTTGCGGAGAATGTGAGAGAAGTGGGTAGAGGGGCATGTATGTACATATTGCGCAATAAATATTAATAGTTACTGCTAAACACTAATTGCTACATTTAGTGGGCTAGCTCTTGCATTTTGCTGTTCTTTTGTACTAAAATTAAGCGTATTATTTAGGTTATAAACAAATTACAAATTACAAACGAAAGAACGTACATTTAGAGGTTTTAGCTAGACATTAGATAGTAGTTTCTTGATTCGTGTAAAGTGTATAGGTAGTGTATATAGTTGCCTAAAAAGTTGGTCCTTTGGAATGTGTTACGAGAGAGAGAAAAGACATCTAGGTGGTTTCGATTATAAGATAAGATTACATTCAGATTTTACTAAGACTAAAAAAAAGTAACCAGCATCCGAAGTCTGTTCCACAGTTGGCATTGCCCTTGGATTTATTTCATATATTTCGCATCCGCATTTTACACAAGTCGGGCGTTGATAATTCCTTAAGGGTGGCCATAACGAATTATATTTTATACGCCTTGAAGATCTGCCTGGATCAATTCGGGATGGCCTTGTCCCGTGGAACTCTGGTGCTTTTCTTTTGGTTGGGTATAGGAATAGGGGCGGGCTTAAAGCTTAACACTCTTGGTAAACCCCATAAAAAACCGACTATAACAAATTGCTCTAAAAAAACCTAACAAAGAAGAATTTCTCTAAAAAAAAGAAACAAAACAAATTGAACATTTATATCTAAACTTTTTGGTCTAGGCTGCATTTGGTGGCAATATATGTTATGTTATATCTAAAAAAAATTAAACTATGAAGGCCAAGGCTTACACGCAACTGTAACGTACATATATGTATATATATTTATATATCTAGGTATATATATTCTATATAATGCCAATGTATCTCAAATCTGGGCCTGACCTTTGGCGAAAAGCATTTTAAAATGGCCCAACTCGCTGAGCGACTAAAACGCTGATACATTAGAAGATAACATTGATATACACATACACATATATATATAAATATATATACTATATACTATATCTCGTTAATTGCACGCGACTCGAACTTCCCGACTTTGCCCCCGAAATTAACCCTCCTGCCTCAACGAACGCTGCTTACTCAGGCTTAACCCATTCATCGAGATTCGAATTCGCTTACTCCAGATAAACACGACATTTTGCATGTAAATATTGCACAGATATCTAAAATATACTCGTTATATATAGTATCTCTATAAAGTTATTAAAATAAGGTTTTTAATTTGATTTCCCTAAAATATTCCTTTTCCTAAAACAAATCCAAATATTTAAAATGCAAAAACGAACAAAAAAAAAAGTCTTGAGATTCTGGTTAAAAGTTTAGCTGCTTGTGTTTGTGTGTGGTGTTAGCCTCACACATCTGATCCTGTCCAGGGACCAGAAATATCTTTGGTTGAAGCTGGTATCCTAGGTGATCCTGCGGCGGCTCCTGGGCTTCTTAGCCGCCCGCTGGCGCTTGTACTTCCGCAGGATGCGATGGGCTTGGTAGTAGCGACTGATCCGACTCTGGACGTATTTGCCATGGAGATACTTGAGCAATTGGCGGCGATTCTGCTGCGGATCGGACTTCTCATCGTGGATTATCTCCTCGTGATGAATAAGAGGTGTATTGGCATCAAACTCGGGTTGTGGTTCCGCCAGCAATTGGATGAGCTGCAAGGTGTTGACCTGCTCCGCCTCGTCGGCTTGAACAAGATCTCCAACAGGCTGGTTGTTCTCCATTTCCTGAACCCCATCCTCCTCTTCCCCCTCCTCCCCGTTGGCCACCACGCCCAGTATATTCTCGTTCATGTCGCACTGCACCACATATAGATCGCTGCTGGAGTCAAAGATCTCCGCCAGATTGATAAGCAGCACATCCTGGCCATTGTGATCGGGCTCCTCGTCATTCTCCTTGCCCTCGAAATCCTCGGGATCAGAGGCCACGCCTATTTGCTGATACATCTCCGCCAGCGCCTCCTCCACGCTCAGTTCTCGGGCGGCAGGGTTGCTCATCCTGGGCGATGCACTCTCTCTTACTACTACTAACTCTGCTTCTGTCTTTAAGGAACTATTTAAGGCAATCTTACTAAGGTCACTTAGCTTTGGTACGCTAGCCAAGCGGGAACTGCTCGCTAGCTCCTCGCTATCGCTCTCCAGGATCTGCTTTAGTTTGGCAATATCGTGATTGGAGACCCCTTCTTCTGCTCCCTCCTCCAGGGTCATCTCGATTTTGATCATCTCGGGGGGAGATTGGTCTGTTTTGGGTTCTTCCGGTTTCGTTTGGGATTGGGAGAGTTCCCTTTCCAGGGCGGCCAGCTCATTGAAGTCGCTTTCGGGGGAGCTGGCTGAACTGCTGCTGCTGCTGGAGCTACTAGTGTCACTGGAGGCCACCTCCTCTCCACCTGCCTGGCTGGTTGAACTGCTGGTGTCATCGTCTGAGCTGGAGCTACTGGAACTCGAACTCGAACTCGAGGCAGAGGATGAGGATGAGGAGGAGGAGAGGATTATTTTAATCACGGGTTGGCTGGGCTCTGGAGTGGATGGGACGTTGTCCTCCAGGTTATTCCTCAGCCAGGCCTGGACTTGCTCTGCTTTGTTGGGAATAGCAGTAGCTTCTGCTGGAGATTCTGTTTCAGAGACAGGAGTGTCCACTCTCAGCTTAATTTTTGGCGATAAATTCGTATTCTCAAAGTCATCAAATCCCTTAAAGCTTGGCTGCAACTCCAGGGACTTGATGGTATCCAAGCTCTGCTCTTCCAGATTCAGCACTCCACTCACCTCTTCCTCAGTCTTGTCTTTGTAGCTGTAGACACTCTTGATGACCGTCTCCCGATCGGTGACACTAAGCAAACTGCTGCGAAACTCCGAGGAGTTTAAGGCCGAGACACTCAGCCCCTTGAGACTGGGCGGATTACGCAGCTCCTGGCTGGGTGTGTACTTCTTGATCAGCCTCTTGATCAGCGGCAGGCGATGCTCTCTGTGGCGCGTCAACTGCTTCCTAACCAGCAGATGTCGCAGCTCCCTGGTTCGGCTAGAAGCGGCTCGCTTCCTCAACAGTTTCAGGGCCTTGAAATAGTGGCGGTACTTGATCTTTGGACTCTCGAATTCCAGGATCTTCAGCATCTTGATGCGATTGCGTCGCTTCTTGGCCAGGAGCTTCTGACTGGCTCTTGCCGAGGCTTTGGGGGAGAGGACTTTTACTGGGAGACATGAGGTTGCCTCTGCCAGTGGCCGTACTTCCTCCTCCTCCACCTCCTTGTTTTCTGCGGTGTTCTCCTGCGGCTCAGTCGTTCGTCGCTTTCTCTTGTAGAACTTAAATCGCTTGGGATTCTCTCTGTATTCATCCTCATCCTGGGGATTCGTGTCCTCCGCCTCACTCTCTGAGCCCTCGATTTTGTGTATAAAAGTTTCGTACTCCTTGGCAAAGGTGGATTCATTCGAATTGGAGCTGTTGTTCTGATCAAAGTCCAGGACTGGAGGAGGAGCAGGTTGGGTTGGTTGAGGAGGTTGATTAACATTATCAAAGCTCTCCGTATTGCTGCTGAGAATGGGACTGGGCAAAGGAAGTTCAGGCGATGGTTGGCTTCCAATTAAAGGCGCTGCCTCCGGTTGACGAAGGATCTCCGCCAGGGCATCGCTATCGTTGACCGGCTGCTCGACAACACAGGTCTTGAGACGCAGCTCATCCAGCTCCTTCTCCACATCAAAACTGCCAAAAGAATCGTCCACACTGGCGGTGGTTCCAGGTGGGATGCCATTCCCATTGGCCTTCTCTATGTCTATGATGATGTCCGGCAAATTCATGCCCTGATGATCCACCACGGCCGTGGCCTGGGGTCCCGTAGGCGGCAGAGATTCATACATAAAGTTAACCGTCGTATTAGGCACAGGAGCCACCACAGCTATGGCCGGCGGAGGCTCCATCTCCATGACAGCGGCCGCCTCGTCCTCATCATCCACCTTCCAGGTGGACAAAAAGTCTCGTATATTGTTGGACTGAGCATTGGAGGCGGCCACAGCGGCTGCTTTTGAGGAATCCACGCTGTAGTTCAGGTTGGCTGCGGCAGTGGCATGGAGATTGTAGCCCACATAGTTGTCCACATGGGCATCGAGATTGGTGAGGGGTCCAGTTATGCCTCCTGCTCCTCCGCTTCCTCCCTGTCCCAGGTAACAATTCGCCGAGGACGAGCTGCCCACCAGAGCGGATCTTTTGCGATAATCCGGATAGGGTTGGCTGCGAAGGGATTGCTGCGGTGGCATTGTCTGGTTCACATAGCTGTCCAGGCTGTTGAGATTGAGATCGTTGTAGTAGCCACCGCTGCCAGGATCCATGGCCATGCCCATGCCCACTCCAATGCCCATGCCCATGCTGCCCATTCCCAGACCCAAAGGTGGCACTGGGTACCTCTGACTGCTCATGTTATTCGATGTCGAGGATCCGGGTGGCACTTGCGGGTGGTTATAGCCATACCCCAGTTGCGTGGGTGTGGCTTCATAAGGTGGATGACCCACATACATGTCCGTGGGATGCTTGAGCTTCATGGCGGCGGCGGAGGAGCCACCGCCCGGATATTGAGACTGTCCCTGGGGCACACTTCCTGTGGCCGCATAGGATCCGTAACCATTGCTCCTGGGATAATAGCAACCCTGCTGATTCAAGGCATAACCCTGAGAGCAACAGTTCTGGCGGGGATTTGCTGGCGGGTTCTCCGTGCCTGCCCACAGATTCCTGCCGGGATAGGACTGTGTGATGGCTGGTCCTGCATAGGGATTGCTGGCATAGGGCGCCACTCCTCCGCTGCCGGCGTACTTGTCGTACTTCGTGGAGCCGTAGTACAGATCCGTGTTGGTGGGTCCAGGACCAGGACCTGGATGCGGATGATGATACGAACTGTTGACCACCGCCGGCGCCTGTGGCAGAGATCTGCAATTGGGCGCATTGTAGTCCACGCCCCAGTGACAATTGTTGCTGGTCTTCCTGTAGCCAGGCTCTGGACCCAAGTCCGCCGGATTGTACATGGGATGCCCTCCATTCGGGGAATACATGGACATGGGCATCCCGTACTTGTCGTAGTATTGAGCCGTTGTGGCCCCTGACAGATTACTGGTCACTCCTCCGCTGCCACCGCCTGGCATGGTGCTTCCACCTCCTCCTGCGCCTCCAGTGCCTCCGTAGGCCACCCCAGGCATGGCCTGGTAGCTTCTGCTGGGCTTAATGGCTGCATAGTTTGCCTCCAGCTGGGTGAGCTGCGTTTGCGACTGTTGAGGGTGTGGCATCTGTGCCTGCTTCTGGACAGCGGGATTAAGCCCTAGGCCATGACCATAGGGAGAGGAATTGCTTGCCACCTGACTGCTTGGCATCATGGTGGGCTGAGCCGGTGCCTGGGCGGGCATCTTGTACTTGTAGGGATCGTACATGGGATTCGATTGGGACATATAGCCACCAGATCCTGCTCCTGCTCCGCCGCCGGACAGTGATTGGGCATAAAAGGGCGTGGCTGTGGCTTGGGGCTTCAGACCCGTACTTCCTCCTCCGCCGCTGCCACCAACTGAACTTCCTGCTCCTCCGTATTTTGGCATTGTACTGGGGCCCAACTTTTCATAGCGACTTCCAGTCACCGGATACGTATTCCCCGACAGCTGCTGCCCGGCACTGTATGCGTTGTATGGGGAACCGCTGTAATTGTAGGCAGGATCCAGGGACAGGGAGTTGCCATAGCCATAGTTCTGGTGGTAATAGTGACCCGGACTTGGCTGCTGCTGTTGCTGCTGCTGCTGATGTTGTTGTTGGTGTCGCTGCTGGGCATCCAGAGAGGTCAGGGCCTCGCTGTAGAAGGGAGCCACTGTGGCTATAGTGGCCATTGGCATCGTGGTGGGCGATGCCTCGTAGTGGCCACCACCGCTGGTGGGCGTGGTTGTGGCGCTACCATAGCCGCTGCTGCTGCTACCACTGCTCCCGCTGCTGCTGCTGCTGCTGCCGGAGCCGGAGGAGGAGCTCAGACCGGAGACAGAGCCGGAGGAGCCAACGCCCAGGGCCATGGCGGCCGTGTCCATGGCCGTTTGCATCTTTAGGGCTGGAATAAAAAATATAAAATTAAGTCAAGTCTAGATTTAACCTTAAAAAATGTCCTCTAAAATATATATTATTCTTTATGAAATGTATATTGATGATATTGATATTGATTTTCGATATTAGCACACCGATTAACCCATTTTCCTTGGCTCTAAGGACATTTAAATAATTTATGAAATCTGTAAATAACCGTTTTTAAGTGCTTAATGAGGCACCAACACATTAAAAATTAAATATTCCCTTTTGTCATGTTCGGTGCCACCTTTCCAAGGTTGTTTCCACGTTTATCCCGGGCACTTCTTGCGAGGATTTCCACCCTTTTTTGTTCACTTGGCTGCACTCGCAATTGCTAAATGCACCGCCCCCACATTTTCCCCAAAGCACCCATTCACCCACTGCCACGCGAACAGGAAAAAGCAATTATTCCCAGACATTTAAATGAAAAATGGAAAACCCCCAACGATGGTATGTACATGTGTACAGGTTAAAGAACCTCCTGCTTCCTACCCGCGACAATTTCGCTTTTGTTGGTCATTAAATGTGGTCTTCAGCGGCACGCAGGTCCTTCATATTCCTAGTGGAAGTGTGTCAGTGGGGTTTTTCTGATGTCTAAATGCAGTCAAGGGAATGAGTTAGGAAAAGCACACGCACAGGGAAAAAAAACTATGGGAAATTAGATTTTTAAATACTGATAAGAAATGATAACAAATCTCTTTTGATTTTATTATACGGTTATGATATGGCATTAAAAACATATTTTATTGGTATTTACATAAGAAAGTTGAAAGGAATTATGGGAGTTTACCTAAGTGAGAAACTTTAACTACAAATATTATTCTATTAAAATGATGAAAACTGATAAATCTTAGAAAAAATATACCTAAAAAAAGGTTTCTAACGATAACGATAGTTATCCTTTAATTCATTTAAAATATATATAAATATCTTTTTTCTGATCAAGTAGGCTTCTCTAATCTGTTCTGACATTTTGAACATTATCTAAAATTTAGTTTCATTTTGGACTTTTGACGACAAACAACATAAAATCAGTCTGAAGAAAACTCTTTTTTTTTTTAATTTGTTTCGAATGAAATTTAAAATTGAATGTGTGATTGCGACCTATGGTAATAGGTTTTTACAGAACTTGTAGTGCTTCGAGGGTTTCATTTAATTTCATAATTTAATATTTAATTTATATTTTTTTTATTTCATTTTTGTTGTAACGAGTTTTTGGTTATCGTTTTCCATTTATTTTTTTTTTTTTATGGAAATAAATGTAATGTAACATGCAACGAAATACCCTGGTGTTCTAAGAGTTAATTTAATTTATTACTTTTTATTTAATTTTATTTTTTTTTATGGAAAAACAAAAGTATTCAAAGGTATTATTGCAAATGAAATTGCATTTTTGAATTATAAACAAATACTATAAACTAAATTCTTTTCTGGCAGTGCTTGTTCAACTTCGACTACAAAATAAAACGCGGGCTTTGGCTTTGTGAAATGGAAATGTGGAATGTTCATGAAATATTAATGATTGACCCTACACAGACACACGCACACATTCACTCTTTCTACCAAAAGAGATGGACAATGCAAAGAGCAACAATAATAACAACAATAATAACAGAATGAAGCCCTTTTCCACGCCCCCTCAATGTCACCGCCCACAGCAAAGTGGGCCATCATCAGCCCCTGGCACTCGCACTCTCATCACACTGGGAAAAACCAATAATAGTCGCAGATAATTGTCAGAAAACCAATGCATGGGGAGGGTATTCCACCTCCACCTATGGGCTACCATTATTACCTGAGAGCTTCGACAGTGGTATTCATTATATTTCGAGGCAATCCCTCATTGAACTGAACGGATCTGCGACAATTGAGAGTCTGAAGAGCTGCTTTGACAGCTTGTAGAACAAAGAATTATTTATTCTTGGAGATACGATTTGACAGATCATTATTATTATTATTCATGTTGATAAGGATTATTGTTCTTGGAATGTGAACTCTTAGACCCGTGCCGTCAAGATTAAGAAACGGAGCTTAAACGCTGATGTGGAGTGGGAACAGAACGCTATATAGCTAGCTATATATTGTTTATAGTGAGAAGAGAATTAAAGAACTTTTAATAACAATTTTAGAAACCAAAAATCTAAAGAAATAATTCCTTAATATTTGTTGAGAAAGGTTAATTTAAATAAAAAGTAAATATATTTAGTTATAAAAATTCTCAAAGAAAGGAAAAGGATTTCTCTAATATTTCCTTAGAATTAAAAGTATCATTGTGGACGAAACTGTGATTAAAGGATGCTAAATTAAAATTGAAATTATATTAAAAATAATTTATTTATCCATTTTAACAGATTTTTCCCTTTTAGCCATACCCTTCTTCCTTTTAGGGACACGTTCGCCACGATAGCCTGGCGGGAGCTTCATCCACAGTCCATTGACAACCAGCTGCGATGTCCAGGGACAGGACCAGCTGTAAGGACAACTGCCATCCGCCGGCAGCCACATAGTTTAAACAAGAGAATGCTTCTGCCGCTGCTGCGAGCGGAATAAAAATTAAAACGCAAGTACACCGAGCACGGCAAGAGACGGACTGGAATTCATTATGATAATACACTTTCTCGCCCGGAGGCGAATATTATTGATGACCCAAGCGGACGACCATTGAGACCATTAGTCGCAAACTCGGTTCCCGAATAATCGACGACCTCCTCCTCTCTGGCGTCGCAATTCGGGTCGGCTTTTAGCCTAATTGGGCGTGAAGCGACCATCCGGAATAAATGAGAGATCGCTCGATTGCTCGGCCTGACTGGAAGCGCTAATCGAAATGGGATCGCAATGCAAATCACGACCTGGAGCCGTCCGTCGCTTTGGAAAGGGGGAAATGGTAATCGAAGAAGTTTGGTCCGCCACCCGATATCCGCGGTGCACCCGATATATATACCTCTATATACATATATATATATATAAATATATATGTACCTAGTGGATGTGAATGCAAAGACGGGTCTTTGGGTTGTTGCAATTCAAGCGCATTGCGTATACGCCCAAGGGTACCAAGAATTAATACTGAAATTCGACGCAATTGCATTAAGAGAGCTTGAAAGGCACAAAGGCAGGCATTGGACACTTCCAAGCGTACTTTTCCAGGTATTTTGGTTCATAAAAAACATTAATAATACAATTGAATATAAAAAGAAATAAAATTATATGTAAATCCAAATCCAAAACCGAATCCCAATTCAAATTTTTAAAAAATGTTCCATATTTCTTGAATTTATAACTAAATGAAATAAAAAAAAGACGCCTGTGCGTTTTTGCAATTTAAGCATATTACGTATACGCCCAAGTGTACCGAGAATTAATACGGAAATTCAATGCAATTGCATTTGGAGAGCTTCAGAAGATAGCAACATCGAAGTGTACTTTTTTAAATAAAAAAACATGACCAATACAATAGAATATAAAATTAAATAAAATTATGTAAATTATAAATCCAAATTTTAAAAATTTTTCGACCGAGAACCAAACACTAACCTAACACTAACCTACTTAAGTTGAAAAATTTATGCACAAAGAAGGGCTTAGAGGCATTCTATATATATTTAATATTAAAAAAATGAATATAAATTTGTAAAAACCATAAACACATTTTCCGCATTTTCCTCAGAAGAAAAATAATAAACTTAAATTACATTTTTGTTGGGGGCCATTTCATTGCTCACCGAAAATGCCAAGAATTATGCTGCCATATGTTGGCGACTGAAAAACGCGGGCTAACACAGACACTGACACACACACCCCTACACGAACGAGGGCACGCACACAGCGGTTTAAGTGTGTGTGCGTGTTTGCAAGGGGATTCCCCACACACACACACAAAGAGCCACGGCCGGGTTTTGTTTTAATTACGAAACTTCGAGGACTGCAGCTATTTTAACGAGAAGGAGGCGTGACGGCGCGTGCGACTTTCCAGCAAAAACTTTTTCATCTGTTGAAGCTGCTGCCGCCGCCGCCGCTAAGGAATGCGTCGCAGTGACGCTGACATTGGCAGCGCAGTCGGCAGCTCAGCCAGCAGCGACGCCTGCGCCGACGCAGATGCCAAAGGAGGCGAGAATCGAATAAACTGACAAGGAAAAACAGGAAAAACAGCGACGAAGGACGAAGGAGGGACAGTCAATAAAAAGGCGAGTGTGTAAGCGTCCCTTTAGAATGTCTGTGGGTGTGCAAGTGTGTGTGTCTGTTGTTGTTGTGCTTGGGAAAACAAGTGGTTGCCGTGGTGAGTAGCAAAACGGACACAAAAATAGAGCGAAAGGATTGAGCTGAAAAGAGGAAAAGCGACTGCATGGCAACCTTTTTTTTGATATTCCTTAAAAGAGTGTAGTTTCCCAGAGTAAAGCCAAGATTTTTTTTACAAATAATTAATAGACCCCACGGGCTTACTGAAGCGATAAGCAAATAAATAATATCAAACCCCAGAAGAAAATGAAAATGAGTTGGAAAATGGCTCTTACCCACCTGTGGCTTCAATCCCTACCATTTATCACTATAAACCAAAATAATAAATATTATCTAGAAACTGATATCCTAGCTCCCTCAGCCAGTAAAGACTTATACTTTCTAAAAATTACAGGGTCTGGGGGCAGTAGTTCAGCCGCTCCCGTAACATTTGGCAGACATGTGACAGCTCCAGCATTTCCCACCCTCCTCTGCTCCCTTTGTGTCCTGGCCTGAGTCCTGAAATGGACGGAAATGAAGCCGCCGCTCATAAGCAAACATGACAGCTCCCATGCTCCCATTAGCGTTAGTTCGAGTTGTTTGCCACTCGTTTTTGTTATTTTTTTTTTTCTTCTTCTTCTATTTTTCCCCATTTCTCCAGCTTTTCCTTTTGCATTTCCCAACGGTTCGATGGCGAAGCGTGACAAATAATAACAATGCGGCTCGGGCAACCGGAATGATTGGAAAACTGCATCGAGAAAGGGAGGTGATAGACCCTAGGAAACTTATAGGGCCCAACGGAGTGAGAGTTGCTTAAATAGGGCTAAACCATCGACCGCAAAAACGAATTAAGTAAATTCAGTAAACAAGCAAATAACAAAAGGGACAACAACAAATCTGGCTTCGCGGTTAAAGAACTAAAAACACAGGAAAGAATAGTATAGTATATAGAGTAAAATTGTTTTTTATTATATTTTTTTAGGGCTAGTTTCTTAAAAGAAAATATAGAAATTTTTAAAAATTAGATTGAATTAAAGCCTATCAAAAAAAAGTAATATAATGATTAATAAATGAGTTTTTAGATTTGTGGTAATTGTGTGATGTGCGATGTTTCCAAATATAAGAACTTTTGACTTAAATGTCTGTCTTTTTAAGAAAATTTCCGCTGCAAAATAATTGTAAGGCGTTACTCATCTTATCCTTTATGTTGACTTTAAACCTGCATGCAAATGTATAGCTTAAAATAAGCTTAAGATATATTTAAACCCTTATTTTTAAACTAAACAACACAAATCCCTTTTTTTACCATTTTAAATTTACATTTTGTAACGCTCCTTGTGCTACCCCCTTTCTCCCTGTGCACAGAGGGCAGCACAAAAAGAGAATTGAAATAAACAATGAGCAGCGGAATGGCAAAAAGCAAAAGCTACAGGAAAAAAAAAGTGGAAAAAGGCAACAATAAAATAGGCGACAAACAGCAACAACGGCAATCATAAAGGCAACGCAATCAAATGATAATAAAAAGCAGCGACGATTACGCCGGCTGAGGCGCCGGCCGAGACTGCGACAGCGTCGGTGGCGGTGTGTGGCTTCATTCCCCGATTACTTTGCATATATATACATATATATGTATATGCGTGAGTCGCGGCTTGTCTCCCAAAGGTGAAATGCGAAGAAAGAGCGGGGCCAGAAGACCGTAGGACAGAAGAAGCTATAGCAATTCCCAATTCCACATTCAAATGCAAAACAAATTCAAGAAAAATCGAACAACAGCGGACAGATAGAAGGAAGCGAAAGAAAGAAACCTGGTGTCATCGTATAAATACAAAACCCACACAGCCGAGGTGGCAATGTTAGGAACTACATTAAAAATAATGTAAATCTATGTCAGTAAAGGTTAATAAAGGCCTCAAGGTATGCCATAATATTCGGACACACCACCCGAGTGTCAGGCAAACATCCTAATCAAATTATTTACCTATCTTATCTATTGGGGAAGCTCTAAAACTAAACAAACGGCCGGCATGGTGTTGTGCTTTGACAATGAACTTGCTAATGGATCCTAGAAAAACACACAAAAAATAAAACGTACTTCAAACCCATTAACCATTAACCTTTGATGTAAAACAAAACAAGATCAAGTATACGCCTGGTGTGCTATGTGAGGGGGAAACTATCATATCTGAAGACTCTCTGTTAAATCATTTTCTTCTTTGTTTTAACAAATACTTTTTGTTTATATACTTATCACAACTATTTACCTATCTTATCTGCAATTATATTAATAAAAAAACCAAACAAATGCAAAGTTCATTGCTATTTTATTTATCTAAATGAAAGCAGCGATTATTTTAACAAATGTTTTGTTATTATTATTATTTTGACGTGAAAAGGAATTAAGTCGCGGGGATATTAATGGTGAAATTAGGGCAGGTGTAAGTGGTTTTTATTGGCTTCCAAAAAAATGAACGTTCTACTGCCTTGACCCCGTCTGTACGTTTGTACATATGTAAATATATGGAACGCCGTGTGGCCACGACAAAAATATTGATTGAAAATCAATAGGCTCGACTCGGCCCGTTCGCTTGTCATTCATTCTCTATGAGGAGAACTCGGAATTCAAATGTTCGCTGCGATCCAACTGCCAACTGCCGGCAAACTAGCTTCAATCGTATATAGATGGGTACATAAATACGTATGTGCATGCTTATGTGGAGTGTACTATATAGCAGGCAGAGGTATGTACATGCACAATCACAGAAGTGTACATACATATGTATGTGTGTCAGTAGTTTTTGATGTTCGTGCGTGTGGCGATGACAAGCTCGGCTTGATAATTTAAACACGTAGCCCCCGGACTAGAGCCTCCCCTTATGCACCACCCACCCCGCACTATACACCCTCAGCCACCCACCCCCTGCACCATCACACATGCTATAACGTATGGAGCAAAACAGACGTAAAAAGCGAAAAGAAAAAAAAAAAAAAAAAACACACACACAAAAATGTCAACACACTTTTATTGTTGTTGATGTAATACCCTGCATAGATAGGGGTTGGGGAGTATATTGACTACCACCTCCCCCGAAATTTCGTACAAGTTATAAATAAATGCAGGGAAGATGGGGGTTGGATCTATTAAAACCCACTACTCCATTTTCAGTTTGAATTTTGGGAAAATAGAGATAAGAAAGGGTTTTCTACAGGTTTCTTAGTAGGGTGACTTTAGCTTGGTTAACTTATAATTTTAAAGGATTTTTAATTAATTGAAGTATTTAGTTTTTATTAATATTATTTCTGAAATGATAATTAATTAATTATAAATTTTCAAATTAGGAAACGTTATTAAGGCTCACTATACTACATACAAATACTTTCCAGGGTACTTTTAAACTGTAACCCAAAGATTAATAAAAATACAATCATATGTTTGTATTTGAGTAATTTATTTTAAAAACAATATTTATTTTAATAATATCAATTAAAACCAGATCTCTAGACCATTTCCGGGCTGCTCCCTTAGTAAGGGGAATATGCAGGTCGAACCCTTTTTAGGGTTCTTTTCTTCATTTTTTTTTGCTGTCTGTGTGGCGCTTTTTGGGGCTGTCGCTGTAATCGACTTTGTTGCTGTTTTTTGTTTTTGTTGCTGCCGCTGCTCTTGCCGCAAAACAAAAATGCCAAAGAAGAGAATAAAGTAGAGCACCCAAGTCGGCAGCGATGCCAACAGCGACGCCAGCAGCATAAGCCGCACTCAGCGAAAATGTTGATGGGAAGGGGCGGGGCAGCGTATGCACTGAAGCAGCAAATAAACCACGTATTCATACACAAACACACACACACAGACTCACTCGACACACTTACATGGATAATCAAAAACAAAACAGCAACAAAATACAGACAGAAAATGTGATCTTATTAGGCTTATATGGTTTGTATTGTTTAATTTTGTTTAAAAATAATATAAATAATGTAAATGCAGAATTTTCTTTGAGAATAAGTTATTAATTGTTTTATATTTTTTTTACGAAAAGGAAAAGAAGGAAAAGATTTAAAATAAATATATTTATAAATACAAAATAAATATGTTATAAAATAAACTAACGGAAATGTATTAATTAAAATTTAAAAATTAACTAACCATAATTAAACATAGAACACTAATATGAAAGCCACAAAAAAATAAATTTGTATTTAATTTCTCACTTATAATTAAAAAAATCAAATCAAAATTTAAATGAAATCGTAATTTTACGGCTGTGTACGTACCTCAACAGTTTTTCAACATTTTGTTGCTATTTTCGCTGTTGTTGTTGCTGCTGCTTCTGCTGCTGTTGCTACTGTTGCACCCTCTGTCGCTGCCGCAGTCGTTGTCGTTGTCGACGTCGCAGCCGCTGCTCAGTTAAACGTTCTTTTCGCTGCCTCTGTTATTGTTTGTTTTTGTTGTGTATTTTTTTTTTCTCCTTGTTTCGCTTGATTATTTTGTTGTCTCGTTTTTTTTTTCTTTTTTTGATTATTTTTTCTCCCTCAGCTTGTAACTTGCAATATAATTTAATAGTAAGTGATGTGCCTTTGGTTGTTGTTGTTTTTTCCCTAGTTGTAATTCACTTAATATTTGGCTATGCACACACAAACACACACAGGGGGACACAGCGAGAAAAGGGGTGGCACTTAATTTCTGGATTTTCAAGGCAACACGCGTCGTATACGCGATATCTGTTGATAATAAGTAGAATATTCGCTTGCACTTTAGCTTGGCTTTCAAACTGCACTCTTTCTACACTTTACTTTGCATTTCTTTTAATTTTATTATTATTTATTATTTATGAATTATTTTATTTATAATTTCGTATATTTTTTGCGCTTTTCACAAACTTGTCGCGACAGTTGGAACGTCAGCAAAGACACACACATTAAACTTTGAAGCCGGCATTGACTTCAGCGCTCTATTTCTTTTTCCCGAACTATCTTTTCCAGCGACACACTTGTACAGGTGGCAAAAAACGCGGCAGAGAACAGAAAAATTATACAATGTACTATAGCGAAACGTAGTGGTAGTAAATACAAAAGTTAATAACAACGCAACAACACAACAGAAAAAAACACGCCAGACAGAAACAGAATCGGAACGGAATGCGCCAGCGTACGCGTCCGGTGTACGTCCGCTCTTTTCGAAGATACAGTTGCGATTGAGCGAGCCAGCGTAGCGAGCGTGGAAAAACGGTAAAAACACACACGGCGTATGAGTGCTAATTGAGCTTAGCACGCGCCAGAGAGACAAACACACAGCGAGAGAGATATAGAGAGCGCGGGAGAGCGAAAGAAAGTGGCTTGCTCTCGTCTAGGGGGGGGAGACAGTCGCACAGGTGGTTGGAGCGGGTGGGGGGAGGGGCGGAAGGGTTGCACTGGCACTAAATGGAAGTGGTATTGGTAAACATGGCTCGTGTAAACGTTAAGAACCAACGCAATCAGGGGGTGATAATTGAACTCGCCAGCGTTCGTCTGCTATACTATTTACCGTTAAACTAAAATAGTCGATAGTGAGAAATTCTTTCATAGCTTTCAGCGGCAGTCTGGCAGCTTTGTAGTTTAAAAATTTAAATGTAACGGTAGGAGTAGGAACTGCCAGACTAGCAGAAATTTCTGAAAAGTTAAGGGATAAAAGGTTATGGTTATAGGGGAACATATTATTTTAATTATTCAATTTATATCCCTTTAATCATACAATTTTTTAATTAATATTTTTTTACAATTGAATTTATGGTTTTTTACATAGTCCCAGTCTGAGACTCTCAGAGGTGAGTAGTTTCTCGACAGGTGGATAGAAGGTCCCCTCGGCTGTTGATTAACAGTTTTAATACCCTGCCAGGGTATACTGTGTTCTATCTTCTCATAGTATTAACTTTTGGCACTAAGCTTTCAGTTCTTAATTAAAAAAAAAATTATAATCTCTTTAAATAAAAGTCGTAAACGCTGAAAAAAGGTCGACAAGGCCGTTGCTTTACTAAAAAGGCCGCGCAAAAATAAGATTAGATTCATTGAGTTTTGAGCATTGGAACTAAGAAGAAGTATTTATTTATTCATTTATTTTCGTAGTTCCCTTTACTAAAATCTTAAAAATAAAACCCACAATGAGAGGAAAACTTCTCCTTTTTCTGGGCTCTGTCTTAGCCTGTCAGAATATATTCTTCGCCTCGTCAGAAGACTTGCCAGAAAGCTCCAACGAACCTTTTCTCAAGGTAACTCAAACGGATAAGCGCTTAGGAGCCATCATCCGGCAGATCAATGAGCTGAAGCAGCTGAATAGCTCAAAGGTGAGTCACTCTTCCTACTTTCTACTCTTATCCATCAAAATAAAACTATAAAACCTTCGATAGAATCACCTTCCGGCATTCGCATTTCGTCCATATGGCTGCTACAGTGACATCGATAATTTTTGCTACAAGTTCGAAGATTTTTTTCGAATCACACAAATTGTTAAGTTCTTTTACTACCATATAGAAGTCAATGAACACTTTGACAATCGTTCCCAAATTAGTGACGCGAATGAAATCGTTACCAATGAAAACAACGAGGAGTCTATGAGAGACTTTCACTATATGATCTTCGGAAGCGATTTCCTAGGGCCCCCAGGAGGAGGAAAAAAGAAGCCAAGCCAAATCCAAAATTATATATACTTCCTAAGTTCAAAATGGCTTTCCTACGCTTTACCTCTGCTGTCTATATAACATTTTTATCAATGTTAGTTTGTAATTTTTATGTATTCCAAGAAATACTCTCCATATGTATGTCTCTGATGCTATTTATGGGATGCTCTCGTACGGCTATCAGTGCATTCCTCCCTAAGGAGTGGTGGAAAACCAAGTCTATTTGAAAATTAATAAATATCAGCGTTTGGCGAGGCTGCCAGTTAATTAATTTTGAAGCTGCAAGACCTGCAGTTCTTCTGTTGATTTTAAGTTTAAGTGAGCAACATCATACCGGAAGCGGAAGCAAGATTAAAATGCGACTCCCTATTTTCCTGGCCACGCTGCTGCTGGTTCTTATTCTGTCAACACCCACGAATTCGAAATGGTTTTCAAAAGTGGCCAATAAATTTGTGGGCAAGGGCGTCGGAAAGGCAGGAAAGGCTGCCGGAAAGGCGGGGCTGGCAGTGATCACTGCGATGATCGTTGAGTCCAGCGCCAGTGCCCTTATTGAGGAGGCAAATCATATAGATACTCCTCGTGAGCCAACAGAGGAGTCTACTGCGGTGCTGTGGCTGGCGAAAGTCGGAGCTGGCATAGATAGCATGGAGCAGAGGAACATGAAAATGGTGAGGCGATAGAGTAGTCTTTGTCTAAATAATAAATTTACGAGCAAATCCCTCTTAAGCATCGCCACTTTGCGGACTACACCACGGACTCGATTACAGAAAATATGGAACACAACATTCCCATAATGGCAAAGATGAAGGATATTCATGATAATATGAATGACATTTCTTTGCGCTACAAATGGATGCAGATTTATGGAGAGTTGCAGCTGTTTGAAAATTTCACCTTGATCAGATTCGCCGAGGATAGTCTTTCAGCGATTCATCAGATTGACAGGTTGCATGCAGCCCTCCTTGGAAGGGAGGACAGAGCACATGCGACGCCCAACAATCTGCTGTTCCAACTGCTAAGCAAACTAAAGGTAATATAAATCCGTAAACTATGAAGATCTTACTCTCTAATAAATGTTTTCTAGGGCTTCCCTTATCACATCTGCAAGTCGCAACAGTCAGTCCAGCAGTTTTTTTACCTGCTATTCCAGGACATTGCTCTCACTGAACTGAAGGCCCAGGCCATGATTGAGTTCTCCTGGCTGTTGCTCAAGCAGTTCGAAAGGGGGGAGTTCACCGAGGAGAAGAGAGTGATACGGGAGGGCCTCAAGCGGAGGACAAGCCGCACTCTAAAGCTGTTCAAGGACGTGATTAGCAGAGCAGATCGCAGAGTTTGGCGCTGTGATCCGACTTACCACACACCGGGGGTCACCTACGAGGAGGTCACCCGTCTCCTGCAGGGCTACATAGAGAATGAGGTGGATCTGAACGCAGATGGGAGATGTCGATATGACTGCGCCCGCTACAATTATGCCTCCAACCACGGATGCTACGATAATGAGTTCTGCTCCAAGCAGCCAAAGTGTTCTGGTCGTATACTTAACTGCCAGTACGTGGAGTACAAGATGCAGGTGTGCCAGGCGCCACAGGACTCCACCAGGCGATACGTGTTCGTCCATTACGACAGCGGATTCAGGTTGGGCCCAGGTGGCCAGTGCGCCAGGCACACAGACGAAGCAAATGGCTGGCGCCGTTGGATTTTCTGGAAGTGCACATATTGCATGTGCCTGTGCGATGAGCAGGGCCCCAAGTCGGATCGCTTCTTCAACCTGCGCCCCGTGACAGCCGATGTGGAGCACAACAGAGTTGTGACTGGCCTTCGCTTCGTGAAGCACAATCGAATCCTGCACCTGCAGATCCAGGAGGGCGAGCTCCTGTCCAAGGGAGTCATCAACCAGACCACTCTCCACTGGAAGCCCTTGGAGGAGTACAAAATTACTGATAGAAATGTGCGACAAGGAATAGATTACCACATGCTGACCTACGAGAGAAGATCCATCGATCTGGATGAGTTGGAACCAAGGGAAACCAATTCGCTTATAACCGGACTGCGGTTCCGAAACATTGAAGGTCATCTGCATCTCGAGGCTCAGTACAGCGCATTCGAGTTCCAGAGTGGAAAGCTTATAGAGCCGACTAAAAAAAGTTATTGGAACTTAGGGCCTGGTGTTCAAGGAAGGTAAGTCCATAATTAAACACAAGAATTATATCTTGTCGAGCATGTTCTTTTTTCTAGGGAAAAATTGCCCCTAAGAGACACCAATATGCCCACACGAACCACCGCCTCCTCGACTGTGCTATCAAGCAGCAACCAGTACATTGATTTTAGCCACACGGGTTTCGAGAAGGATGTGGCCCAGACCACGGTGCCTTTTATTGACATCCAAGACGTGGTCTCTAATCCACCGGTGCCGCTGTCCGGCATTGGCATCTACTACAAGGGTCGCCCAGGTTATGGGGGCTTTCTTGGACCCAAGATTATCAACTTGGACTTTGGTCCGTACCTGCAATAATTGAAGATTTAGTAGAAGGAAAACAGTGTAGAAATAAGGCAATTTTTTTACAATGTGAATTTTACAGATTTGTGTGTAGATGTTTCAAAAAAGCTTTGATTAAAAGAGAAGATTAAATCAAAGATTAGAAAAGGGAGACTGTGCAGCGACTAATTAACAGCCTTGGATTAAGAGAGAGAGAGGTAACGAAGAGTAAGTTCGAGAACCAAACACTATACATTTTACTTTATCAATTTTACTTATAAACCATCATCAAGGATATTCATAGTGTATCCTTAAAGAATAAAAACGTGCTAGTCAAGCTTGTTCTATGTTGATTGGAAGTGATTGATTTATTCATTTAAAAATAGCGACAATAATCATTATTTACGGTCCCTGTTATAAACTATTACTTATTGCACCGCCACAATGGTAAAAATCGTAAGAAAACATATACTTTTCTCACGTAGAAAACGTAAGAAAAAGGGAGAGCCGTAGAAACCCCTTCCATCAGCAAAATTGCAATTACGGATGTGTGTTTCTGATACAGATTAATGTTATCAGTGCACTCATCCTACTGAGCTTAGTGAGCGGCCACAAGGGCAGATTCATATAAAAAGGCATCGCAAAACGGGGCACCCCGTTAATTAAGTTTCCAGCTTCAAGCGCTAAAGTTTATTCATAAATTCAAAAAATAAAATATATAAGTTCAGGATCCTTTTGTTAACTTCAGGTGAATCATTCCGCCACAAAAATGCGAATCTCTATTTATTCATAAATTTAAAAAAAAGAGCAGGTTCCATTCTAAATCTTTCCAGAAGCGGAATCCGACACAAAAATGCGTTTCTCTATTTTTCTGGCCACTCTGCTGGCCCTTCAACTATCAACGCCCACGAATTCGAAATGGTATCACCACCTGGACAAGAATATGGATACGGTTTTACTTGAGGAGGCCATATTGGAGGGGATGGACATGAGCGTTGATGAGATTGTGGAAAATGCTAGTCAAATAGATGTCCCTCAAGAACAAGGGGCTCCCTCAACAAAGGAGACCAATGCCAAGCTGTGGTTAACCAAAGCAGGAGCTTGTATTGATGGCATGGAGCAGAGGAACACAGAAATGGTGAGGCATTAGAATACATTCTTTCGGAATCACAAATATACCTCTAAATCCCATTTAAGCAAAGTTACTTTGCGTTCGCTGAAAATCAAGAAGAAAACACTCCAATCATGGCCAAGTTCAAAGATATCCAGGATATCATGAATGACATCTCAAGGCGCTACAAGTGGTTGCAGATTTATGGGGATTCCGAGAACTTTGAAAATTTGACACTGATCAAATTCGCCGAGGATAGTCTCTCGGCGATCCAACAGATAGACACGATGCATATAACGCTCTTTGGAAGGGAGGACAGAGACCATGTGACGCCCAACAACCTGCTGTTTCAACTGCAAACCACACTAAAGGTAATATATAGCAAGGATTTACGAAGATTTTACTAAGTTTAGTCATGCTTCCTAGGGCTCCACCAACTACATCTGCAAGTCCCAGCAGTCCACCCAGCAGTTTTTTTACCTGCTATTCCAGGACATTGCTCTCACTGAACTGAAGGCCCAGGCCACCATAGAGTTCTCCTGGCTGCTGCTCAAGCAGTTCGAACAGGGGGAATTCACCGAGGAGAAGAGAGTGATACGAGAGGGCCTGAAGCGGAGGACAAGCCGTACTCTTAAGCTGTTTAAGGACGTGATTAGCACAGCAGATCGCACAGTTTGGCGTTGCGATCCGACGCACCACACACCGGGAATCACCTACGAGGAGGTCACCCGTCTCCTGCAGGGCTACATCGAGAATGAGGTGGATCTCCACCCGACGAGTCAATGCTGGAGTACTTGTGAAGACTACTCCAGCGCCTCTAGTCAGGGCTGCTACTACCCCACAGAGTTCTGTGGCAAGCAGCCCAGGTGCTCTGGCCATGTACTAGGCTGCCAGTTTGTGGAGTCCCACATGCAGATATGCCAGGCGCCTTGGTACTCCAACAGGCGGTACGAGTTTATTCACTACCAGAGTGGACATAGGCTGGGCCAGGAGGGTAGTTGTGGCAGGAGCTTGAGCCAAACCTATAGCTGGTATACATGGTTTTTATATCACTGCAGCTACTGCATGTGCCTGTGCGACGAGCAGGGCCCCAAGTCGGATCGCTTCTTCAACCTGCGACCCGTGACAGCCGATGTGGAGCGCAACAGAGTCGTGACTGGCCTTCGCTTCGTAAAGCACAATCGTATCCTGCACTTGCAGATCCAGGAGGGCGAGCTCCTGCCCAAGGGAGTCATCAACCAGACCACTCTCCAGTGGAAGCCCTTGGAGGAGTACAGCATCACCGATAGGGATGTGCGAGAAGGTATAGATTACCACATGCTGACCCACGAGAGGAGATCCATTGATCTGGATGAGTTGGAACCCATAACCAACGACTTCCTCGTTACCGGGCTAAGGTTTGCCAACATCGAAGGTGATCTGCACCTGGAGGCTCACTACAGCCCATTCCAGTTCGAAAGCGGCAAACTTGATCTGTCGACGGATATGAGTTATTGGCAAAATGGGGCCATTGAAACCTTGAGGTAGCATTCCACTTAATATTTTGAAATAATCACAATACTAAAAAGCTTGTTCTTTCTTTCAGGGAGGAATTACCATTGGAGAACACCCACGTGCCCACCTTATCCACCTCTTCGATACCTTTCTCAAGCAGCAACCAGTACATCGATTTCACCCACACGGGCTTTGAGCAGGATGCCGCCCAGACCACTGTGCCGTTTATTGACATCCAGGAAGTGGTCTCAAATCCGCCAGTGCCGCTGTCTGGCATTGGCATCTATTACAAGGGTCGCCAAGGTTATGGGGGCTTCCTAGGACCTAAAATTATTAACCTTGACTTTGCTCGTTACCTACAATGATCGAAGATTTAGTCCAAAGTGAAAAGAAATGGAAGCCCGAAAGGAGGAGGAGTAGGAAGGACCTAAAGTGGTTTTGAATAAATCCCCTTGAATTGAATTCTTACTCTTATAATTCTTGAAAAAAGTTGTTAATAAGCAATAAGCAACTGTTTAATATAAAGAAGGTGCAATAATCATGTTTTAAAATTCGAATGTCAATTAATAAAGTGCATTAAAAAAAAAAAAAAAATATTTCCATACAAAAAACTAACTCACCTGGGACCTGTTTAGTCGATTCAACTCGTCGATCTGCCTGACGATGGCTCCCAAACGCTTAGCCGTTTCAGTCAGCTTACAGATCGGTCCTTTAGACTTTCTCCGCGAGGCTGTGGCGAAGAATGTCTTCTGGTAGGCTAAGACACAGCCCAGGAAAAGGAGAAGTTCTCCCTTCATAACGAATCTTTTTATTTTCATATATTCCAAAAAGCTTATTCTCTGTTCCAATGCTATAGACTCAGTGAACAAAATTTGATTTTATGAGCTGACTTTTGAGTAGAGCTGCGATCTTATCAGTTTTAGTTTTGCTCTGAGATGTTTCCCTAAGAGATTTGTTTAGTAAACAATAAACTAATTAAAGAGAGAACATTCATGCATCTGAGTCACTGAATAAATCGAACTTATTATTCTCACACATTTTTTAGTTATAATCTCTTACGCGTGTCGCGCTAAAAGATTACAACAGGCCATAAAAAAATATATATATTTGTATTTACACAAAATTCAGATAATTAAAGATTTTTATTTTTGGCAAAGAACGTTGTTTTTATCACTATAAGTTAGCTTGTTAAATATTATAATTAAAATAAACACTCAACTAGATGCCACTTTTAAAGAGTTTTTCAAAGAATTATTTTCTTCTATTTATCTTCTATTTCACTAAAACTAAAAAACCCAAAGAAGTAATGAAGAAATTCAGAATTCAGAAAAATAAGTTTTTACTTCCCAACCCCTTAAAAAATAATAAAACACATTTTTATTACCCACATTTTGGTTCAAATAGAAGATTATTTTATAAAAATAGGCTATTTTTTTTTAATAACAAAAAGTCTATATTCGTCGACAGTATCTTAGTCTATGAAGTATCAAGAGCTTGTGGCATAGCTACTAAAACATTTTCTGATAATTAAATGATGATCCTTCTAGGTCAACAGACTGAGAACCTGAGTCAGGACTTTTTTAAGGATCGTCAAACATGTTATGTTTCCTCTGATTAACAGATTTACTGTATAAGTCAAGCTTTCATTTTTAAGAAATACGATTTTTTATTTCTTTTTTGGTATAAAGAAAGTACATTTCTGTAGCTAGTTTAATTGTTTTGAAGAATCCTATCTCTTAAGAAAAAAAACCAACTAAAATGTTTCCCAGAATCAAACAATTATCTGTACGGGTTCTAAGCAAACAATGCCTCTGATTAGGAAATTCGTTTGCTAAAAGATTTGATTTTAATAATTCTATATCAGCGATGGGCACGTAGCGGCTCAATTTGCTCACGCTGCTCAAACCGTTATTTTTTTTCGGAGGCGCCAGCATGTCGCACAATTGCAGACGCACAAGTGCAGTGCTCGCGACCAGCGAACCGTGAAGATTTACAAAAACAACCACACTGACCTTTGGCGCAGGTAGCGAGCACATCCCCGCGATCCCGAGTTTGCAACAACAAAACACAAGCGACCGAACTCGCACATCGTCCCAAAAACAAGAACAATTTTAAAGGGACCTGCGCGGCTGGCGTTGACTTCTGCACTAAAGAAAAACGATTGGATTTTTTTGCAGTCGTTTTTCTTAGGCGGACATAAATGCACGCAAAAATGGCTGAAGATATTGATCTACTCAAAAAGTTTTTGTCAGTGTATTTTCTCGGCTCGCACATTCTGTGTGTCGCGTGGGTGCGACGCTTCGCAACGCTGGGGGTTGTTGTTTTTTTTTTTTTTTCCAGCGAGCTGCTGCTCAAACCGTTAGATCTCGTGCCCATCGCTGTTCTATATGATTCGGTGGTCTCATGTATACGTCACCCTTAAGCCCAATATGAACTGAAAGCGATAAGGCTGCTCTCTTTAAAAGTCGAAGCCAAATTAAAACCCAATTTAGTTGTGTTTTAAGCTCCAAGGCAACTCGGTGAGCTCTCGGATAGAGCTCTTAGTGTAATCTGAAGGCAAACAGATCCTTCCGACATCTAATCCTGACTGAAAATGAAAGTGAAAATACCTATCTTTGTGGCCTTGCTGCTGGCCATGCATACGAATGCAGATGTTGTGAAAGTAATAAAAAAATCTGTCAGTGATGCTGCCATTAAATTGGCACAAGAGGAAAAGATAATAGATTACGTGCCCGACGAGAATATTCCGATTTTTCAGGAAACCAAGTCAATGGTTGAACCTAGGTTGATGGAAATCCGAAGCCGTATAGAAGAGTTGGACCAGACTATGAGAAATCAGGTGAGTCACGATGATACTGTCCTTCCCCATGCATTTCTAATGGTTATACCTCCCCAGCATCATCACTTTGCGGACTTTATAATTGAATCGATCGCAGACTATATAGAAAAGAACAGCCTAATAATGGCTAACATGCAGAATATTCAGAATATCATAAACAGGATCTCTTTGCGCTACCAGAGGATGCAGACATATAAAACAAGGATGCCATTTGAAAAGACGTCCCTATCCAACTTTGCTCAGGAAACCCTGTCGATAATCGAGGACAGTCTTGATGAACTTCACCTCACCCTTCTTGGAGACGAGGACAAACCCCATTTTACGTCCAACAATCTTTTGATACAGCTTGACACCAGACTAAAGGTTAGCCCACATCTATTTCTGTCCTAATAGTTCCTAACAAGCTTCTGAATTGTAGGTTTCCCCCAGTCACATGTGCCGAACGCGACAGTCCGCCCAGCAGTTCTTTTACCTGCTGCAGGAGGACATCGCACTCGCCGAGCTCAAGGCCCTTGCCTTGGCTGAGTTCTCCTGGTCGTTGCTTAAAGAGGAGGGCCAATTCACCAAGGAGAGAACAATCCTCCAAGAGGGATTCCAGCGCAGGACAAACCGCACTCTGAGGATGTTCAAGGAGGTGATGAGCAGACAAGATCGCACAGTTTGGCGATGCGATCCGGCACACCACACACCGGGAGTCACCTACGAGGAGGTCACCCGCCTCCTGCAGGGCTACATCGAGAACGAGGTGGATCTGAACGCAGATGGGAGATGTCGATATGACTGCGCCCGCTACAATTATGCCTCCAACCACGGATGCTACGATAATGAGTTCTGCTCCAAGCAGCCGGCGTGCTCAGGGCGCGTCCATAACTGCAAGTTTGTGGAATCTAAGATGGAGGTGTGCCTGGCAGACAAGAGCTCCAGCAGGCGATACGACTACGTCCATTATGAAAGCGGACATCGGTTCGGGCAGTGGGGCCAGTGCGACAGGCGCACAGACGAGGCAAAAAGCTGGCGTCGGTGGATTTTTTGGCAATGCAGCTACTGCATGTGCCTGTGCGATGAGCAGGGCCCCAAGTCGGATCGCTTCTTCAACCTGAGACCCGTAACAGCGGATGTGGAGCACAACAGAGTCGTGACTGGCCTTCGCTTCGTAAAGCACAATCGGATCTTGCACCTGCAGATCCAGGAGGGCGAGCTCCTGCCCAAGGGAGTCATCAACCAGACCACTCTCCAGTGGAAGCCCGTGGAGGAGTACAGCATTACCGATAGGGATGTGCGACAGGGTGTAGATTACCACATGCTGACCTACCACCGACGGTCAATCGATCTGAACGAGCTGGAACCACAAAGCAATAACTCCCTTATCACCGGGCTTAGGTTTCAAGACGTCGGAGGTCGCCTACATCTGGTGGCTCAGTACAGCGAGTTCGAGTTCCAGAGCGGCAAACTTATTGATCCAAATGAGCAGAGCTATTGGGGGACGGGAGACAGTGCTCAGGGAAGGTAAATCCATCACCTTATTATTCAATGTTCTTAATTAATAGCAAACCTTGTGTCTCTTTTAGCGAAAAACTGACCTTAGGAGAGACCCATGTGCCCACTATTACTACTTCTTCGCTGCCTTACCCAAAGAGCTACCAATACCTCGATTTCACCCACACGGGCTTCGAGCAGGATGCCGCCCAAACCACGGTGCCCTTTATAGACATCCAGGAAGTGGTCTCCAGTCCACCGGTTCCGCTGTCCGGCATTGGCATCTACTACAAGGGCCGTGAAGGATATGGAGGCTTCATTGGACCCAAGATTATCAACTTGGACTTTAGTCCGTACCTACAATGAGCGTACCTACAATGATCCCGGATGAGAAGGAATATAAATTGGAAAACAGGAACGAAATATTCGTCCTTCAACAGGGATATATTTTTGCTTGGCTTTGATCTTGATAGTTATTCTTAAATTTTTCTATTTTGATTGTACATATGCCACGCGAGCAAAAAAATTCACAATGAGCAATCAGTTCCTTTTTTATTGAGACAATAATCATAAAAATAAAGTGGCAAATATAAACATTTATTTGCATTAATTAAGAAAATATAAATAAAATGTCATTTAAGGAAATCATATAATTTCTATCGCTTAGTTCCTTTATATTTTTATAGTTTTAATTATTTCAGTCAGAACTAAACACTAATATATATTTCTAACCATCATCAAAAGACAACTCAATCTAGACATGTTTGGCAGAACAAAATTTTACCTAATTTTTTAAAAATTTTATAAGGGTTAATCTACAAAAATTGTATTTCTTAAAATGTTAAATTAAGTACTCAGATTTGGTAACCTAATAAAAACTAAAGAATAGAATTTTATGGTGTTTAGCTATATATTCATTGGTGGAATTAATAAATTAATAAGTTGTTAATTGGTGTTCCTCTATTTGTTTTTAAAGAGGAACTCAAGAATAGCGGTTCGAAGACATTAAGAAGCTCTTTTTATAGGAATCGTTTACAAATTTAGTTACAAATTTTAATATGTGAATTTTAATTTGATTGTTTAAGTTAAAAGTTAAACCACCGACTCCATTGTGGGCAACTCGACATTCTGGCTGTAGTCGTAGGTGATCAGTTTGGGAGCCACGTAGCCACCGTATCCTTTGCTGCCCTTGTAGTATACTCCAATCCCGGAAAGGGGGACCGGAGGCGCGGAGACAACTTCTTGGATGTCGATGAGGGGCACAGTGATCTGGGCGGCGTCCTCTTCCAGGCCCGAGTGTATAAACTCCACATACTGGTCGTTGTCGCTGGGATAAGGCTCCGAGGGTGTGGAGGATTCTGAGGACACCTTGGAGTTTTCTAGGACCACTTTCCTCCTGAAGGAAATTATTAATAAATATTCATAATATTTTGATTGTTTATAAAAGTAGTTAGTACCTGGCCTTATCGGTGCCCGCTGACGACCAATAAGTCTTCTCAGTGAGCCGACCGCTCTTGAAGTCAAACCCAGTGAACTGTGCCTCCAGATTAAGATGGCCTCCAACCACACGGAACCGCAAGCCAGTCACTAGGAAGTTGCTTTGATTTCTGAGCTCAACTAGATCGATGGACCGTTTCTCGTAGCTCAGCGCGTGGAAGTCCACGTCCATCTTAACGTTCTTATCTAAAATGCTGTAAGAATCCAGGGGTTTCCATTCGAGAGCGGTCCCATTGATGGCCCCATTTGCCAGAAGCTCGCCCTGCTGGATCTGAAGGTGGAAAATGCGATTGTGCTTTTGGAATCGCAGACCAGTGACAACTCTGAAAGGAGCAGATTCTTGTTAGTGATATTATTGTCAAGTGCGGGGTTCATTATGGAGTAAAAATCAGCACCTGTTACGTCCTATATCGGCGATCACTGGGCGCAGGTTGAAGAAGCGATCCGAATGGAATTCCTCATCACACAGGCAGAAACAGTAATGACACTCGAAAAACCAACTTCGCCAGCTTTCAGCTCTGTTCATCTTCCTGCTGCACCCTTTAGCTGGTCCCAGGTGACGCCCGCTTTCGCCCTGGATGAAATCGTATCGCCTGTTAGAGCCCCTCTCCGAATGACACACCTCCAGGTTGGACTCCAAAAACTGGCAATTGTGCAGGCGACCTCTGCAGCTCGGCTGTTTGGTGCAAAGCTCCCCGTGTTGGCATGAATAGCTTCTTGCCAATTGGTAGTGGGCGCAATCACGTCGGCATGTTCCATCGGGGTTTAGATCCTTCTCGTTTTCTATGTGGCCCTGCAGGAGGCGGGTAACCTCGTCGTAGGTGACTCCGGCCTTGGGCTCTTCGGGATCGCAGCGCCAAACGGATTGATCAGGGACGCTCATTTGGTCCTTTATCAGCTTTCGAGTGCGTTTCATTCTGCGCTCGAAGCCCTCCCGCACTATTTCCTGCTGCACGGTGAACCCGGTCCTCTCGAACTGCCCCAGGAATAGCCAGGACCACTCCAGCATGGCAAGGGACTTTAGTTCGGTGAGGGCGATGTCCACATACAGGGAGTACAGATGTTGCTGGGGGGACTGAGGAGTCCTGCAAGTCCTGTTCGGATATTCCTACATTCAACATACAATCTTAATTGGTTTCGTATTTTCAGTTAATTTCCAGATGGATTTACCTGATAGCCATTGATGACGGATCTGAGCAGATTCTTTCCCCCGAAGGGTTGGTATTCGCTTCCGAAGAACGAAGCGTGCAACTTGTCCATCGTATTCTCGTTTTGCTCAGTGTTTAGGATACTTTCCGCGAAACGAATTTGGGTGCTATTTTCAAACCTGGCCTTCTCATATTTTCCTATTTTTTCGTATAGGTGGTCAATCCGTCCTATGGTTTTATAAATATCATCGAACTCCGAGTTAAAGGGTAAGCTGTAATCCATGAAGCCGCCTGATTGGACGGCGAACGCCGCCCTATAGCGATTCTAGCGGAGGGATTATATATTTTTGTTTTTAATTACAAGAGTGCAACTGACTCACCGTGGTTCTGTTCAGTCGATTCAACTCGTCGATCTGCCTGACGATGGCTCCCAAACGATAATCGGTTTGAGTAAACTTAAAGATCGGTTCGTTAGACCTTTCCGACGATATTGAGGCGAAGGATGTCTTCTGACAGGCTAAGAAACAGCCCAGGAAAAGGAGAAGTTCTCCCTTCATGACGCGATTTGTTTCTAAGATTTACTCAGAGGAGCGACGAAATTCAATACTTCTGCTTAGTTCGAATGCTCAAATCTGAATGAATATTATATGGTTTTGGGGTGCCTTTTATGTGATGCTGCAACCTTATCGATCTTTTTTCATTGTTCACGACTTTAATCCCAAGAGATTATTAAGTTTTTCTAATGAAATTATGAAAGAACTCATTAAATTGTCAGGATTTTATGGATTTTCTATATAATTTGAGAACACTGTGACCTTGTCCAATGCATTGCCAACTTCTGAAGAAAAGTAAAGTAATGAAGCTTCTGAAGAAGTCCACTTGCGAGAAAGTACACTCCTGCCCACAATTATACGACACCCCGAAAATTTTAGTTCCGACCCTCGTCGGAGAATGGGAAGGTATATTACAAAAAAAGGAAGTATGCAAAATTTTTCGATTTGTATAAATAAATATATTCTTAACGGCCCATATGGGTTCGGCACGGTTGGAGAGATAGTTCAGAGGCGGATACGCAATGTTTATGGGGGGCCTTCCATGCTAGATCTGTGCTACACAAGTTCAAGATGATGTGGGGAATACAAAAATGTATTGCAGGATCGTCTTCAGATATAAGGAAATCAGATTTTAAACAGAATTCATTCAGCTTCAATTATCAATCAGCTTCATTACATTTGTATATATATATAAAATGTAATATACCTCCCCATTCTCCTACGAGGGTCGAGTAATTGTGGGCAGGAGTGTACTTTCCCGCTTCAGAAGTTGGCAACAACTCAAAGCTTATACTGTAGAACTCAAGAATTTAGCAACATATTTTCTTATTTAGCAACATATTATACTTTCTTCAGAAGTGACCTTTTCGCCTGTCTACCAGCGAAAAAGCACAGTCTATAACAAATTTAGTGACATTATTTTATAATATTTAAGGTCAGTTGATTTTGCAATTCGTAATCAGGTTTATGATTTCCCAAGAATTCAAAGCATTTTCGAGTATTCCAAGAATTATTGGCTCCTTATCTCTATCGCTTTTCTATGAAAAGAGTAATTCTAGTAGTATATCTTCACCTTCCAAACCTAAACCAAAGCTATAAAGGAGAAGCTGAATGGAAAAGAATTTAGTAAGGTTTTAGGCTCCAAAGAAACTACAAGAGCACGCCCCTTGTGTATAGGATCTTTCAATTTGAATCCTTTCGTCGTCTTAGCGGAATCCAAAGTGAAATCGCCTATATCCTTGTGTAAATGGGAATCCCATTCTTTTTGGCCTTGCTGCTGGCCACGACCACGAATGCAGATGATGATTTGAAAAATATCGGAAGTGCAGCCGGTGGTGCTCTCGGTGGTGTCCTCGGTGCTACTGTGGTTGGCGCCGCTTCTGCGGGTGGAGCTGCTACTGTGGCTGGTGCTCTCGGTCCAGCTGTGGGTATTGCTGTGGGTGCTGCTGTTGGTGGTGCCTTAGTTCGTGAGGGCGTTGATTCAGGCATTAAATGGGCACAAGACAAACATATTATAGATTACGTGCCCGACAAGAACATTCCGATTCTTCAGGAACCCAAGTCAATGGTTGAGCCTTGGTTGGCAGCAATCCGAAGCCAGATCCAAGGATTGGACCAGACGATGAGAGAGCAGGTAAAAACACGAGGATACTTTCCTTCCCCATACATCTTTAATGGGTATCCCTTCCCAGCATCATCTCTTTGCAGACTTCGTCATTGAATCGGTCACAGACTATATGGAGAAGTATAGTCCGATAATAGCCAAGATGCAGGATATCGATAAAATCATAAACAAGATCTCTTTCCGCTACCAGAGGATGCTGACGTATAAATCTCGGAACACATTTGAAAAAATGACCCTAATCAACTATGCTGAGGATACACTCTCGATACTCCAAGACAGTTTAAATGAACTTCACGTCACGCTCCTTGGAGACGAGGACAGACCCCATGTGACGCCGAACAATGTTTTGGTTCAACTGGACACCAGACTAAAGGTTGTATATATAATAAGAGTATTTAAGTCCTAATAAATAATACCTTATATCTCAATTGTAGCGTTCCTCCAGTCACATGTGCCGAACGCGACAGTCCGCCCAGCAGTTCTTTTATCTGCTGCAGGAGGACGTCGCACTCACCGAACTCAAGGCCCTCGCCTTGGCTGACTACTCCTGGACGTTGCTCAAAGAGGAGGGCGAATTCTCCGAAGAGAAGAGACTAATGCTAGAAGAATACCAGCGCAGGACCAATCGCACTCTGAGGATGTTCAAGGAGGTAATGAGCAGACAAGATCGCACCGTTTGGCGATGCGATCCGGCATACCACAGATCGGGAGTCACCTACGAGGAGGTCACCCGCCTCCTGCAGGGCTACATCGAAAACGAGGCGGATCTAAACGCAGATAGATCATGCAAACAGGAATGCTCCACCTACCAGCATTCGAAAACCCAAGGATGCTACGATGGAGAGTTGTGCAAAAAACAGCAGCCGTGTAAAGGTAACGTCCACAACTGCCGGTATGTGGAATCTACGATGACGGTGTGCCTGACAGACGAGACCGCCATTAGGCGATACGAGTACGTGGAATATAAAAGCGGACATCGGTACGGACAGGGAGGAAAGTGCGGCGGGCACACAGACAAGGCAGAAAGCTGGCATCGGTGGATTTTTTGGCATTGCAGCTACTGCATGTGCCTATGCGATGAGCAGGGCCTCAGGTCGGATCGCTACTTCAACCTGCGACCCGTGACAGCCGATGTGGAGCGCAACAGAGTCGTGACTGGCCTTCGCTTCGTGAAGCACAATCGTATCCTGCACTTGCAGATCCAGGAGGGCGAGCTCCTGCCCAAGGGAGTCATCAACCAGACCACTCTCCAGTGGAAGCCCGTGGACAACTACAGCATCACCGATAAGGATGTGCGACAGGGTGTAGATTACCACATGCTGATCTACGACCGACGGTCAATCGATCTCAATGAGTTGGTACCACTTAACAACACCTTCTTGATCACCGGGCTGAGATTTCAAAACGTCGGAGGTCATCTGCATCTGGAAGCCCACTACAGTGAGTTCGAGTTCCAGAGCGGCAAACTTGTTAAACCAACGGAGCAGAGCTATTGGGAGACCGGAAAGAGTATTCTGGGCAGGTAAATCTAACCTCATTAATCATTCAATCAACCTCAAAAATATTCTGAACAATCAGAAACTAATGTCCTTTGTTTTTTTCAGCGATAAACTGAACCTAGGGGAGACCCGTCTGCCCACCATTACTACTTCTTCGAAGCCTTTATCCAAAAGCGACCAGTACCTCGATTTCACCCACACTAGCTTCGAGCATGATGCTGCCCAGACCACGGTGCCTTTTATTGACATCCAAGAGGTGGTCTCCAATCCACCAGTGCCGCTGTCCGGCATTGGCATCTACTACAAGGGTCACCAAGGATATGGGGGCTTCATTGGACCAAAGATCGTCAACTTGGACTTTGCACCGCACCTCTAATATATATGTACACCGGTTAAGTAGAAGAAGTAGGAAGAGACTGTTTGTTGTGTTTACAAAACGCTTTTCAAGTAACAAACACTTTATAGATTTTTACTTCAAATTTTCAAAACAAAATATAATGGATCTTGGCTTTTGAAATAAATAAATCTAAATAATCTTCAAATTTATCTATCAATAGTATTTTATACAATTTTGCATTACGTAGACTTGTTTTAAAACGATTCGAATTGGAAGTTTTTGTGTCAAAATTTGCAATTTCCAGTCTATATTCAAAAAACGCGCCTTCTGCGGCCTGTTATCGACCAAAGTATCGATCTATCGAAAGGAGCTAGGGCCACAGCGAACGGACGAGTTGGCATTCCTGTCACTGTTTGTTGTTGTTTTTGCCGCTGCCGCCGCCGTTGTTGTCGTTTTGAATGGAAATCAGTCACAAAAACTGAACAATTTAGATCTAGTCCCCGAGTCGAAACCTGTCTACACATTCTCGGTTTATTTGTACAATTCAACAAAATTCGTTGTGCGCATGCAAAAAGATACAAAAATAATAAGGTGAGTCCAGCTTCACACACACACTCGAGTGCACACGCATACAGACGCAGCAAAAGCCGGCTGTGAAGGAGAGAGCGAGATGGCAACAGCAAGGGTCGCTAGTTTTTCGCGCCTTCTTGATTTTTGAATTTCAGTGAAGGCGAAAGTCTTTGTTTTATATATATGTATGTACATATATTTGTTTTATTGGCACGCTTTGCTTTAATATTGTTATTGATCGAACGGCAATCGATCGCGTCCGCCGATCGATGATCGAAGTGTGCCCCGCATTCTGGTCGCTGCTGAGTTTTTCGGTTTTTTATTCTTTTTTCGCGTCTCGTTGGATGATCTTGGTGCCGTGCCATGAATCTTCGAAAATAGCCAGCCATTGACACGCCTCGCACACACACAAGCGGACACCGTCGTCGTCGTCGTCGTGGTGAAGTAATCCTGAACAATCTGAAGAATCGGCACCTGCATCGCCCCAAAAAAAGCGACCACCTTGAACCCATTCGGACCGACCCACTCCACTTGGCTCGGAAAACCCCCATTTCTCGTTCCATTCCGATCCCACGAATCACTCAAAAGTGCCAGCAGCAGTTTCAAAACTCCAAAAGTAAATAAGAACAGATTTTTGAGTAAAATAAAGTCTTTCAAAATATAAATAATAATAATAAATAAATGTATTTTAAATGCATCCATAAAAAAAAAACATAAATATTAATGGATCTAAAAACAAATTTATAACTTTTTCTTAATATAAACAGTAAAAAGTGAATGAATATTAAATAATTAAGAATTTAAATATATATAATAAATGTCTTTAGCAAAAAATATGACTAATAAATAAATTAATATAAAATAATAATAATATAAAAAATACTTATTTTTTATATTTCTTTTTAGATTTTTAAGTTTTTATTCATTAATTTTTAATTGTTTATTAATGAATAAAAACTTTAAATTCTAAAAAAGAAATATAAAAAGAAGTATTTAATAATAATAATAATATAAAAAAGCAATTAAAAATTAAAGCCTAAAAACTTAAAAATCTAAAAAAAAATCAATTTTAAAAATAAATATTTAATAATATTAATATTAAATTTAATAATAATAATAATAAGTAAAACGGGAGATATGAAAAAAAGAAATAAAAACTCCTTGAAATACCAACAAATGAAGGATTTCAAATAGTTCTGACATAAAACTTTTAACATTAACAAATAAACCTCATAAGAGACCTTCTATAAATTTGAATTTAAAAAACATTTACAATTTATTCGCTTTTAGCATTCAATTCACATTCAAACAAACTTAGTTCTTTCATTGAGAAAGAAGGCTGGCAAACGTCCACCAATTAAAAGCAACAATGATAAGAATGAAAACAAAAGACTTTGAATAGAGCTGATTACCAAATAAATAGAATTAAATGTAATTTAGATAAATGCAAACGAAATATATACAATTATTATTTAATTTACACATTAATTTTACTTAAAAAAATATACTTTAATTAAGTCTTCCCCCTTTTCAGTTGTTAAAATTGCCTGTAACCTCAGTATGTCTCAAATGACCGAGAAGAGAACGACGTCGGCCCGTTCGGGGACAGCTGCCAAGGAGAACCACAGCCTGGCCGGGCGGCATCATCGCCAGAACGGACAGCAGCGCAGCGGCGGCGGCAAGGGCATCGAGATTCTGGACTTTCACGAGTCCTGGCTGGAGGAGGTGGAAATCTACAAGGATAAAATGGTCATGGCCAAGAAGCTGACCCACCACAATCACGAACCCGTCTCTGGTCATCCCTTCAACTCGCACCTCTCTGCCCCAAATCGATACCAGAGTAGGATCTCTGCCAGCACTCCGCAGCATCGCAGTACCGCCGGCGGAGGAGCACACTCGGCGCCGGCCGCTAGCTCTGCCACTGCTGCCGCTGCTGCTGCAGTCAACACCACCAACGCCCGATCCCCGCCGCCTGCTGCACTGAAAACCAGATCGCCACCATCGCCGCGTAAGCGCCAGACGCCAGAGAAAATAGTCCGTGGCAGCGTCTCATCTGCCGGAGATTCGTCGAAGATCACACAGTCGCCGCAGCGCATTGTCATTCGGGGAATCCCATCGCCAGCTGCCAGCACAAGTCCAAAGAATATGTCCACAGGCGTCACAGCAAACAGTGTGCTCCAGTCGGAGTCGTACAAGAAGGTCCAGGTGAGTGTGGAGAAGGTGTAAACTTTATGTTATATGTTTAGACTCAGTAGAAGACTTGTTAGAGGAACATTTGTATGAGTAGGAAAGATAACAAAGTGGGTAGGACATGGAAAGAGTCTAGCTTTGATCTAAGATAAGGATATTTTGTGGCTTAGTTAGTTAACTTTAAAAATAACTATATTTATTGATTTTATTTTAAATTAAAAAAGGGTATATTTGCCATATAATTAGAAATTTAATTATCTAATTATCTTATTTATTTTTGTATAATTTCCTAACACTGCCTCTGCCAATTATTTGAATAAACTTTTCTTATATAAAAATATTAACCAAACTTCAGCTAGCAATCGTTTCTTAATCATTTCTCCATTAATTCATTTGAAAGTAAACAAGAAAATTAGAGTAAAGATGTATTGATACAATATAGATACTTATCGCAAAATATCGATATTAAAATTGTGTAAGAAAAATCGATATACTGTTTGACATATCAAAGCAATTTAATATTATCAAATTAAATCAGAAATTTCAAGCATTTTCTTTAAGTAAATATTTAGAATCTCGATATATCCGAGTTTTATTTAGAATATTGACCGCGATCGATAGACAAATCCTACTCTTTCTTGTGATATACATCATACATTTCATTATCATTCATAAGTTCCCCAAACCAATTAATTTAATTCCTCTTAAATGCTAACAAAAATCCTTAATGATCCCCTCTCCGTCTTTCGTTTTCCCCACTCTGTGTTTCTTGTCCGTTTCCGTTTCCGCTTTCGCTTAAAACTAACCACACAGATGCTATTGAAGCGCGCCCGAGATGATGCCAGCGTCAAGAGCTCAACCCTCAATGGTGGCAACAAACGCTCCAGTCTGAGTCCACCGGTCCTGACCAAGACAGCGCCCTCCAGCTTATCCTGCTCGAGCACAAACACATTAAAGGCATCGCCGCCCAACAAGATTGTGGTGAACACCTTCCATGGCAGCAGCATCCTGAATACCCAGCAGGAGGAGAAGAGCAAGCTGCTCACGCAGAATGGACTGACCAAGTCGGCAGCCACTGCTCTAGAGACGAGCCTGTATGCCTCCTTGTACACCCAACCGCCTAACATCCAGCCGGTGCATCATCATCACTTGGCCAGCCAGCGAATTCCAGGAGGAGATCAGAGCTCTTCGTATGTGGGAGTGTCCCTAAACAAGGGAAGCCTGCATGATCATCATGATCGAAAGCACGAAGATGATCCCTGTGCAGGTGAGTAGGATTAGGATTATCCTTGGCGGATATTCCTCTAGATATTTGTGAATTCCTAGCTATCGATGACATCAACAACTATGATGACTCCGACTCGGAGGAGGAGTATGTGGGTTCGCCCTTCTTCCTCGAAGAGGACAGCTCCGAGTCCCATCAGAGCCGGCATACGCGTTTGGTGCCAGGAAAGACCCATTCAAAGGAATCGGTGGCCACTACGGATTCTGAGGCATCGGTTTATTTCCGTCCAGATGCTATCCTGTCGCCCAGTTTGTTTCCTAATGTTCCGCCCTACCTCAACTTTACCTCGCATGCCGATAAGGGTCCTCCGATGCCGGCTGCTCTTCATAGAGTCTTGAAATGGAAGCTAAGTCCTGTGATGCCCAAGATAGTCAAGCGAGTGGTCCTGAATTCAGGCTTTCGCATCATCAAAAGTGAGTTGTTTAAAGGTTTTTTTGTTTTATATTTATTTTGTGTTCTCCTGCAGACACCACCGACTGGATGGCCGTGTGGGAGAAGCACATGAAGAGTCCTGGCTTCAGGACTATTAGGTCGCACCAAAAGTACAACCACATACCTGGCTCCTTTCGTATAGGACGCAAGGACACCATGTGGCGCAGCATCTACAATAACATGAAGAAGTTCGGCAAGAAGGAGTTTGGTTTTATGCAAAAGTAAGTAAAGTAAAAAGAGGATTCTTTTGATATACAAATTTATATCTCTTGCTAGATCCTATATAATGCCTGATGACCTGGAGAATCTGCGACAGGTTTGGCCCAAAAATGCTTCCAAGCTAACCAAGTGGATTGTTAAGCCGCCGGCAAGTGCCCGAGGCACTGGCATACGCATAGTCAACAAGTGGAGTCAGTTCCCCAAGGATCGTCCTTTGGTGGTGCAAAAGTGGGTCTTGAAATCTTCACCAGTAATCTATATATATCCTATATAAACCTCTCTGGCAGATACATTGAGCGACCCTTGCTGATCAACGACAACAAGTTCGACATGCGCCTGTATGTGGTGCTGACCTCCATCAACCCGCTGCGCATCTACATGTACAAGGATGGCCTGGCCCGCTTCGCCTCCGTCAAGTACAGCTCGGAGCTGAGCAATCTCGACGAGCGCTGCATGCACCTGACCAACTACAGCATCAACAAGTTCTCCCAAAACTATGCCAAAAACGAGGACTTTAATGCCTGCCAGGGTCACAAGTGGACCCTGCAATCCCTGTGGTCCTGCCTGGAGAATCGAGGGGTGAATACCAAACGCCTTTGGGCCACTTTGCGCAATCTGGTGATCAAGGGCATAGTGAGCGGTGAATCCGGACTGAATCGCATGTACCGCCAGAATGTGAACTTTCGCTACAACTGCTTTGAGCTCTTCGGCTTTGATGTCTTGCTGGATGAGAATCTGGTGCCCTGGCTGCTGGAGATCAATATATCGCCTTCCCTGCACTCGGAACTGCCTTTGGATTTGCATGTCAAGGGTCCCCTCATCCAGGCCGTGCTGAATACAGCTCTGTATCAGGTGCCGCCAAAGCTGAATGAACACCAGCAGACCGAGATCCTGCAGGAGTTGAATCTGAGCGGGCCACTGTGCCATGACAAGCGCATCTTCACCACTTGCCTGACGGCGGAGGAGGTGCGCAAACACAATCAGTACACGAATCGCAGCATTGAGTTCCGGGAGGAGTATGTGGACACCATATTGGATAACCTGCTGCCCGACGATGTGCGTTGCCTGATTGTGGCCGAGGATGAGCTGGCCAGGTGCAAGCCTTTAGAGCGTGTCTTTCCCACCGCCGACACACACATTTACCTGCGGTATATCGAGAATGCGCGCTACTACAATCGGTTGCTGGACGCCTGGGAGTCCAAGTATGCCAAGAAGCGGGATGTGGGCATTGCTTTGCTGTCGCGCTTCTGCCGGGAAAAGTACCATCTGCAGGTGTCCGACGCGGCCATGGAGAAGGTGAATGGCCGCCATTTTGGCACATTTAACAGTCCCTTTTCAAGTCATATATCTTATTTAGGAACCAAATGTGGCACTTACCGAGATCGATATGCTGCATGTGCGCAAGGATGAGGTCCTGGATGGTGCCACCACGCTGGTTCTGCTGAAGCCCGCCCCGGAAGTGGATAGCAGTGAGGCGGCGCCCAATGGGGTCACCCCCAGCCTCGACACAAGGTCGTGAAGCAGCCCACTCCAAGACTGACAGCACTAGTAACTCTCTCAGCAAGCAGCCAAAATCCAAATCATTCTCACTGCGACTTCCCACGTCCACGCCCTCGTCCACATCCTCCCGTTCAAAGATTCACCCTGAAGTTGTCTCGACCAAATAAAGCTACTCAAATCCGATCGTCTTTATCCCTCTACCCGCACGGAGACTATTTTGTGGGAGTTTTTAGAGTGATTCAACGACTCATTACTATTTATTTCGAAGATTCTACAGCCAAGCGGAGCGTTTCTTGCGTTTTATGCAATTATTTTTTAGAAAAATTGAAAGTGAATAAAGAAATTACGCCATTTAAGCTGGTGTGAAAGTTGTATAAAAAAGGTGATGTCTATTTTGTTTTATTTTAATAATTATAAATATAAAATAACCTAAGGTATTTGTTTGTATGGCTTTATTATTTTTACTATTATATTTTTATTTTTGTAGAAAAAATTATTATATTTTTACATTTTTATTATAAAAAGGACTTTTTAAAGGACCCCATATCTACATACATTTGAAATAAAAATAATATTTAAAAATATAGTATAAAATAAGATAATTATTTATTTATTTCATTAAATTATTTTGTTAAATATTATTTCAGATTTTTTTTATTTAGGAATTTTTTAATTTTTTATTATAAATAAAGGTTCTTAGGGACGCCATATTGACATTCTTATGAAATAATTATAATATAAAATATGATTAATATTTAAATATTTATTTTTTTAATTTAATTTTAAGATATTTAAATTTTTATAAATAGAGTTTGTAAGGACCCTGTATTTACATACTTTTAAAATACAAAACTATTTGTCGATGCACCTTTAGAAATCTTTAATATAAATACTTAAAAAGTAATATATATTAAGATATCTTATTTTATTATCACATTTAATTTTAAATTTAAAAACATTTAAATTAAAACCCTTTAGTATTATTTCAACTACCTGTTCTTCCTTTGGTATATACGGTAAGTATATTTCCCCCTTTCACATCAATGCTGGTATATTTTGCTTCTCTCAGCGCGGTCACACTCATAGCTATAGTAAACAAAAATTCATTTTGCGGCGCTAAAATAATAAAGTTTATAATCATTCATTTACCATGGCGTGGTCCTAATTCTCTAACCAAGAACCACCCCAGCTGACGGGATTTGGAGTAATTAAACTGGATAAAACGGGCTCAAGGAGCCGGAGAACTGCATGCGGAGAAAGAAAAAGTTGCGTTCCATTGATTTTTCGCTGTGACGCCAAAAGTTGCTACTCAAAAAAAAGTTGAATTGGTGCGGTAACAACTTCTGGAATTTGTTGCAAAATGAGTGGTGAGTAATGTAGTTAATTTAACAAATTTTAGTCAACTTTAGTCCCTTTTGATTTGGCTTATTGTTTATGCTCAGGGTTAAGTGAGCCTTTTTGTGGCGACTGTATGGGAATTTGCAGTCTGCTTTCGGGGAGAGGTGGGGGTTAAGTGGGTTAAGGGCGGGCAAAGGGGGCTCTTCGGGCTGTTTGGGGGTCCTGGCAGGACAGACGCACCTGCGCTTTGACACCCTCTCCCTCCATATCCCTGGGAAGGTCCAGAACCCCCCCGATGAAGTCATCAATTTGGCTACAATGTAGATACAGTGGGACTTTTCTTGAATTTGGGATTAGAAAATGGGTATAATTTTTTAATAATTTATGGAGAGTGTGTTTAAGTAGGTCATGAAGTATTTTAATTATTTTTAAAACTTTAGAAATTGTTTAAAATTGCATTATATAAAAAAATATTTTTTTAAACTTTAAGTTCCACTTAAAAGGTTTTTTGAGCTTATCAGACAGAAGGAATCATTTCCGACCCCATAAATCATAGATATTCTTGATCAGAATCACAAGCCGAGTCGATCTAGGCACATCCGAGACAAAAATTTTTTTTTTCATTTTTTCAAAATTTGATAAGGGGTTACATCATTAAAATTTTCAAAAATTGAAAAAAATTTGAATTTTAAATAATATTAAATTTGGAATGCAGATTTATTAACCTTTTAAAAACTAACACAAAAATGCTTTCCAAATTGAATTTAATTAATTTTTGGCTTAGTTATAGATTCTTAAAGTTTTGAATTTTTGCAAAAATTATCATGGATAAATATTTTAATTTTAATATTATTTAAGTTTTGATTTTTCCAAAAATTATACAAAATGACGGATAAATATTTTATTTTACTTTCTTTTCAATTTCTATTTCCCCCAAAAAACAGGCGACGAAAGCAGCGAGGAGAAGCACATCCTAAATCTAAGCAAGCAAAAGCTGAAGAAGGTGCCCAAGCAGGATGATGCCCACAACATACGCCAGCTCATCCTGGATGAGAACGAACTGCAGAAGATAGACAACATAGACTCGTACCTTAAGATAGAAACGGTGAGTAAAATAAACTAAAAATAAATTAAATAATTAAATTAAATTATCAAAATCTACTTAAAGCTCTCCCTGGCCCGTAATCAATTACTGCGCATGTATGGCGTTTGCCGGCTGCACTGCCTCCGTGAACTGAACCTCTCCTTCAATGGCATCCTATCGATTGAGGGCCTCAAAGAGTGCATTCACCTGCGCCTGCTGAACCTGGAGGGGAATAACATCAAGACCATTGAGCACCTCAACACCAACGTCAATTTGGAATGTCTAAATCTGGCGGATAACAGCATTGGCAGCATTTCGGATGTGTCCTATTTGCGGAATCTCAAGGAGCTGTATTTGCATGGAAATCGCCTGACGCACTTGAGGCAATGCGATAAATATTTGCCCACCTCCCTGGAGACCCTGACGCTGGCCAGGAATGGGATAACCGATCTGAACGAGATATGCACGCTGTCGCATCTAAGCAATCTGCTGAGCATCTCGATATCGGACAATCCCTGTGTCCACATGACCAATAGCATGGAGTGAGTTTAAGTTTTAGTTTTTCTTTAAAATTACTTAAATTTCCCTACATTTCCCAGGGGCTTTGACTACCGACCCTTTGTGCTGAACTGGTGCATGAACCTCAAGTACATCGATGGCTATGTGGTGGCCCCCATCGAGGGCCTCAAGGCCGAGTGGCTGTATAGCCAGGGTCGTGGTCGCCAGTTTCGTGTGGGCGAGCAAATAAGCCTGGCCAAATACCTGAGCTCCAATTGTCCCCTGGTGGGCGAGGCCTTGGAGAATGAAAACGATCGTAAGCTGCGCTTGATCCTGAGCAAGGCTCAGCACCATCAACGGCAGCTTCAAGAGGAGATTATGGATAATGCCAATAGCTCGGCCAGTACCTCACCCTCATCCCATCGCAAAAAGCCCACGAGTAGGATTCAGTCGCCAAGATGTGAGTTTTTATATAAATTTTTGAAACCAAGATGTCTCATTTTTAACTTCTCCTTTAGTTTCCCGTTTGAGTGGCCGCCAGGGTTCACCTGAATCCATGGCTAACAGCTATCATGGCAACAGCAGCTGCAACAACAGCCTTGTCAGCGACAATGGCTCCGGGAATAACTCTCTGCAAATGAGCATTTCGCTTATAGAAAATATTAAAAATGAAGGCGATGGCTACTCGCTGGCAGGCAGCGGTATGTCCAGCAGTGTGACCACCAAGACCTACAACTCCACGGAGTCTACACCTAGGAATATCACCCCAAATCCCTATAATGGTGAGTTTTAAAAGGAAGCTATAAAAAAAATCAAAATATCTTCCTTTTAGATCAAACCTTCACTAGCCAAACCCCCTCGGGAGGTCCTTTGGCGGCTGCCTCGAAAATGGTGCCCGTGCCGGAGACCCTTATGAGTCCCGATGTCTGTCCCGCCGCCGTTGCCCAAAGGATGACTGTGGTGGGGGCTATGAACTCCCAGCAGCTGCTGCACAAAACCAAAGTCAATAAAAACAAAGGTAGGCCAGTTGTAAGCTGTAAGCTGTACAGTAAACTAAACTTTCACACAGTCTTAAACCTAACAAACCTTTATACTTTGCTACACAGACAACAAACTAAACTTGCCGAGGGTCCAGAGTCCTCAGCTAAAAAGGAACCAAAGTCCCGCCAGTAGTCCCCGAAAGTTGGCTGGTAAATCTAGCCAAGAGAAGCTACAGACATCCACCATAATGATAGATGCTGGTGGTTTTAGCACCGATGACGATGGCGGGGAACAGATTAACACCGAGAAGTTAAAGGCCATACGGAAGATGGCAGCCCAAAAGCAACAGCAGCAACAACAGCAGCAGCAGCAGCAGCAGATGATGATATATCAGGAGAAGATCAATGGAGGTGGCAGCCAGAACTGTGCGGAACGCTTGAGCGAGCATGTGACCGAGTCCTCGGCTGTGACCATCCAAAAGATGTGGCGTGGCTATCATACGCGCAAGAAGACCAACAAGGATATAGCCGAGAGACTGCAGCGAAGACGCACGCAGGAGTACATACAGTGAGTGTATCCGTTTGAAAAATGCCTAGAAAAGGGTTTAACATTTCTCTTTACCTTTCCTCTTAGACAACTCAGCGAGGACATGCGCCTGACCAAGGCCCATCTGGTTAAGGAGCGTGAGATTCAGCAGCTGCAGATGCAGGCCATCAGTGCGCTGTGGAAAAAGGTGTCCACCATGGAGGTGGTGGCAAAAGGTATACCCGAGCAGCAGCAGCAGGGCGAACAGGATGCCACTGGCTCCTCTGGCCAAATGAGTCTTGATCCAAACTCCGCCTCGGTGGTCAATGATCTGGCCAAGCGTTGCACCATGCTCACCGACCAAGTGCAGATATTGCAAAACTCCATTGGCACCATTGTCAACTGCCTGACCATGGTGTGCAATCTGCCCCAGGATGCGATCAAAAAGCAGGCCGAGATCATTGATTGCAGCTCCACGCAAACGGATTTGATAGCCGTGCACACTCCTCAGATAGAGGATCTCAGCAACTTTCCCTTCACCAAGCCCAGACCCTCTACCTTGGCCCTGGAGTCCAAGCATGAAGCGATGAGCTCGAAAATCGAGGAACTCAACGAGATTGAAGTGAAAAAGAACGACGATAACGATGCCTAAAGAGAAGAGAAAATTTAAGAAGAATTAAGAAACGATTAAACGCTTTAAGGATCCGATCTCGTCGGCGCTAATTAATTACTTCATGTGTAGGCTTTTTGTGTAGCTTTTGCAAACATTTTTAGAGCTCAGTTGTGTTGCACACACACTCACTCAGTAGCAGCATCAAGCAGACACCAAAAAGATCAATTTTTGTTAAATGTATGAGAAATGAGAAATGAGAAGAGTGTAGTAAAGGCGAGGAAGGCGACGGAGAGATGCAGCAAAAAAAAGAACTTATGAAACAAAATATAAATACAAAATTACATTTTTGTAAAACCAAAAAATAAGGCTTTGTGGGAGAAATGGTAAGAAACAAGAAAGAAAGCTAACTTTGGCCAGCCAAAGTTTGTATACCCTTGCAGGTAACAATTAAAATATATCATAACTAAGCCAAAAATGCATTAATTTCGATTCGGAAAGCAGTTTTGTGTTAGTTTTTATTAATTTAAAAAAACTGCATACCAAATTAAAAATTTTAAGAAATCAAAATTTTTGGCCATTTTCGCTCATTTTAATGATGTAACCCCTTATCAAATTTCGCAAAAATGGCCAAAAAATCGATTTCTTCCGGACATATCTAGAAAGATTCGCATGTTCATGCTGATCAAGAATATATATGGTTTATGGGGTCGGAAATAATTCCTTGACTTAGAAAATTTCTATTTTGTATTATAAAATCTGATTTTTTATATTAAAAAAAATTCTTGATTTTTTTTTTTAAATTAAAAATATCATAACTCGGCCAAAAGAGCATTAATTTTAAATCGGAAAACTGTTCTGTGCAAGATTTCCTACAGTTAATAAATCTGCATACTTCATTTAAAATTTTTGAAAATTCAATTTTTTATCAAAATCCAAAATTTTAATGATGTAACCCCTTATATAAAAATGTGTTGAAAAGTGATCCGTTTTGCAACGAATTAATCAGAATATTAACTATAAAAAATTAAAATTTAAAACCTTTTCTTCTCTTAATTTTTATCAAATAATTTATTTTATTCAAGTTAAAATGAACCTTTAACTTCGAATTTGCCCTCTTAACAATCTCTTTTACAAAAATTAACAACTTAGTTTAGCAGCAGCAACTACAAAGAACGTTTTCTGTTGTTTAATTTGTGTGAATTAAGCTTAACAAATGTTTAAAAAGTCCCTAAACTACAGAATTTGTGTAACCTAAGGAATGTCAGTCTTCATCGCTGGACGTGTCCTCGTCCTCCTCCTCCTCTTCAGAGGATTCCTGCGGACGATTTGTGTTGGGCGTAAGGTCATCCTCGAAATCGGAATCCTCTTGATTCTGACTAGGTAGCTCCTCCTCCTGGGCGGGTTTCTTGGCGAATTTTTCTGGCCAAATGCCAGCTTTGGTGTATTCCTTGACATGGTCGTTGGTGAGGATCTTACAGATTTCGGCCTTGACCTTGTCGCCCTCTTCGATGGGTTCGATGAGCAGGAAATCGCCTCGTTTAACCCACATACTTTTGCGAAATTTGTTGGGCATGGAAACTGGGAAGAGGAAAAAGAGTTATTTTAATCAGATTTGTTTTTTATTTACTTATTATTTATTTACTTACCTAGAAAGTTCTCCTCCGCCTCTTTTTTGGCCGTTTCCACCTCGTGGAGATTGTTTCCCCGGCTGCTGACCACCCGCACAATCTGCTGCTGCTCCGTAGGCAGGGCATAGTCGTCCTCCATCATCTCCTTCATCAGGTGCTTGCGGCGACTGATACTTGGATGGGAGCGGTGCATTTTGAAAGGATTGAAAGGATTTCAGTTGATAAAAACGTAAATTTACGAAATTGCCCAGAATTTGTTTTGGTTTTTGGTTGAAGTGTGACCGTTGTTTGGTTTATATGAGAAAACCAAATAAGGCCTGCTTAAAAATACTAGAAAATTAGCTGTTGCTAGATATCCCTAGAAACCAGTGTTGGGAAAAGCTTGGGAATAGAGCGCGTGATTTGAATTTATAAATTAAAAATTAATAGTTAAATAATTTTTTTATTTTCTCTTTTATTCCATTAATTTCATCCATAAGGTTTTTAAGTACTTCCATACAGTGTTTCCATTTTTAAAAACAATTAAGATTCCCTTTTTATTTGTTTAATTGATTCCTTTATCTTAAACTCAACAGGTTTTAAATTACCATTAAAAAACACTCAAATATTACGATCACAACAGCACGAGGACAATTTATTTAAAGAGCCACTCCTTGTATATAGTTTTACCATTATTTATTTTAATTTTTATACAGTTTTGTAACTTAAAAAAAAAAGAGCAGAGAATAAATCCATGCAACGAGAAATTTTCTTAGCAATAAAGTGTAATAAAAAAAGGCAACCACAATAAAAAAATATATCATTGCGTTGTGGGAGAGATGATAACTAGCTTAGTTTTTGCTGCGCCTCATGAGCATGCGTTCCTTCAGCGAAACCCGTCCGGACTTCTCCACCTTCGTGGAGACGTTGCGGCGGGACTCGATTTGGGCCTGTTTTGATTTCTTCATCCTGCAAATATATATTAATAAATTATTAAATTTAATCTATATTTTTAAGGTTTGTTTTTTATACTTACAAATCATTCAAGAGACTGGTTATTTCCTTCTTCCAAATGTCCTTGAAATCATTGGTAAAGTTGGTCCAGTACTCGAAGAACTGATCGGGCGTGCACTGGGACAGGGTCAGGGTGCAGGCTTTGGGGGAAAAGTGATAGAACCGCATGGTTTCCAGGAAAAGCTCGCGACACTCCTCCAGCGACTGGCGAAGCTTGGCAATTGACTTGTCCGCTGCCTCCACAAATTCCTCCATCTTGGACTTGAAGGGCTCTAAAATGTCAGGACGGGAGGCAGCCAGCACTTTGGCTGTGGTTCGTTTGCAGCCTGAAATGAAAATAAATTTATTATTAAAAAATAAAAACAAATATATATATATTATTCTTTCACAAAACCCACCTGCATATTTCCTGTTCAGCTCCGTTATCTGCCTCTGCACATCCTCGAAATCCATCTGCGCCGCTCTCTCCACATCCGGTGGCTCTGGTATCGGCAGCTGAATCTCCAACGGATGCACTCCCTCCTTTCTCCGGTGCGCAATATATGTGCGCACTATGAAATGCAGCAAAGTGGTGTGCGATTCCTTGGACTTGACATCCTTCAGTTTACCCAAAATGTCCAGGTTAAACCCATCCGCCTGTCCGCGCTGTCTATTACCCCCATTCATATAGTTCCCCAGGGTCAGGATAATGGAGAAGACCAGCTTGAGGTCCTCGCTTTCGATCAATTGCCGCGACAGCTGCGTTACTGTTTCTATTTTGCGTACCAATTGCGTCACCGACTCCTCAAACTCCGCCTGGAAGACAATACAGGAAATCCTCTCGCTGGCCATGGATATCAGCGAGGTGTCCAGCAGGAATTGCTCGGGCAGATCAAGGGGTATATCGCCTCCGGCTGCTTCCTTGATCTTCTGCAGCTCATCCTCCGAGGCCTGCATATTTCGTATGTGCTGCAGCGCTTCCAAACTGACCACCGAGGTGTCTATATGGTATATAGCATGCTCGATCTCCGCGGAGGTCACATGCAAACTCTTCCAGATGATGCCCACATTTCGGGATCTCTCCGGATCGAGAACTTTGATGGACTTGGCTCTCTTGACTTTCAGCTCAATGGGTTTGGTGACCGGGGCAATGGCCTGGCGGGAAAAGAGCTCCGTGAACTCGTCGATATTGTCCAGGGGCGTCTCCTCGATCTCTGTCCAGATTTCCTTTGTGGGTGGATCTTCGCCTGCAGCTCCATCTACGGTTGTGGCAGGTGGCGGCTCATCTGGAGAACTTCCGCTGTTCTCAGTGGAATCTGTGGAATTAGCTACCGACGGAGGGCGTGGCGCTGGCGGGGCACTGGTCACTATGCGTGTCCAGTATAAAGGACGCATTGGTTTCGGCGGGTTAACAGCGCTCTTGCGAAGAGCTGGAATAAAATAGGAGATACATTTGAGAGTTAGATATAGATTTAAAAAGAAAATATCACAAATCTTTAATGGACTTTTCTATTTCAGTTAGATTTTCTTTACAAAGTATACAAATATTGATTGAAATGCTTACTTGTGAGTGCTAATTAGTTTTAATAACTAAATTTAATTACATAAAATTTCCACTCACTGTTTGTGCGATGGAACCAGTTTCCTTCGGCGGGATCGGGCAGCGGGGCGGGTGAATTTAGCGGCTTAGCGGAGTCGGATGGGCTCATGGGCGGTGGAGGAGGCGCACCCGGTCCACCGGGAGCAGGGGGCGGTGGAGGCGGTGCGGCACAACTGCCTGGTGGCGGAGGCGGTGGTGGAGGAGCACCAGGAGCTCGTGGAGGCGCGGGAATGGGCGGTGGGGCAGGAATTCCAAAGCCAGGCGGCGGAGGAGGAGGTGGCGGTGGTCCACCCAACGCAGGAGCCGGTGGCGGAGGAGGTGGCGGTGGGGGTGGTGCAGCAGCTGTAGTTTCCTTTTCTTTCGGGGATTCCCCACATTTGCAGGAACCCTTGCACTCTGCCACTTCCGTTGCCGTTTCCGTTTGTGTTCCTGCATCCGCGTAGCTCTTTAATCCCGTGTCAGCTCCTCCCGATTTATTGTACTCATAAATGGTGGCCTCGCTGGCATTGAGCAGTTCCGTGAGATTCACACACCGCTTCGAGGGGCGACGTGGCGGCTCGTCTACGCTGCTCAGCAGCTCGTTGACCACCGCATGCACCTCGGCCAGAGTGGAGCAGTTGAGCAGGCGCTTCTTAAGGATCTGCTGCAGCGTCTTCTGGCTATCGGTTGTTGCTGTTGTTAATGCTGTCGTTGAGGCGGTTATTGCTCCACCCAAGGCGCCGCCAGCTCCTCCAGCTCCCGCCAGCGAGCTCGCTTCCAACGTTCGCAGACCGGCGGGTGTGCTGGAAAAGGGCCATGCCGCCACCTTGTCCAGCTTGCCGGGTGTCAAGGGGAGCGAGGTCGTCGGCTGTTCCGTGTGCGTCCATTGGTACATCTCATAAGGCTGAGGGAGGGATGGTATTTTAAAAGAAAATTGTGAGAAATAGGTTGTACAAGAAATTAAATTAATTAATAATAAATAAATAAACAAAAGATTTTAGACTTTTTTTTATAGTTTTAAATAAAAAAATAAGTTAAACAAATATAAAAAAAAATTAAAAATATAAAATTAAAAAAAAATATATTAATAAAAATATTAAACTTCTCTTAGAAATTTCTTAATAAAATTAATAATTTCGAAAACTGCGTTAAATGCGATATTTTTCGATAGTTTAATTTTGGATATCGATGTTCGATCTTTGTTTTTAGACTTCCTGTAATAAAATGATTAAAAATTAACTTTCAGACAACTATTTTTCCCTTTGTTTAGCTAAAGTCCTCTCCTATACTTCACTTTCTCAACATTTTCAAAATGTTTTCTTATTTCAATATTCAATTAATATATACATACATTTCCTCTTTAAAGCCCCCTCTTTCCTTTTAAAGTCGTATAATTTTTATTATTCCTTTTATACTACCAATAACTTCTAATTGCCAGTCGAGTGGGACATTAAAAAAAAAGGAAAAATTATATAGAACTATAGCAGTAAGTGCATTGCTGCCAGTGGGTCTCCAGTGTGCGACAAGCGACAAAGCTTAAAAGGACCCGTTCTGCCAAAGTTCGCTGTATTTCTCTACTATTTTCCTGCATGCAAAACTCCTTTGATTTTGATTGTGTGCATGTCCTCCTCGTTGACGACGCTGACTTCTCGGTCCCACTGTGGGAATTGTCCTTTCTTGTTGTCACTAAAGTCATGGAAGTTGAAGAATATGAAAGCAGTTAAAACTGTTGTGCTAGTAAGGAGATGCCTCAAGATGGAGTCAAAGTTTAGTGAAGAATACATTTTAGCAGGGGTTTAAAATAAATTCTAAATATATATTCTAATAATATCAGAAAATTCATATTTAATATTTAAATTAATATTTAACATTTCTCTCTATAAATTTCTTGAAAACCAAGAATTCTCAACTTTAATTACCAACTTTTTTCTTTTCAAAAACCACTTTATATAACTGCTAATTAGGGTCAAACTTTCCCCCACAACTTGCCCTGACAAATGCAATTAAAATTGCAATTTAATTATGCCGTTACAAGTGCCGTTTAAGCACACACACCCGCACACACAGACAACGCTAATCAGTCAAAGAACTTGAAAACTTGACAAATGCAAATCAAGTGCAACAGCTCGGTCCGACGGGCTGATTTTGCAGATGAAAACACACACAGTCGTATCCTATATATATATATTTAACTATATATATATGCTCTGCAGGGTAAATCGGTTGAGTTTATCGCACTTTACACCATTTGTGCCCAAGTGTTTGCACTTCGGGCTGGTGGTGCCAGCGATTTGCATGTTGTTTGCACATTTTAAAGAACCAAAGAGGACCAGGGAGAAGTAACCCAAGAAACCTGCAAGCAACCAGAGTGCAGGGAAAACAAAACACACCTCATGCTACACCTCACACCCAGCACACCCTTAAAAAAAATCCACAAAATGCGCAGCTAAAAAAAAACCAAACTAAAAACCCTAAACCATAAGAGACCACATAGAGGTGAGCTTGGAGTACAAGAAATCCCAAGTGCAGTGGCCGAAAATAAGAGGAAAGCTGGAAAATTAGCCGAGGAAATGTTAAAATGGAGCTGGAAAATTTAAGTACAAAAATTATGGATAGAAGAAAAGAATTGTTTTAATAAATATAAGTAGTATTAAGGCTTAGTGTTTTCAAAATAAAATTAAATAAATAAAATTTAAAACCCTTCCCTAAAAACCCACAAAAACCTTTCAGAAAATCGTCTCAAGAACCTCACAAAAAATCACAAAATATCTCTATAAACAAACCTCTAAAAATAGCCTAAACAACTTCCATAAAAACTTTACTTATTGAAATTGTTTATTTACTTTATCAAAACCCAAAAATCTGTTTAAAAAACTTCTCAGAAAAACCCTTAAAAACACCCTTTAAATCCTTTTCGAATAACTGCTGATCGTTTGAACATATTCAACTTAATATTGGCAACATTCAATTAAGACTAAATTAAAATCCTAGTCAAATATTCAAAGGCTTAAATAATTTAACAACATTTTGCTATTTAGTATATATTCAAATGTCCAACAAATGAAACACTTAATAAGCAATTAGAACACACTCAGTTTTAGCCCAATTTCTAGTTTGCTTATTTCCCTCCAATTCCCACTTAATTAACAACAACATCAAAATCTATTCACTCTAATCCCATCAGAGCCACTTGATATGGACCCCACAAATCTCATTCCAAATATATGCTAAAATATATATATATGTACATATATATAGTTAAAGAACAATCGAACACGCGCACACACACACAGTTGCGATCTAAGGAAACCAACAATACACACGGACACACTCAGTGTTAGTTACATTGCACATTCAAATCCAGTTTGCTCATTTCTGCATCAAAGTTTCGTTTGTTCCGGCAGACCCAAAATAATAATACTACTGGCAGAAGAGAGAAGGGGAAAGAGGCGGTGGAGGCAGGAGGCAGGAGCCGGGAAAACGGGGGAAAACTTTCGACTCAAAGTAATAAAAATGCACAAACTTTCAATGAGCTGGCAACAACAATAAGACGAAGAAGCAGAAGAGACTACAGCGTAAAAAAGGGAGGCAAATCAGGAGGATACAGTAGTCATTGGGAATTGTGACAAAAAATAAAGGAAATAATATTAAAAATAAAAATATTTGTTTTAAAAATAAAGTATATTGCTCAAAACTGAGCTTTATATAAATTTAATTCAATTAAATGAATTCCGAAAAATTATAAATTTTTACTATAATTTTCACTATAATTCTCAAGTGGCTGTAGCTAGGTTTACAAAAAAAAGAGATATGTAAAATATTATATGGAAATGGAGACCTTACAAAAATAATACAACAAATTAAAATATTAATAATAAACCATTCGTAAATAAAAACATAATTTGTCCAAAGATTTCCGTCCTTAATAATATTATTGTAAAGGGATTTTACTTTACAATAATATTATTAAGGTCGGAAATCTTAAGTGGTAATTATTTTGTAAATTAACTAAGAATAAAAATCTTTTAAAAAGCTATGGAAAGCAATGTTAGTTATATTAAGCCGGATTTCTTAGAAATTTTGCACATTGTTTTTGTGTTTTCCCAAGAGCCTATAATTCTCAAGTGGTTCTGGCAATGAATAACATATAAAGAAATACATTTTTAAAATAAATAAAGTAAATAAAGAGAGTACATATTTTGTCCTTTTTTTAAATAAATAATTGTTTTATAATGGCAAAACTCTCACTTTAATTTAATTTAATATTAAGCTTTTTAAGAACCAAGACAGAAAATACCCTGGAAACCTTAAAATTCATACAAAAAGTACTATATAAACCCTAACTATGCCTCATAAAATTCGTTAAAATTATAGCAGTTGTACTACATTTATTTAATAACACCTATTAAGTACCTCTAATGGTAAAACTACCAAATACCGGCACACTGTACTCATAAAACACCAACTAAAGTCAACGTCGAACAACGAACCTTTGACATTATTTCTCCCCTCTTTCCCACCTCTCTATAGACCCTCTTCTCATTCCCAACTAAGCGCTGGCCTGTTGCCCAAAAAGTTCGAACACATTTCAGAGACATCGGAGACATCGTCAGCACCCCTCCTATACATAGTATATATAGATGTATATATATCAGCCCGCAATGCTGCTCCTTTCCACTTGGCAGCCAGTTGAAGAAATTTGTGATATCATAATCTTGAGCTCAAGTATCATCACATAGAAAATCACTTAACGGTGTCGTCTGGCGTCTACTATGAGTGTGTGTGAGTGAGTTTGGCTCTCTCTCACTTGCTCTTGCTCTCTCTCAGGGATTTGAGGTTAAGCTGCTGTGGCTAAAACTTTTGGCCTAAACTAATTTGAGGGCTATATCCAGTGCTTCATTATTTGCGGTGGTTTTTGGTTGTTGTACTACGTTGTTGGTTTGCTGTTGCTGCGAGTCCTGCTCCTCCTGCTCCTCCTCCTACTCCTGTTGCAGTTGTTCTTGTTGTCCCTGCTGTCGCCTGTCTAATAACACTTAACTGGGTCTCGGTTTACAGCCCTCGAAATGGAAATGGAACAGCTTCCTTGGCCTTTTTCTACTGGGGCAATTAAAGCTTTTGCTGATTTTCCTATCCCCTCCCTTTCCTCTTTTCCCTTTGGAAGCGTTTGTTTACTTAGCTTTCTGGTCAAGAGCAATGCTATAATGCTAAAATGCTAAATGCTAAATGCCTGGCTAAACTGTACCCGATTTGGCCTACTATTATGGAGTCCATTAGGCCCGGGCAGCAGATGAAGATGACCATCGCCAGATGCTGGCCCAAAGAGTTGGCGCACACAAAAGGAATGAGTGGCTAAAAAAAGGAAAACTGGCCATTTTCCCAGGAAGATATTAAAGGGCCTTGGTTATTGCTCAAATGCACTGGGATGTAAAAGTTATTGTTTTGTAGTTAAAAGTGTTAAATATTTAGAAAATATGTGCCAAAATTTATAAAACCAGCGACAGTGACGTATAATCTATTTTTTTTATGTTTAATATTATTTAACAAAAATGTGGCTTGTTTTTTAATTTTATAGATAAATTTAAAGTTAAATAAATCATTACTCTTCTGATTAAATTTAAAAAAACAATTTAAAGTATATTTATAAAGAGAAGTAAATATATTAAATGATATTCTATGAATAATAAAAACTCAGCTTAAATGAATTTTTAACCATTCGAACTGAACTTAAAAAATAATTATAGTTACTCTGTTCTATAAGAAATTTATTTTAAAAATATATCTAAAATACCTCTCCCCAAAAAGCCTCAAAAATAATCCCCAAAAATACTTCTTTCAGTACCATTATTTTCACTCTGTGTAAACCAACTTTGGTTTCATAATTTTGCATGCAGCAAAACAACCAAATCAACAGCAAAAGCGAAAAATTGTTAATGCAGCCGTAGAGAGAGAGAACTTGGCTTTTGATAGTTGACGGCTGCCGACTGTAAAGTTTTAACAAGTTCTGACACTTGCAGGCAGGCGGCAGGAGGGGGAAGCGGACATGGCAAGGGGTTAGATGGACAACCGCTATAGCTCGGTTAAATGAAAGTGCAGCCAAGGCTTGGCCCCTTTGGTTATGCCTTCCTTTTTTTTCTTTTTTTTTGCAATGGAATTGCTAATTTCCGGGCACAACTTTGCGGTTCAGTGTTGCACAACTTTTCGCAGGAACTTCGACGACTGAGCGAGTGAGGGCTGGACAACGCTGCGTATGAGTAACATTATGCAGAGAGAGGCCGTAAGTTGAAGGTCCTTCCAAAGGCCTGGGGATAAAACTGTTGGTAGCAAAGGACACTGACCAAATTGGACCCAATTAGGCTGGCAAAGATTATAGAAATTATCAAAGAGGACTTTAAAAAGGACTTTTAAAGGGTTTTCCCAATGAAATTTCAAACTAAATTTCTTAAAATTTTATCTAAAAACCGAATTTTTTGACCAGTGCACTTGGCGGACGTCATTATCAATAGTTTTTCCTGAAGCGCTAATGACTTGAAACTTAGTTTAGCTTTGCCTGCTACCCCCTCAGTCCTTTTTTTGCTCTAAACGCGCTGTCATCATTTCCGTTAGCGCCGTGGCAACTTCCGCCCAGTTAGCACCCTTCAGTTAGAGACCTCCTCTACAACCCCTCCCCTAGACTAGAGATGACCAATTTCCGTTTATATAAGTGCATTGAACTTACGCTAAATCCGCCATCCAAATGCTCGCTGGAGATCTGCTTCAGTACGCCGACATATTTGAGATTATTGCAGAATTGCAGGGCCAGAGAATTGAAGAAGGAATTGTCCTGGTTGAAACACTCATTGGCGGGACTCTTCGGGTTGCTCTGCATCGTTGAGATTAGCCATTTCATCAGCATTTGACCTGCAAGAGGAAGAGGGAGAAAGCCAGTTGTAACTGAATGAAATAACTTTGATCACAGCTGGTCCACTTATTCACTCGGTGGTCCCCTCGCTCATTCCTAGTGGAAAGGAAAACTTGTAGCCACTAACCAAAGAGATTTATGGGTGAGAGACGCCTGGGGGTAAAGGAACTCCCAAGCTGAGAGTCCTAGCCCCCCGAAAAAAGCGGAATAAATAATTTTCTGGGCTAAAAGTCAGACAACAAGCTGGTTGCTGAAAATAATCCTAATCGATGAGGTCAGAATAAAGGATACTCTGCAATGTATAATACATTTTTGAAGGGGTAGTACAATCTGATCTTAATATATCCCCTATATTTCTACATTTATCACACAAAAACCTAGATAAATTATTATGAATGAATCAATATCTATTCACTTCTTTTTCTTATATCAATATATACCAATTTTTGAACCATAAGTCACTTAATCAGTTGACTTTCTTGACTATAAAATATAAAATCTTATGACTAATGGTTTTGATAAGATAAACAAAAGCAATGGTTGTTAAATGAAAAGGTTTTAAGTCCACAAATTAACAAAAATTAATCAAAGTTGAGACATTTAAGATAGGAATTGTGATTTGTCCAGAGTTGTTTCAACGATTTTAGGTTTTAAGATCAACAAAATATACATTTAAACCTACAAAATGATTCCCTTAGCAGAGAAACTCTCATCTAGAAGTAAAAAAAAACTTTTTTGTAGAAACAAAACTTACGCTGGCTGTCAGCGTGTGAGTGGGAAACAGTTTGTAGGAGCAGCAGGAGCAGATGTTTCGGGTCAGAGGTCCTCAGCAGGTCAACTTGAATCCGCACAATGCGTAGGCTAATTCCCAGCCAGACCTCAGAGTCCTCCAAGCCCAGAGATTCGACATCAGGTGGTGCTGGTGGTACTCCTACTCCCACTCCACCTCCTCCTTCTGTTCCCTTCTCCAATTGTTTTCCCCTCGAAAATCGAGTTTTCTGGGCCCGCCGGGCGGCCAATGACATTAGCTGTAGATAATGTGCTGGCAGCCTGGCAACATCCTCCTGGGAATCCCATTTCAAAGCCAATGGCCGTGCTTCTATTTCCGCATCGAACTCGAGTTCCTTTGAGGGGTGCTTGGCCAGTAGTGAGCACCAGACGTTGCTCAAGGCACTGGACATATAGTTGGGTATATATATTCACTACTAGATCGATAGATCTAGCTGAACTTTCTCCGACTAATTTCAATTCTCAACTGAGCTTGTTTGTTGTTCGTTTGGCGAGCAGTTAAAAAAAAAAGAATTGAAATGTGTCGAAACTTATCAGCATTATCAGTGCCGAGAACATGACAACAGTCGGCGCTCTCGACTAGGTTTTGTTAGCACACTGTGAGGAAAAATATGGTCTTAACTCTAAAAATTGAGGTATTTTCAGGGATGATTAAAAAAATCGAAAGATTGATAATGTATCGATATTTAAAGGGAATTTATCATTTAAAGTTATGATTGAAATGCGGTAATCAATGTAAGAAATAATATAATAAGTATATAAATAATAATATAAATAAGAAATAAAAATAAAATTTAGTAACATTGTTAAAATATATTTCAATATTTAAAATTTCGATAAATTAAAGTTGTCGATTTTTTCGATATTGAGGAAGATGGAACAAATGGAACTTTCCTATTTGTAATTACAAATATAATTATTTAATCTTAATGAAAGTATTAATCTATAAGTCCGCGATTTGTTATTCTATTTTTGATTGTATTTTATTAATATATATATTAAATATTTCCCTGTGCACTGATAATACTGCAGTATATTAGGAGAGACCTAGGCAATGAGAGCCTCGTATTCTTTTGGCCCTGACAAGGTCGTCTACTTTATCAGTCATGGCTATTTATTTATTGGTTTACTCCACACTCTGTCCCTCTGAATCATTTGCTAAATTCGTTCAATCAACCATTTAGGAAATTCAGACAAATTGTCTAAGTACGTCATTATTTTTCTTAATCATCGAGGTTCAAATTTCAGCACAAAATAAACTGATTCAAACGTTTATTCCCCTCTTTTTTTTAATTTGCACAAGTTTGTTTTGGTTTTCGTTAGCTTTATCTTTTAATAACCCTTTCCATAAGTGAAGTGTTGCTCGGGTTGGGACTTTAGATAGCGGAGGGAAAGCTGACTGATAGTGTCTGTGAAATTGATGTGAACAGTGATAGATTAAATCGGTTTTGATAGGGCCCAGCATTTTGAAGATTGAGTGACGCAAATCTATAAAATTAAAGTGCACTGAAAGATTGAAGTGGGGTATTTTTAATTAGAATTTAATTATATTATATTTGGATTAATTTATTAAAAGATAAGAAACTAACTTTTACAGAAGTCAAAAGCAACATTACAATTTTTCAAGGACCTCCATGCAGTTTTCCTGTTACCACTATCCCCATAAACCTATCTATAGCCCCGCAGTATGTCTAACCTTCCCCCATGTGCCTGCATCTATATCCCATAGTTACGCATCTCCTCATCCCTTTGGCCAAAATGCAATTGGGCTCACAAGATCATTAGCACACACCACATGCAAAGTTGCTGCCAAGGATTGCCATTTGGCTATCGATGATGGCCAAGGGTTCACAGGGTTAAAACCAGGAACAGGAACAACAGAAATAGGAGCAGGACAGGCGGCAGGAAGGAAGCGATAGCTTAGCCGGTCATCCGCTGGCCTCATAATCAGCGGGCGGTATCTCTTTTGTTGCTAGTTGCTCCCAATTCTTATTGTTGTTGTTGTTGTAGTTTTTGTTGGTATTTTTATTGTTGCTGTTGTTGTTGTTGTGTTTGGCCTTTATTGCTGGCGCCGTCGCGGCGTTGTGGCGAACGGGTTTTGATGAAAACTGCGCCACGGACGACGCACAACAAATTTGCATAACTGTTCGCAAGGCAAAATGCAACAACAAATATACACAGGAAAAAAAAAATGATAAAATAAATTAAAAAAAATATATATGACGAATTTGGAAACATTTTATATAAACTTTAATCATATTATTAATATTTATTGAAAGTATTTTTCTTATAAAACTTGTGTGACAGTTCTTGCTTTTTAAAGTTGTTGAAAGTCTTCAAAAATCTTCCTATAAACCCCCATTAATTTTCATAATATTTTTCTTCAGTGTAGACCACCCTCAGAAGAGCGGTAAGGGGTAGCTTAGAAGCAGAGGGGGTTGCGCTACGCTGGGTGGCAGCGGTTTTTGGCGCCTCACGCATGCATGCGCTGCATTCATCAACGGCAGAGTGGCGTTCGCTCCTCCGCTGATCCCCCCTCCCCACTCTTTGGACCGGAAAACAAAACGGATGAGAATGAAACGATGCCAGAAAACCACAAAGCAGAACTCAAAATGAAGCAATGAGGGACAGATGCAGCAGCTAAGAGGGATAAAGTAGAAGAGAGAATGCAACTAAGAGTTGAAAAAGATAAAGGTTGAAGGCGACTTGGAAATACCTAGAGTTGTTTTTTAATTTAATTTTTCTTGTATATAATTTAGGAAATAAATTAATTTCCCATAAAACTAGAAATAAAATTTACAAATATTAAATCTTTATCTAAAATTCCCTTAAATTAAATCCTTTATTAAAAAAAATCCTATAACTTAAGATCATTTATATTCAAAGTCCATCTTACAAAGTTTACATGGTTTACAAGTTTACAAGCACCGGAAGTAATTTCCCTTAAATTCTAAATATTATTTCTTTATTTTCGTCTATATTAAAAGCACACCCAGAGATCTCCCTTAAAGTTCAACTTTGACAGCAGCCCTCATCCCGTCCAGAAATCTCTTCATCCGAGGGAAGCTGGCGAACGTGATGTTGTCGAGCATATAAATCAGATTTTTGGTCCGAAAAGCGGTGCCGGACGTTGTTGCCTGATGAAAAGTCGCGACAAAAAGCTTCTGTTGTTTGACCCCCCTTCCTCTTCACTCCAGAATTTTCCCCAGCCCACACTTTACTCTAGCTAAAAACCCCCCCATCTTGCTGCAAAAGCCACGAAGAATTGATGGCCACTTCAGAGACAATGACGACGACGACGACGGCGCGAAAATGGGAGAAGCCCAAAGTGGCACAGGGAGAAAATATAAATTTTGAGGGGTGAATAGTAAACAAATTTGGGTTTGCTAAGGATTTTCTTATAAGAAAAATTTATGGGATATTTTTTAATATTTATATTTAATTTTAAAAAGAATTTTTTAAACTTAATTGCAAGTTTACTTTGATTTCAAAAATTTCCTAACCTGGTTTTCTTTCTCTGCACCACAAATTGCGTGTCCAGCTAAACCCCACCCCTCGCAGTTTTTCCACTTCATTCCCCCCTCCCTCTCTGCTGTTGCTGCTGCAGCTTCTCTTCTTCTTCGGTTGTTTGCCCGGCGAGGCGTTAAAATGTTTGTTTGCATTAATTTGCAGCAGACGACAACGAGGATGGCGATGATGGAGGATCAGGGACACCCGCCTATATCCTGACAGCGATGAGCTTACCAATTAGCGCTTTTTGGGGGGTGTGGCCACCCAATGTAGGCGTGGCATGTGTCAAAAACTGCGCCTCCAAAATGCCCGCGATGCGTTTGAAGCGAAAGTTTTGCAACCATTTTTGGTGAATGGAGAAGATTTTGGGAAATAGTTTGCTTCAAAAAAAAAAAAAAACGTAAGAAATTTTGGCTAAGGAATTTTGGAAGGCACAGCAGACAATATTTTGGAGTACAGTGGAGATTTTATAAATGAGGAATAATTTATAAGGAAAATATATTTTATTTGGAATTATTAAGAGAATGAATTTTGTAATGGAGAAAGTAGAATCTAGTGATTTACTCTGAAAAAAGTATTCTAAATATACATTATTTGTATTTAAATTTTAAATAATTAGCTTTAATTAATTTATATAATATTTTGTAAGTCATTAAAATATTTATGATGAGGTTAAGCTACAAATTTGAGGTTTTGAACATTTAAAACCCGACTTTTAAATAATTTTTGTGGCAGTTTAATTAATAAAAAACCATCTAAATGTAATTTTATTAGGTTTGTTTATCTTTTATGATATTTAATTAATATATTTTAAAAAATCTTAACGGTTAAATGAGAGGAAAATCTATTTAAACTGCCTTTTATAAGTTAATTTCAGTTATATCATCCTTAATTTACTTGTTTTATTATTAAAACAAAACTCTTAATAAATCACAAGGCTTTTATATCGAATCAAAACTATTCAAGACTATATATTCGTCTGCCTTGAGGGCGTGGCAATGTGCAATTCCTAGTCAACTGAAATTCCTGAGATTTTCAGTCTCTCTTAACTTTTGGGAGACGACGAATTTAAAGCCTTGGCCGTAAAGTATGCTACACATTTCTAAGCTCAGAGTGGGGCACAAGGTGGAAAAGATATATCGAAAGGTGAGAGAGGGGGGAAATACCATACTATATAGAGGTATGTATATGTATGTTCGTGTGCACTTCAAACACTTGCAAAATTGTTAACCTCACCAGTTTTCGCCTGCTCTCCTTCTATTTACATACAAAATTTCCCAATTATGCAATCATTCAACTTGATTTGACTTGCTTTTCTTGACTGATTTTCCAAAAGGAAAATTGCAAGAATAGTGGGGGCTAAAAGGGGGGCTCGAAAAGTGTGCTGGAGCTGAAGCAGGCAAATTAATTGTTAACTTTAAGCAAACAACAAACGCAATCAAACGTGGAGCAGAGCACCAAAAAAAATATAAGAAAAAAAAAGGGAAACGAAAGGGAAGAGCCCACGGAAAGGGAAATAAAATTAAATGTTTCCCGAGAAACGACACAAAAGGCAAACAGTAAATGCGCAGAAATCGCAGAGGTTACCTTTTATACATATATTTCTGCACCCCCTTCAAAATCCCTTTTTCCCCCCGGATTTTCCCTTCTCGATATCCCCAGCCTTTGGCATCGCTTCACTGAAGTCCCAGATTGGAGCATAAAGCGCAGAGAGAAAAAGAGAACACTGGGTTAATACTCTAAAGGTTTTTATGAGAAAAGAATTACGGGAAATTCTTTGGAGAAGAAAAAACTGCATTCAAGTCAGCAGGAAAAATAATAGGTACTTTCTTTATAGTTTTCTTAGGTGATTTAATTAAATCCCAGTGAACAATAAATATTTTTTTGAATATAAAGAGAAGCTTAGGAATCGTTTTATAACTGAAAATTTTATTTTTTAATTTTAGGATAGAAATTATATAATATAGGTATTATTTATAAAGGTTTTTATAAGAAAAGAATTACGGAAAGTTCTTTAGAGAAGAAGGAAAAATAATAGCTATTTTCTTTATAGTTTTTTAGATTTATTAAACAAATTTCAGCACTATAATATATTTTTAAATATAAAGAGAAGCTTTATTTTATGTGCTAAATTGTATGTGAAATTTCTTTCAAGATAGAAACCATATAATTTGGTTATTTTCAGAATAGAAACACACTTTTTTTTTTTATTATATTGAAATATATATAAATACAAGTTAACTTCCACTTAAAACCTTTAACCAAGCTTTAATTATTTTCTAATTAAAAAAATAAAAACCCCCAAAAAATGGTTCAACTTAAGAACAAATTCCTTGAAACCCAACCCACAACCTCAAGGTAACTCCACCCACTTTCAACCTTAGAGTATTTAAACACGAATATTTTCGGCAAACTTACCTTCGAACTTTTCATATGCAGCGAAGCTTAACTTTTCCGGTACATAAGATGAGCCGCGACGCGACGAACTGGTGCTCGACCCAACTCCTCCAACTCCGACTCCAATTTCTGGGTTCTGGGTTGCCACTAGCAACTGCGACGATGTCGGTGTCGTGGCCAGAAGCGTTGTCTCCTCGGCCAGAAGCGGGGCATTGGCACTCGGTGTAGAGCTATTGCCCGCCGACGATTTCTCGACCGTGAAGCTGGCGACCTTCTTGAGCACATTGCTCGACAGATGATGGGGCGTTGTCGGTGTTCCGAAGCCAGGTGGCGGCGCTGGTAGGCAGGGCAGGGGTGCTGTGTCATCCTCTACATTGTCGAAGCCGGCAGGAGGAGCAGCAGCAGTAGCAGAATTCGTTTGAGACTGCACAGGTGTTTGAGATGATTTAAACGAAATTATAACAGTTGATTGCGTTTCCAGCGACGAGGATGTAGCTCCTGTTCCCGCTCCTGCAGCTCCTGCGAATGAATGAAGGAATGACGAGGCAATGGCATTAGCTGGATAAATTTGTATAGAATCTGCCGTCCATATATACTATATATATACGTTCTGTTCTGGCTTGACTCGCTTCGAAAAATTCAAGATAAATGTATTCAGTCAGCGCATAAGTCACTTTCCATAATTACTGGTTAAATTGTAGAATTTTCAGCAAACATTTGCCAATCATTTATCATTTCTACAGGTTCTGGTGGGAGTTTTTCCAATATTTAATATTGGATTGAAAAGAGGGGGAATCTTTTTAAGATTATTTTATGTTTTTTAAATGTATTTTGGATGAATAAAAGCTTTCTATATTCTCCATTTGTTGTTTAAAGTATGAATCTTAAAATCAACTTAATATTTAGGGGACTTATACACATTAAAAATGTTTTGAAATGTTTAGTTATCATTTGATATAATTTATATATCAATTTATTATCCATTTAACACATTTCAAAGTATCTAAAAATGATTTTAAATTCTTTAAAATCCACCCAGTTTCCTTTTTTAAAAAAATCTTCCCACTTCAGGTCAATATTGAAATGATTTACATTCATTTAATCGAAATTCATGCACAGCTCTCTGCCTCATAAAAAATTGCCTAAAATAAACATATAATTTTTCTAGTGCATTAAATCTAGCTCAGCCTCCTGGCAATCAGTTTGTGTACTTTCAGGCGGATCCTTGATTTTCGGCAATTTTTATGGTCCCTCCACTCCGATTGAGTAGACCCTGCGGAGCGCTTATCGCAGGCCATCATCATTGACTGTGTACCCAAGTGGTTATGATGGCCTCCACACCGCTTACCCGCTTTCCCGCTCTCCTGCTCTTCGATTTGGGCGGAAAAAGTCCCGCGTGTATCATTCTATATAACATGATTTAATTAAAATTTAAACTTTCGTTTTTTTTGCTGCGTTTTTGTGGGTTCCCCTGCGGAGCCGCAAGGGGGATTCACACGAAAGTCAGCAAACGAAGCTGAAGCCGAGCCTGAAGCGCCTGTTTCCGGCCAACATTTTGTAAACAATGAAGACGTGTTTGCAATTTTTAAGTTTTTTACAAATGTTTTTTGTTCTCGGCAGTATTTTGTTTTTTGTTTTTTGTGTTTTGAGCTCTTCTGGGTATTCGCGATACAAGCCAGAGGCCCGAAAAAAGCAGCGAACCATGTTCGCTTTTGTTTATTTTTTGTTTATCGAGCCGAGCGAGTTGGGCGAACGCAATTAGGTGAATTTTCCGAGGAGGGGGGGAGGTGCAGGAGGAGGAGAGTATCGCGGGGGCACTTTAGCCAGGGCAATTATATATTTAAAATATCATGTGGGAGGCGGAGGAGAACGAGTCCTTGCATAAATGTGCCAATAATTACTTTCGGGTCCTGCTTTTGTTAATTCTTTTTTTTTCTCTCTCCTTTTTTTCATCACTTTTCTCGCATTTTGTTTAAAGGCGCCGCCGTTGATCGGATCAGTTTTTGGGAAAACAAAGAGAGTTGGTTGAGAAAATTAAAGAAAAGCGAGGGGAAGCTGTTGCTACATGAGTTAATTAAAAAACTTTGTATTAAGGTTCTGCCCATCACCCTTTTTTTTTTGCTCGGAAGGTCCTTTTTTTTAAGGGTATTCTTATTGAAAGAGGCTTTCAAAGTCATAGGATGTATCTATGTCAAATAATTACAGATGGTCAAGAAGGGAAGGAAGAAGGAGATTTAATTGCTTTGTTGTAGACTAATTTCTATATTTTTTATATTTATCCTACGATTTTTTAAATCATTAAGAAACCCCTAGTAATATTTATCTATAATTTTCTTTCATATATAAAATTCTCTTTAAATTTTCTTTATAATTTCTTTAAATTCAATCTATATTAAACATAATTTTCCCTAACTATGTAGTCTACACCTAACAAGCTGTTCGCTATTCTAATTTTTATTTTTTGGAACATCACCTGCCAAGAGGATGAAGACACTTCAATTTTTGAGAGAAGGTCAGGTGAGGGGGTGGAAAAACAACACTCAAACCTACAGTTTGGCAAGCACTTCTGTCCGACCCGTGTTTACCTTTGAAATTGGCGCAGAGCGAAATAAGCAACAAGCAAAAATCCTCATAACAAAAAAAGGGACAAGCTTTTAGACAGTTTCTCCTCTTAGTTCGTTTTTTTTTTCCTTTTTTTGTGACTCAAGGACCACTCAGTAGAGCACACACATATGGCTACAAGTGTGTCACAACAAACAAGACGAAAAACTAGGGGAATCTAGTGGTTGAATTGCAAATTCTGTCTCGAAATATATGCAACTTTAAGTAATTTTTAACTCAAAATAATACTAATTACTGTGGACTTGTTTAATGTGTAAATTATAGACTCTTTTCATTTTTAAAGCTTTAAATGACTTTAAAATTAAATCATATTTTTTCAATGGGCTTACAATTATTGCTTTTGTTTAAAATGGTAATTATATGCATTGCTGCATTGCTGGTGATTTAAAATTTTATTTAATGATAAACACATTAGGCGGAAACTTTAAAAGTTGTGGAAAAGGCAAAGCTATTATTTAAACATTAAAATTTTGACTTTAATGTGAAGCTTTCTGAGGTTTATGGATTTTAAAGTGTTTTTTATAAATAATTTTAGCTCAAAATATAAATATAAATTATTTAAACATTTAAATTGTGACTTTAATGAGAAGCTTTCCGAACATTGTATATTTTTTATAGATTTTAAATTGTTTTTTATAAATAATTCTACCTAAAAAATGTAAATATAAATATTATATAATATAAATAATAATATCTCTTTCTAGGCCTTTTGTTTTATAACCTTATATCTCCTTAAAAATTTATAATATAATCCCTTCTCTAGTTCAGCAATTATCACTTTTCCTTCCGAAAATTTCCTATTCCCTTTAACAATAACAAATTCACTTCTTACCTGTTTCATTTGCTGTTGCTGCTGGTGTTGTTACCAAAACACCTGGCGGAGTCTGCCCAACGGCAGCTGCAAATCGTGATGAAAGATTCTGAAGCTCCACTTTCTTGGCCTTGGAGACATTAAAAAGCTCTCCATTGCCCAGAGGCGAGTCCACGAGCCTTGTTCCTCCTGTTCCTGCCGGAGTGCCTGCCTCCGTGTTGCCCGGTGTCAATGGCGTGCCCGATCCACTGCCCAAGACTTGGGCCAACTTCTTGCCCAGCTGCAGAGCCATGAGTTCGTCCGGCGAACCCTCTGCCGGGCTATTGGGTGCTACCAAGAGTTCGGTATTAAGCAATATAGCCGGCTCAGCCTCCTCGACTTCTTGCAGATCATTGGCTATGCTGAGGTAGGTGACACGGGTTAAGCTCAGGCAGGCCAACTTGTCGGCTCGACACCGCCGCTGTAGCTCTAGCACAGCCTTTGCAGTGCTCGGCGATAAAGTGTCCACCGATGTTACACTTATTTCGCTCAGTGGACGATCACGCTTCGATGGCGGTATAGCAGCTGCCTCACACACTTTGGTTGCTGGCAAAGGGGGCAGTGGCGAATTGGGGACGATCAGCTCCTCGTCCACGGGATCTGTGAAGAGGGAATCATTGCTTGAACAACTGGTGCACAACGATCTCCGGTCGTAGGGATAATGATGATCGCAGTGATGGCGGTGACAGTTTCGACTTGAATGGTGATGATGATGATGATGATGCGAATGTTGCTGCTGCCGCTGGCTGCCATGGGTTAAGGTGTCGTTGGAGGCGTAGCAACAGTCGTCGCTGCTGCAGTTGTGGTACTCTAAGGAATCGGTGTAATCCAAACTGACCAAGTCGTCTTTATATTCGGTAAGCGATTATATAGAGAAAATAGAGACAGATAATCGAGATGAAGAGGATGAGAGAATAGTAAGATTATAGAGAAATAATGTGGAAAAATTCAAAGAAAAAATAATTTCAAACGGTGTGGTAAATAATTGTGAAAGTCAGCAAGTGGATATTATGATTTTAATGGTAAAAGTAGACTTTTAAAATATAACAAAAATATATCTTGCTCTTCTGAGTTAAAAAAAACTAAAATATGAAATCTATAAATTAAAAAACAACGAAAATAATACTTTTCACCCTTAAAAAACTATTTCATAATTTTTAAAAAATGGTTAGAGATGGTGGTTATTGTTTACCATTTAAAAGTTGTTCCCCAAAATTTATAAAATAAATTTCCAGTTATCAAATTTTCTATAATTCACCAGCTTTATGCCAAAAACAAGTGCGATGAGCTCGCTGCTCAAATATTTGGAATTAAATAAAGCGGCTCGAATGATTTATTTGCCATTAATGTACGACGGGGGCCCCAACGCTGTCTCATTCACAAAAATGCGACATGTGTGTAAGAAATATTAATTAAACAAAAGTAAATAAAAACAAGGCGCCACTGGAAGCCGAAAGCCGACTAAAAACAAGAAACAGAGAGCGAGAGAGAGTGCCAGAGCCAAGAGAAAAAACTCTCAGAGAGACACGACTGGAAAGCCGCAGAATTATGAAAATCTATATGGGGAAAATGGTCAAGAAAGAAAAACACGGAAAAAAGGTGTGTTTTCCACTGGCTAAATGAAAATGAAAATGGGGGGAAAAGGTTAGAGAAAATCCCCATGCCCAAGGTAAACAAAGAAAATTGTACAAAACAGAACTGGAAACTGGTTTGGTTATGGGTCACTCTTCGGGGTAACCAGAAATATGCGTTGGCGTCACTTGGGTTGCCTTTTTGCCCCCCCACTTCCCCTCACTTTAAATTGTTTAATTAAAGCAAATTGAAAGCAAAACAAAAGCCGAAACCCTGAGATGAACCGCGATATAACACAGAAAAAAAGGTACTCCAAGATAAAAGCGAGAGAAAAAAAGAACACAATAAAAGGTAGAGAAAAAGAACACCGCTTAAACACCTGTAGATTGCGGCCGTTGTTAATTGCTAATTGCATTTGTCAGGCACTTTTCCTTCTCGACACTAGAGACACTCTCTTAACTTGTCACTTTTCACATTGTATTTTTCCAGCAGTATTTTTGTTTTATTTTAATTTTTGTTTTCTTTGTAGTGTTGTTTTTAAACTTGGAACGATCTGCGCGGAAGCGAGTTCAAAGCGTTACTAACAACTGGTTTGCCGAAGGGGGGAGCATGGAATTAAAACCCAAACAGCGTGGAAAGAGCCGCTGGAAAGCCGCTGAGCGAGAGCCAGGCAGAAAAAGGTGGGGGATAACTGGAGACAGGCAGGGGAGAAAGAGAGGCAGAGAGACATGAAGAGAGCGAATGCCGGAGAACAGAGAGAAAAATACATATTTATATTTTATTTTTTGTTGGGGGTCTTAAGCTCGAATTACATGAAACGAAAGCAGAGCAGAAAAATTTGAGAGAGATCACAAATAAAAATAATGATCGACATTAGAAATACCTCGTATTTTCATTAAATAATTTAATTTATAGTTTTGAAGGTTTCTTAAATAAGTATATTTATAAATGTGATTAATTTTAATATATTTTTTTTTTTCAGTTGGAAAAGTTAAACATTTAAATAATTTAAAATATTTTTGTTTGTTTTTCTTTAATTATAATCACTATTTTAGGTATTTAAAATTATGATTTTCTATGTTTAATAATTCAAAATAAAATTATTGTTATTTTTTAAATTATATAAAAATTTAGCAATGAATAAATAAATGTTGTAAAAACCTTAAACAACCTTAAATTAAATTTAAAAAAAATTTCTACATATCTTATATGGAATTTTAATCAAATTAAATAAAACCTTCAATTAAAACAAAAATTTTCAAATGAAAGTAAATATTTTGAAGTAAGTCTTTCTCCTTGTCAAACCCTCTTTAATGACTAAAAACTCCCTAAATTCCGTTAAACCCCTTATTAAATAAATCCCCCTTACATTACTCATTAGCAAAAGGCAGCGCAGCAGCAGCGTCGTTGGCTCCAAAAGTTGCATGTGTTTTTGTGTATTTTTTGAGCTTACCCGCAACCACTGTCAATGTTGTTATTATTTTTGCCTGAGCCGATGTCTCGGCCACTGTTGATATTGTTCTCAGTAATGTTGCCTCACTTGTGGCTGCAAAAAGCTGCTCAATGAACGCACAGTGATCATCATTTGGTAGTTTTGCCCCCCTCATTTTTCTGGGTTTCGGTAAAGGTTTTTCAATGGCTTTCGGTGTTGTGGGTGGTTGTGGTGCAATTCGTCTTTTCCTTGGCTGCTTGACAGTTGGCGTTACTTCCGGTGTTTGGTAATTCTCCTGTAAAATTCCCAAGGTCTCTTCGACATCGGCATTATCAGGAGGAGGAGGAGTAGACCACGGGCACAGCTGTTGGGTTAAGCTGCAGGGTTCCTCTTTATCTGCTCCTTGTTCACGTTGATGTAGTTTCTTCAATCTCGGTGGCTTTGCAGGCGCTTTTCAAAAACAAACATATATTGCATACTTTCAGGCTGCAGGAGCATTCTACAAATTAAGCAATTCTTCGCGAACTGAAAAGCTCTTCTTAAATGGACATTAACATATTGTTCTATTTTTTTTCTGTGTTTTTTTGGGGAAATATTTGAAAAGAGTTGCCCGAAACAATTTAATACATAAAGTCATACATTAAAGTATGCCTAATTTTGCATTTTTGAAGGAATTTTGAGAAAGGTTTTACAAAAATGTACAAAAGATTGATATTTAAATGAAATGCTACTTGAAAAGTTTTTTTTTTAGTATCAAAAGCGATTTATTTGGATTTTAACAATTGAGAAGACAGAAAATATGTACATATCGGTACTGTATCGATTTTTTATGCGATCCGATTGCAATAAATCGATAATTCACTAGACATTTCGGAGAAATGATTGTCTTATTATTATTATTTAAATATTTTAGGAGAGAAATTTCCTAATAATAATTATTATATAAATATTATAGGAGAGAAATTCCCTAAACAAATGAAATATTAGCTTTATAAATATGTCGTCCTAATTATTATTATATCTAACGACAATTAATCTGAATCATTGACCTTTTTTAAAATATTTTCATCTAAATTATCTTTGATTTACATTTTAAAATATTTTCATCTAAATTATCTTTGCTTCACAATCTACAATTCGGTTTTAAAATTCCATAAAATCTCATAAATTGCTGCCCAACAGTTTTGCAAAACGAGTTTCCCAGACTCGAATGTATTTACACGCTCAATTATTGCAATATTATAACAAATTGTAAACAACATTAAATAGTTGTTAAAACTACACACTACACACACACACACACACACACATAGACAGGCAGGATAGGAGGTAAAAGAGAGGTGGCGATAGAGATGAGTGAGTTTACAACTATACATGGGAATGTAATACAAGCAAAACTATTAAAACTAATTGCCATAAATATTAGCGGCCAGCCACGTGCCATGCCAAAAAACTTTTCCACTGTAATGTGGCTCCTCCTCCTCGTCCCTACACATGTTGTGTATTAGTGGTAGTTGTGTGTTTATGTGTGTGTGTGCCTGGGTGTGGGCGCTTAATTGAGCACGTTGCCCTAACTCTGCCACAGGCTGCAGTTCCACAGAAATAAGCGAAAAAATAAAACTAGAAATCGTAAGCCAAAACTCAGCAATGGTAGAAGAGCTGCCTAAAATCCGCCCACAACCCACTTCCGCCTCTATTTGCCACCCCCTTGCCAATGGCCTTCCATGCTTTCCGACCTGCTTAAGGGTATTTGATTTAATTTGCAGAGTCCAAAACCAAACTGGGCCTAGACTTGGAGCCTATAAAGGCTATAACTTGTATGTTTATGAACATTAAAGGTCTTTTAATAAGAGTAAAAGTTAAACTAAAATTTTAATTAATTATATAAATTGAAAAATCAGCTAATAATAAATATACTTATTCTTATTAAAAATCAGAATGAAAGTATCTCGAATTTTTAACTCTAATTACTCGTAAGATCTTATTGAAAGTCTCAGAGAAAGAGTTATACATGACCTCTTATCGTATTAATTTGTAAACAATTGAATTGAACAAAGGAAATGTTTATTTATTTAAGGCTTCCTTTGCGATAAGAACTCTTTATACATTACGATAAGTCCGCATAGAGTACCTTAACTCTAATTAGCTTCCGAACTAATGATAATAAAGTTCATTACCCACAAAAAGTATAAAAGAGACTTGAAGAGTTGTGCAAACCTCTTGAATTATATATATTCGCACAATAAAATACGTATATATATATTTATTTTCTATCTGAATCATTCTATTATCTGATTTCTGCTGAAACAAACACAATTTTCAACAATTGTCTTTGGCAGATATGTGCGCTTTAGAGCTTGATAATAATTATTTATTGCCATATTTTCAATACTTCCAAGTTTTCATTTGAGAGTTCGCCAGAGCTCTCGATCAGTCTTCAAGGAGCTATATTGCAGTCATGTGGCGCTTCGGAATTCTTCTCTGTCTGTTAATTGTTCCTTTTTCAGAAGGCAAGGACAAAAAGGAAGTATGTACTCTACTGATGATGTGCGACAAAGTCGATGAAGTCAAGTCGGAAGTGGCTTCTGTGCGGTAAATATAATAATAAAACAGAATTTAAGACACTTGAAAACGAACTCCTTTTGGTGCAGTGAGGAGCAACAAACCCAGAAAATGATCTCGGAAAACCAGACACTAATTTTGGAAAACCAAGCAGACATTTTGAGACAACAAACGCAGATCTTGGAGCTCCAGACCCAGATCCTGCAGGGATTAACACTGTCTGGAACCAATTCCTACCCCTCAAGCTGTGCCGATGTTTCGAAAGAAACCAAGCTCCTGATCCGCGTGCCTAAGCACAGTGAGGATCCCTTCGAGGTGGCCTGCGATCAGCGGAGTCGAGGAGGCGGTTGGACCATTATTCTGCGACGAAACGATGGGAGCGAGGATTTCTACCGCGGATGGGAGGACTACAAACGTGGATTTGGTCAGCTGGCCGATGAATTCTTCCTGGGATTGGACAAAATTCACGCGATGACCAATGACCAGATCCAGGAGTTGCTCGTCCTTCTGGAGGACTACGATGGAGTGAGAGCTTATGAGTTATACGATGACTTCAAAGTCGGACCCGAGAGTAACAACTACACCTTGGGATCGCTGGGCTTCGCTTCCGGAGACGCCGGTGATTCACTTGCCCGTCAATTGGGCATGATGTTCAGCACTAAGGATCGTAACAACGACATCAGAACAGATGACGAAGAATGCGCGAAAAGGTTTACTGGTGCCTGGTGGTATGAAAAATGCCATGACAGGTAATATACTCATTTGACAAGGTTTTAGATTCTGTTCAATATGGATTTTCTCCTCTTTTAGCAATTTGTGTGGAAAATATGGCGATAATGACTTTGGAAAGGGTATAAACTGGTATACTTTTAGAGGTCATAATTACTCACTGAAGAGAGCCGTAATGATGATAAGACCAAAAACTTCGGCTCTTAACTGATCTTAATAGAACTAACCACAAATTGGGGTCAGACATGGATCAATATTGAAGGTCATAAAATAATAAAATAATTCTATAAGTAAATGAGATAATTTTGAATAAAAAATTTCGGAGTGTATGGGCAAAAACAGACTTTTTTAATCCGATTTTAACTTAACATTTTTATAAGTATATGTTCGTTTTTAGATTTGTGCGGAAATGACTAATTTTCCATGCTGGAAAGAAAAAGGTAATTTTAAAATTTTTATTTATTTAAAGCTTCCGACGCGATAAGAGTTCTTTATGGCTGTTTTCATATCAGTCAGAAACAAGACTTGGGGATTTTTATTTTTTTATTCGCCGAACAACACACAAATGTATTTGCTGTCTGAATCTTTCTATAATCGGATTTCTACTTGATAATAATTATTTAACATATAGCCATGTTTTTATAACGCACTGCAAGTCTACTCCAAAGTTTTCATTTCAGACTTCGCCAGGGCTTTTGATCAGTCTTTAAAAAGCTGTGTTGCGGTCATGTGGCGATTCGGAATACTTCTCTGTCTGCTAATTGCTCCTTCTTCAGAAGGCAAGGACAAAAGGGAAGTATGTACTCTACTGATGATGTGCGACAAAATCGATGAGGTCAAGTCGGAAGTTGTTTCTGTGCGGTAAACAATAATGTACAAGAATTTAAGACATTGGAAAACGAATATCTTTCGGTGCAGGGAGGAGCAACAAAACCAGAAACTGATCTCGGAAAACCAAACACTAATTTTGGAAAACCAAGCAGACATTTTGAGACAACAAACGCAGATTTTGGAGCTCCAGACCCAGATCCTGCAGGGATTAACACTGTCTGAAACCAAATCCTACCCCTCAAGCTGTGCCGATGTTTCGAAGGAGACCAAGCTCCTGATCCGCCTGCCTGAGTACAGTGAGGATCCCTTTGAGGTGGCCTGCGATCAGCGGAGGCACGGTGGCGGCTGGATGATAATCCTACGAAGAAACGATGGAAGGCAGGACTTTTACCGCGGATGGGAGGACTACAAACGTGGATTTGGTGATCTTGCTAGTGAATTCTTCCTAGGATTGGACAAAATTCACGCGATGACCAATGACCAGATTCAGGAGTTGCTTGTCCTCCTGGAGGATCACGATGGAGTGAAGGCTTATGAGCTGTACGATGACTTCAGGGTCGGACCCGAGAGTAACAACTACACCCTGGAATCGCTGGGCTTCGCTTCCGGAAACGCCGGTGATTCACTTGCCCATCAACTGGGAATGATGTTCAGTACTAAGGATCGAAATAACGACCTTAAAACGGATGGCGTTGCATGCGCGGAACGGTATACGGGTGCCTGGTGGTACGAGAAATGCCACAGAAGGTAAACCTTTCATTTGCCAGAATTTAGATTCTGATTAATATAAAATTCCTCTCCATTAGCAATTTGTGTGGCACGTATGGCGATAATACCAAGGGAAAGGGAGTGACCTGGTATTCATTTAGGGGCCAGGACTACTCGCTGAAGCGCGCCGTGATGATGATCAGGCCAAGGACTGCGGCTCTTAACTGATTTTCATTAAACCAACCAGCATACAAAACTATATACATATATTTTCATATTTAGTGACTTTGAAGAGCTATTTAACCTCGCATAATAATTATTATAGTAATGTGTGCTCTAGAAGGTTGATTAATGTTGAGTAAAACTAAACTAAACTCTACATTGAAACCTTAATCAGAAAGACCATTGACCGCTTCGTATCAGTTAAAACAGAAACGTATGGGCTAATTACTTGACTCTATAAATAAGGTGAAATGACACATTTTCGAAAAAATACCCCTGCCGGAAAAATAAGTAATTTAAAAATGTACGTTGTGTGAGGCTTCAGTCGCGATAAGATTTCTATATGGTTGATTTCATATCGGTCTGAAATATATAATTTCCTACATATATGGGGAATCTTAACTCTAACTAGCTTCCGAACTGGTGATAATAAAGTTCATTACCCGCAGAAAGTATAAAAAAACTTGGAGTTGTGCAATCCCGCTGAGTTTCTTATATTCGCACAATATATTTCCTATTATATATTTCCTATATGAATCTTTCTATTATCTGATTTCTACTAGTACAAACAAAAATTTTAACAATGGTTTTTGCGGCTAATTACGCTTTGGGGCTTGATAATCATTATTTATTGCCATAATTTTATTACGCACTTCAAGTCTACTTTGAAGTTATCGCTTGAGATTTCGCCAGAGCTTTTTGATCAGTCTTCAAGGAGCTGTGCTGCACTCATGTGGCGCTTTGGAATACTTCTCTGTCTGCTAATTGCTACTTCTTCAGAAGGCAAGGACAAAAAGGAAGTATGTAGTCTACTGATGATGTGCGACAAAATCGATGAAGTCAAGTCGGAAGTGGCTTCTGTGCGGTAAATATAATAATAAAACAGAATTTAAGACACTTGAAAACAAACATCTTTCGGTGCAGTGAGGAACAAGAACACCAGAAACTGATCTCGGAAAACCAGACACTCATATTGAAAAACCAATCGGACATTTTAAAACAACAAACGCAGATCTTGGAGCTCCAGGCCCACATACTGGAGAAATTAACACAGCCTGAACTCCTATCGTACCCCTTGAGCTGTGCCGAGGTCTCCAAGAATACTAAACTCAAAATCCGTGTTCCCGAGTACAGTGAAAATCCCTTTGAGGTGGCCTGCGATCAGCGGAGTCACGGCGGCGGCTGGACCATAATCCTACGAAGAAATGATGGAAGCCAGGACTTTTATCTTGAATGGGAGGTCTACAAACACGGATTTGGACAGCTGGGCAACGAGTTTTTCCTGGGACTGGATAAAATTCACGCTATTACCACAGCTGAGCCCCAGGAGTTGCTGGTTCTATTGGAGGATTATGAAGGAACCAAACGATACGAGATGTACGATGACTTCAAGGTGGGCCCCGAGAGTAACAACTACACCCTCGAATCGGTGGGTTTTGCCTCTGGAGACGCCGGTGATTCGCTCACCGATCAGATGGGAATGATGTTCAGTACCAAGGATCGCAATAACGATGTTAGAACAGATGGCGTTGAATGTGCGATAAAGTTTACTGGTGCCTGGTGGTACGAGAAATGCCATAAGAGGTAAGACACTCCTTTGACAAGATTTAGATCATGTTTAGAACGATCTGTCTTTCCCTTAGCAACTTGTGTGGCAAATACGGCGATGATGGCTATGGAAGAGGAATAAATTGGTATACTTTCATGGGTCATAATTACTCACTGAAGAGAGCCGTGATGATGATAAGACCAAAGACTTCGGCTCTTAACTGAACTTAATCGAACTAACCACAAATTGGGGTCAGACATGAATCAGTAAGGCTTATAACTATGAAGGAATCAATATTGCAGGTCAACAAATAATAAAATAATTATATAAGTAAATGTAATGATTGTGAATAAAAAATAAAGCACTGGTTACCACTGGTTATTGTCAGAATAATATAAAATAGCTTGTCGTGACTCGCCTTAGGATCCGAATTTCTAAATGTACGGGGGGAAAAGCGATTATAACGTTTTTAGATAAACGTTTTTATGAGTGTATGTTCTCGCTTCCGTTGCGATATTCATATCGGTTTAAAATATATATAAAATAAAGTCATTTATATTTGTTTCTTCTCTGAATTGTTTTTTTATAGCAATCTTCTTATTATAAAGTTTTCGTTTTAGACTTTGCCAGGGCCTTTGTTTAGTCTTCAAAAAGCTTTGTTTCAGTCATGTGGCGCATCGGAATTCTTCTCTGTCTGCTAATTGTTCCTTTTTCAGAAGGCAAGGACAGACAGGAAGTATGTACTCTACGGATGATGTGCGACAAAATCGATGAAGTTAAATCGGAAGTGGATGCTGTCCGGTAAATATAATAATAAAACAGAATTTAAGACACTTGAAAACAAACATAATTCGGTGCAGCGAGGAGCAAGAACAACAGAAACTTATGCTGGAAAACCAGGCAAATATTTTGGAAAATCAATCAGACATTTTGAAACAACAATCGCAGATTCTGGGGGAAATGGCATTGTCTCGAAACAAATCGTACCCTTCAAGCTGTGCCGATGTATCGAGAGAGATCAAGCTACTGATCCGCCTCCCCGAGTACAGTGAGGATCCCTTCGAGGTGGCCTGCGATCAGCGGAGTCACGGCGGTGGCTGGACCATAATTTTGCGACGACACGATGGAAGGCAGGACTTTTACCGCGGGTGGGAGGACTACAAACGTGGTTTTGGTGACCTGACCAGTGAATTCTTTTTGGGATTGGACAAAATCCATGCTATGACCAGTGACCAGATCCAGGAGTTGATCGTCCTTCTGGAAGATCATGAGGGAGTTAAGGCCTTTGAGATGTACGATGAATTCAGAGTCGGACCCGAGACTAACAACTACACTTTGGAATCGCTGGGCTTCGCTTACGGACCCGCTGGTGATTCCCTAAGGTATCAATTGGGCATGATGTTCAGCACCAAGGATCGAAATAACGACAAGAGAAAAGATGGACAAGAATGTGCAAAAATGAGTACAGCTGCCTGGTGGTACAACGAGTGCCGCGAAAGGTAAGACTTCTTAACAAAGATTTTCAATCTAATTAATATGAAATTCTCTTTAGCAACTTGTGTGGCACTTATGGAAATAATGAATTTGGAAAGGGAGTAGCCTGGAAAGCTTTCAGGGGTCTGGACTACTCCCTGAAGCGAGCCGTAATGATGATAAGGCCTAGAACTGCGGCTCTTAACGGGTCTTAATCGAACTTCTTATAGATTTTTAAATAATTCAGTAATTGCATTAATAAATTTCATTAATATGAATTAAAAATTCAGCACGGTTATAGCTTGGGCTATTATTAATAACTATCCCACAACTAAAATCATGTTCAACCAACCTATTTAGTGGGCTTTATAATCAAATTATAATGACAAATTGTCAAAGATTTAGAAATAAAATTTATACGAGGCGTCTGTTGCGATAAGAATTATTTATGATCTTGGTGTCATATCATATCATATCGGTCAAAAATATATCAGTTAAGAACTTCTTAGAATGATTTCGTTCAATCTGTGTGGTATATATTTCCGTATAGGAAGATAAGGTTAAACAGTCTACAGAGAGACCTCCTGAGGCCATGTTGTGTCTCGGAATATTACTTTGCCTGTTGGCTTTGAGTTCTTCTATTGGTCAGGACCAAGAGGATGTGTGTAATCTATTATACATTTGTGACAATGTTTCGGAATTGAAATCAGAGATCACTGCTGTGCGGTAATAATTAAAATAATAAATAAATAATTATGAATATAACACGAATTTCCGTATGAGCAGTGAAGAGCAGCAACACCAGACTGAGATCTTGGAGGGATTGCCTTGGTGCGTAACCAAGCCGTATCCTTTAAGCTGTGCCGAGGTCTCCAAGACCACCAAACTCCATATCCGTGTTCCCGAGTACAGTGAGGATCCCTTTGAGGTGGCCTGCGATCAGAGGAGTCACGGCGGCGGCTGGACCATCATCCTACGAAGGAACGATGGCAGCCAGGACTTTTATCTCGAATGGGAAGACTACAAGCACGGATTTGGCCAGTTGGGCAACGAGTTCTTCCTGGGTCTCGATAAAATTCATGCTATTACCACAGCTGAGACCCAGGAGTTGCTGGTTCTATTGGAGGACTACGAGGGAGATCAACGATACGAGATGTACGATGACTTTAAGGTGGGCTCCGAGAGTAACAATTATATCCTGGAATCGGTGGGTTCTGCCTCTGGAGACGCCGGTGATTCGCTCACAGCTCACCAGGGCATGATGTTCACCACAAAGGATCGGAAAAACGATGGAGACGAAGACTGCGCCGCCAGGTTTACTGGTGCCTGGTGGTACAGGAATTGCCACGTGAGGTAAGTCTTGTTTATTACGAATTATGATATGGTTTAAAATGAAATTTGTTTCTCATTAGCAACTTGTGCGGCAAATATGGCGATAATACCCATGGAAAGGGAGTGACCTGGAATTCATTTAGGGGTCACGACTACTCCCTCAAGCGCGCCGTGATGATGATCAGACCGAGAACGTCAGCCCTAAACTGAACTAACAGTTTTTGTATAATTGTTTTACTATTCTTTTTGTTATCAGTTTTTATCTGACAATGTGGTAACTGAAGCTTAGCGTACTTAAAAATAAAAATATATATATATATACAATTTGACACATAACAAAATGGCGGCCATTCAAAAAAAATTTCGATTTCGGGCTTTTTTTGTAGTTTAGTGTAAAAAAAAAAAAAGAAAAAAAATTTTTTTTTTTAATCTGTTCCGTCACCCGAGAATGGTGACAATTCAGCGTCGATTTCACTTTGTTTCATGAAAATCGGTTCAGTTGAACTGGAGATATCATGGCCGCCAGTTCGAAAAACGTGGTTTCGAGATAAACGCGTTTGAAGTTTGAAAAAAGCTCATTTTGCGAAGACCTTTCTTCACAAAAAAGGCTGTATCTTCTATAGTATTTCGAATTTCTAAAAATCCTTTTAGGGACATATACACAACATCCCAAGCTATAAATAAATGCAAAAAAAAATCGAAAAAAAAAGTTGCCCAATGAGAAGACCCCCTTAAAGACTTGTGCTACTTTGATAAAAATTTGGGAAAGCAAATGAGAATTTATTTGGCCAATAATACCTAAAGAAGTTAATCTTTATTTAAAGGTACATATAAGATATAATATATAAGTGAGAATTGTTATTTCACTTTATCTTAATATAGCTATATCATGTTATAGTACATTTATACATATATGGTAAATAAGAGACAATAAGGTCAGAATTTCATCATAAAAGCCGTATACCAACTTATATTCAGATCAGTCTTTATAGAGTTTCCTGGCAGTCATGTGGCGTTTCGGAATACTTATTCTGTTCTGTAATTTTCTTTTTTTGGGAGCCCAAGTATGCTTTATTTTACAGATATGTGACAGCATCGAGGAAGTGAAATCGGAAGTGGCTGCTGTGCGGTGAATATTTCTGAAACAACCTCAAACATTATAATACAAACATCTTTCGTTGCAGGGAGGATCAAAAAATGATATCCGAAAACCAGACACTGATTTTGAAAAACCAATCGGACCTCAAGCTGTGCCGATGTATCAAGGGCGACCAAACTCCTGATCCGCGTGCCCAAGTACAGTCAGACCCCCTTCGAGGTGGCCTGCGATCAGGGGAGTCACGGCGGCGGCTGGACGATTATTCTGCGCCGAAACGATGGAAGCGAGGATTTTTACCGCGGATGGGTGAACTGCAAACGCGGATTTGGTCAGCTAAGTAACGAATTCTTCTTGGGATTGGACAGAATCCATGCAATGACTTCAGTAGAGCCACAGGAGATGCTCGTCCTTCTGGAGGATAAAGACGGAGTGAAGGCTTATGAGATGTACGATGACTTCAGAGTCGGACCCGAGAGTAACAACTACACCCTGGAATCGCTGGGCTTTGTCTCAGGAGACGCCGGTGATTCACTAACCGAGCAGTTCGGCATGATGTTCAGCACCAAGGATCGAAAAAACGACAAGAGAAAAGATGGAAATGCATGCGCTAAATTAAATACAGGTGCCTGGTGGTATGCGAATTGCCATAAGAGGTAAGACACTCCATTGACAAGATTTAGATTATGTTCAAAGCGATCTGTCTTTCCCTTAGCAACTTGTGTGGCAAATACGGCGATGATGGCTATGGAAGAGGAATAAATTGGTATACTTTCAGGGGTCATAAATACTCACTGAAGAGAGCCGTGATGATGATAAGACCGAAGACTTCGGCACTTAATTGAATTTAATCCAACCAAGGTGTAATTGTATTTTATTATAACTCAGCGCTAATAAATACGCTAATTATTCACTTTTGATATGACATGTTTTTCAGTTATAAGTTAAGTTTATTGCAAGTGCTTTTAACTAAATGCATAAAATGCCCAAAAGGTCTTTGTTCATTTACTAAAGTAAAATATTACTTTTAAATCTGATAATGAAAAGTTCCTAGAATTTTTTGGCAATGTATATAAATTTCAGAAGGATATTTACTAATCTTTATACGTCCGTGCGTATTGCCAATGCGCTGCTGAAAGAAATACAGCTGATATAAAATATAAAAAATATTATTTTTATGGGGTGACAAAAATAATTTATGGAATGGGTTCATATCAGTAGATAATATATCAATTTATTGAGCAACAGAACTATACGTTTTCGAATGGCAGAGTAACTTTCGATCAGTCTACATAGAGCGGCAGAACAGACATGTTGTATCTCGGAATATTACTTTGCCTGTTGGCCTTGAGTTCTTCTATAAGTCAGGACCAAAAGGATGTGTGTAATCTAATATACATTTGTGACAATGTTTCGGAATTGAAATCAGAGATGGCTGCTATGCGGTAATAATTAAAATAATAATTAAATAATTATGAAAATACTATAAAACTCTGTATAAGTAGTGAAGAGCAACAACACCAGACTGAGATCCTCGAGGGATTGACAGTTTCTGGAACCCTGTCGTATCCCTTAAGCTGTGCCGAGGTATCGAAGACCACCAAACTCCATATCCGTGTTCCTGAGTACAGTGAAGATCCCTTTGAGGTGGCCTGCGATCAGCGGAGTCACGGTGGCGGCTGGACCATAATCCTACGAAGAAACGATGGAAGCCAGGACTTTTATCTCGAATGGGAGGACTACAAACACGGATTTGGCCAGCTGGGCAACGAGTTCTTTCTGGGTCTCGATAAAATTCACGGTATTACCGCAGCTGAGCCCCAGGAGTTGCTGGTTCTATTGCAGGATTATGAAGGCACCAAACGATACGAGATGTACGATGACTTCAAGGTGGGCCCCGAGAGTAACAACTACACCCTGGAATCGCTGGGAATTGCCTCTGGAGATGCCGGTGATTCACTTACCGAGCAGTTGGGCATGATGTTCAGCACCAAGGATCGAAAAAATGATTTGAGAACAAATGGAGAAGAATGCGCCATAATATATACAGGTGCCTGGTGGTACGCGAATTGCCATGCAAGGTAAGATTGTTTGGCTATAATATTGAATTTGTCTAAAATTAAATTTCTTTCTCATTAGCAATTTGTGTGGCAAGTATGGCGATAACTCTCATGGAAAAGGAGTAACCTGGTATTCATTTAGGGGTAACGGCTACTCGCTCAAGAGCGCCATGATGATGATAAGACCAAAGACTTCGGCACTAAACTAAATTAAAATCAGCTTAAAAGTCTAAAATTAATAATAATTTGCGTAATCGTGAAGTTTTAAAGGTATTTTCATTGAAAAGTTCTCAGAATTATTTAGTTTTAGGTTCTTGCAATGATTTAATACTTAGGAAACCTTTTATATTTGTTTGTTTCTTCTAAAGGTAACCTCTTATGAAGCCAAAAACTTTGTAACTCGAATACCATATACCCTCTTTTACCCTGCGATTGCCAAGTATAAATGTTTACGAGTCCCTGTATTATTTTTCCTTGAGCCTTGTGCGATTTGTAGGGAGTTGTGTTGCCTTCCCTGCAGGCTCTCCCTGCTTGGCCGCCATGAATTATGAATTTATGCATTGAAAAAGGCCCCGAAAACAGCTGCGTGTGTGTGCCAGTGAATGAATTGGGCGTAAGTTGGGAGCGGAAGAGGGGGATCCACAGTCAGGGGCTATCATCTCTCATCGCTGAAAGGGAATTTTTGATACGGACCCGGGTTCCATCCCCCCCCGCCTTCTGGCTCGGCACGTTTAGGATTTTTCGTTGATTTGATTTTAGGCTTTGCCCCGCTGCAATGCCAAAAGCTTCTTGCATTCGATGGGTGGGTGGATGGGGAGGGGCTGGGCCAGGATGAAGCATCTCTTTTTCGCCTCTGAATTGCTTTTTGATATGCGCCTCAGCCTTGAGCGCGTTTTTCGCGACTTTGTAGAGGAGCGCGGAAAAACAGAAGCACATCGCACAAAAAAAAAAGAAAAGGCCATGGAAAATCTAGGAAAAACGTTTGCCAAGTTATTTTGGCTCAAATTTGAATGTATTTTATAACCATAGAGAGTGTTGGGGGAATGAGAAAAATGTTAGGGAACTTGTAAAAAGAAGTCGTACTGAAAGCTTAGATGTTTTTATATAATAATAATAATTAATAATTTAGAAAATTTATTTTGAGTCTAATTTTTCTTAAAGAAATTACTAAAATCTTTAGAAATACTCTAGTAAATTTTCAAAAAGGATCAAAGCTTCACATATATGTTTTTTCTTTCTAAAAATATCTAGAAAACATAGCCCAAATATTTATATATTTATTTTATATTATTTAAAAAGAAAATCTATTTCTTCAAATCAATTTAAATTGCTTTATTTTTTATTTAATAATTTAATAACCAATTTCATTTATTATTCTTACACTGCAAATTATCTAATTCTTTCCTTCAATTCCTTGGCTATATTTTTAGCTGATTGAAAACCAAATATATCAATCAATAAATGTCTGCCATTGTGGCATCCTTTATGGCTTTCTCCTTTACGAAACTATTTCCGCCGCTAACAAGGGCATTAAGAGTTCAGTTTCGCGGATTGTAAACCCTTTTATTTTTCCCGCATTGAGTGATTTTTGTTTTCTTTCATTTTGTTTTTGTGGGGAAAAGTCAGACGCCTGCAGCTTTTGAACTCGACGCGTTTTTCTTATGGCTGTTAATAGACAGTCGTGAGTTTTTTGAAGTGGGTCGCATTCGGATGCCTTCGTTTTTTTGTGCTCTGTTTGGTGTTTTCCCTGTGTTTTTTCCCATCTCTTTTTTTTCCTCTCGCACTTATTCAGTTTTCCAGCTTCGCTCAGTTGCTGAGTTATGACGGCGAACGTGCTTTTGAGCTTCTGTTTTTTTTTTTTTTGGGTATGTGTGTGTGTTGCTTAATATTTTTTAAAGGAGGCAGCATCTTAAAGATTTCACATGAATAACTAAAATCTATAAATTTTTGATTTCACTTTGCCAAAAAGAGAGGAAGAGCAACACTAAGTAAAAAATATTATTTTTCCAAGGCAGAAAATGCCAATAAGTTACAAGCAGCCAAAAAACTTGAGAGTCTTGGCTTCGATGAGGGATGATATATAAGAGGTGGGAGAAATGGGTGGGCAACTGGGGGGGGGTAAAGGTGCCCACAACAACAACAACAAAAATAAAAACAACATCAGCAGAAGAGTGGAGCTCAAAAATTCAGAGAACTCAAGCGGTAGAAAAGGGGGGAAAAAGTGAAGGGAAAAATCGGAGAACAGAGTGTTGCAAAATTTCATAAAAAACTTCAATGGAAAGTTTTTAGTTTTTTTTCACTTCTTTTTGGCTGGCTTTGTTGTTGTAAAACTTTCGAAAAATTCTTATTTAAACTCCGCTTAAATTGCAATAAAGTCGAAGTTGAAGAGAGTTTGAACTACAGTAAGTTTCATTAATTTAGAGACTAGGAAACAAAGTAAATATAAAATTTAATATATATTTATGTTATTTAAAAGTTAATAAACACAATTTTAGGTAGCCTTAATATTCATATAATTAATAAAAAATAAGACAGTTAAACAATTGTGGCAAATATCATTTCCAAACAATTATCTTTTTAATTGTCAATTATTTCTTTCATTGAACAGTTGTACTTTTAATTGCTGTCATATCGAATTTCACATAAAATAAAACAAAAAGGAAAACCTTTGGTTTATTTTATCATTTTAACCACTTGAAGCTTGACATTAGATGGACATTTGCCTTACAAATGTGATACGCACTGTAGTCTGAGGTTCCAGAGTTTTCATATTAAAACAAAAGTCCCCAAACAAGAAGTAAAAAAATAGTAAAAAAAAGCAAACAAAATTCCAAGTAACAATAGAGGTAAAAAATAAAAACTTGGCATATTGAAAACTGCAAGGGTCTAGCTTTGGTTGGGTGGAAAAATAAAGTAGAAAAAGGGGATTTCAAATATAGAAAAAATGCTGACAAACTGAATTTGATGCACAACAACAATAAGAGCTAGTGTAACAACAACAACAATAAATAAAGTAAAGTCCTCAACAAGGAATCAACAATATAAATATCAACAACAATAAAATGAACAAAAAGTGCACAGAGAAAAATTACATCAAGATGGTTTCAATTTAGAGATTATACATTATAATATAATTATATAATATGTATATAAATATATATGTATATATTATGTTATTATATTATAATATATAATTTCTTATCTTCACTCTCTCATATACAAATTTTTTGTTTCTCCACTTAGGTTCAAATTTTTCTCTATGCATTGGCTATGGACAACTTGTGGAAATTGACTTACGAAAATCTATTTGCTCAGCAACGGCATCCAATTGTCCATGCTCCACTTCCGTTTCCGCTGTGATCCAGTCGCCGCTGCCGCCGGCATTAGCCTCCAAACTGGCTGCCGCTTTCGGCGAGTGTAGAAATGCCTCACGAATGCGTTTCTGGCCAACGAGGCGGCTGAGGACACGGCTTCGACTGCTCTGCCGCTGGACGAGGGTCACGCCCACTCCAACGCCACCACCGCTGCCTACACCACCGCCTCCGCTGTCGATTCCCAGCCGCACTAGACTGCCAGCACCTGGCGTTGACTTTTCATCGCTGTTCGCTGCTCGATTTTGTGAATTTCCCATGTTGCTTTTGTTGGTATTATTGTTGTTATTGTTGTAGTTCCTGTTGTTGTAGTTGTGGTTGTTGTTGGGTTTGTTGTTTGTGTGATTGTTGTTGTAGTTGTGGTTGGTCTCGTTGGTCCTGTGGCTGCTGTCGCTGCTGCTGCTGCTGTTGTCGCTGCTGCTGCTGCTGCTGTGGTGATGTTGCTGCAAAAGAAGTTTACAAAAATCAATTAAAAAACTTTTCAATCAGTCGCATTGTTTGGTTCAGGCTTTTCACAATTTTTTCAACAGTATATTTTTTTACTGGTTTATACTCTGTAAATAGCAGGATATTTATGGACATAAGGGGGACTTGAAGGCACATATTTATACAATTTTTTAAAAATCAGTGTTAAAGTCTTGCCAATTGTTTTTTTAGTTGTGAAATTAATTAAATAGTATTGGAATTTGAATTTTTAATTCACAAACTGAGAAATAATAAACATTATTTATTAAAAAAAAATTATTTCAGGGAAATATCGTTATAGTTTATAAAGCAGGTCGAGATATTTAATAAACAAGGAAATTTGAATTAAGTTTAGGGTAATAACTTAAGGCCGGTAACTGTCAATTTATTTCAGGGATGCTAAAACCAGTTGTATGTGCACACATATGTTATGAAATTATTCGTCCCACAAATTTTAGGCCAAATTCTCCATGGTTTTAATGAAAAATTTACAAAGAAACCAAGTGAAATTCCCCATTAATATTAAGAAAGTTACTAAACAAGACAATTTTTCTTCAATATAAAAATATATTTTTATGGGTGTAAAAAACTTATAAAATGAATAATTTTCATAAAGCATAATTTAAGAGTTATTTCTCTTTAAAATATACAAAATATATATAATTTATTTCAAGCTTCTGGCTTTAAAGAGTATCCATTGTTTGCTTAAAAATAAAACTTAATTCTGGCATTTTTACTCCATCTTCCTTTCGAAAGGCTAGAAAACTTTTCTGTTGCGAAAATGTTGCAGAAATATGAAATGAATTAGTTGCCCAGGTAGCAGCACCAAAAGTGGGAGCGGTCTTCCCCCACCGATGATGGTTGACAAAAAGTTGCTACTTTAGTTGTTTGATTTCTAAAGGCAAGTTCGTTGTTCGGCGGAGCAACCCCGTTCTGCTGCGGCTGATTCTGGGAGCTGCTGTGTCAATAGCCGAGTGCCCGGGGGCCATGGCAATTGCAGTTGGCTCCTCGGCTGCTGAATGGGAAATCGTTGTACTCGCCCCCTACCCTCTGTCTCTTCGCCTCATTTTCCTCAACAACTGTAAATTGAACTTTTACTTTTAAGCAAGTTTGGACGACAGAAATTTTCCACCCATAATGATCATTAAATAGAGAGAGAGAAAGAGATTTACGGATATTCAGAAAGTTTTCCTTTACAGGTTTGCAAAATTATTTTCAGCAATTAGAAATTTAATTCGAAATGAAATAGCAATTTGTTGTGTTACTAATTTATCATATATGTTGGCAAAATTTAGATAATAGGGAGGGGAAATGTTAATTATAGGTGTTATAAGGTATACAAAATTATGGAAATAAATTAAGGCATTGATTTCAAAATAAATATTTAAAAAAATAAAACCGAATTAAAAGAATAAAATATTTAGACGAGGTAACAAATTATGGTATACATTTTAACATTCAAGGGAATAATTTTATAAAATTTAAAACAATTTGAAATTAACCTTTTTCACATCCTACAATACTTCCATCAATGGTCATGCCCAGTTATTTATCATAAAAAAAACTGAAATCATAAAGTTTACCATTAAAAAATGTTTCATTATTTTCCATTTAACAACTTCCCACCTATTTTTATACAAAAATGTTGCCTTTCCCCCAGTTCTTATCTATATCCCAAAGTTATTCCATTCCCAAACGATATTTTCTTATCTTCAAGTAAGCTTTTGTTGACGTTTTTTGTTGGCTATCTCACACCCGATAAAAGGCAGCACCCTTGATCATATCAATCAAGTTCAATGACTTAATATTTCGCACCTTCATGCTGAATTTATAACTTGTATTAATTAAATAACTAAAATACTCAGCGGAGAAGAGAAGCTCAAAATAAGAGGAACCTAGAGAGCGGAAGCTAGGTAGACAAAGCCTTTTGAAGTCTCACGGCTCTCTCATAAATCACAATAAAAACAAATTAGGGAATTTTTTTATCGGGGGTCACCACCTTGTTTTTATTAGGCCTCGAAAAATGGTCGACTAATTGAAATACTCAAGGAGCGGGGGAGTGGGAGTGGCCGTTCTAGGCCCTCCAAAGGGAGGTGTTAAAAATTGTTGGCCAAAATTAATTGGCAGCAATAAATTGCTCGCTGTTGTCCGCCCACGTGACTCATTTACAATTTTCGTTTTGGCCAAGTCTTGGTTGCTCTCTCCCTCTCTTTTTTCGTGGGTTATTTTAAGGTTTTTTTTTAGATTTTTTTTAAGAATAATTATCAAAAGCAAGACAAGTATTCAAATACCTTAACATTATATTAAAAAAGAGTAAACTAATAATAAATAAATACAAAAAAAAAATGCTTTGAATGCTTTAGTAAAAATACTGGATAAGAAAAAACTATACAAGAAAATCCTTCTTTTTTTAAATAATAAAAATTAAATATAAAAAAATATGTATACTATATAGTAGTATAAATTTGTAATCATTAAATATTTAAATAATTTTTCTGCATTATTTTGACATATTTTATCCCAGTAATTCCAAAGTATTTTAAATTACTTGGGCCTCAAAGGAAATTTCACCGCAGCTAAATGTTTTGTGTCCTTCAAACAAATCAGTTTTCAATTATGAAAAGAAAAAAAATATATAAAAAAATATGCCATAATGAGGGGAAAAGTGCGATGGTAATGGCTCGATGGGGCGGATGAAAAGCGGCTTTTCCCAAGGAAAAAGCACGCGAAACACATTTTCTTAATTGTGTCAAAAGCGCAATTTTCTGCAATTTGTGTAAAGTAAAAGTGAAAGTGAAAGCAAGGCAAAGCACAAAACGCACACAAATACTAAAAACCTAGCTTACGCATCTAAAAACTCACACAAACACACACACAGACCTACCAATGAGAAAGAGAGAGTCGTCAAAGCGTAGCTCTCTCTTTTTCTTCCGGTGCAATTTGTTTTGGAAAATCTGCTTCCTCCTTCAAGTTGACACCTTCCGAAGGAACAAAAAAAGAAACAAAACAAAAACGGGCGCGGCAAACTTGAATTTCTCTCTGTTGCGTGGATTTTTCCCCCTTTAGTTTTCCTGTTTTGTGTTGTTTTTGTACTGCCCTAATGCGTCAGTTTCGTGAGGTTTTCTATTTCCGCACTTGGGCCACCGCACTGCCCTACAATTTCACCGATTAGTCCACGAATCCGGCGATTTCCGTTTCCGTTTTAGCATTTCTAGCGTTACTTTTGGTCGTAACAAACAATTATTATTGGTTATTTAATTGCAAAATGCAGGAAAAGCTATGAAATGCAACTGCAGCTGTCAGATGAAGTGTCACAACAAAGCGAGCCGAGTGGAAAATCGGCAGGCGAAGGGTAGCCGAAGGGACAACCGAAGGGAGAGCCGAGCGCCATCAGCTGACTCACACGGTCCTAGGACAACAAAAAACACACGAGAGCCACGAGGCAGCTGTGGGAAAAATCGATGGCACACTGACTGTGAAAACTCTGAACAAATCGGCGAAGCTATCTCTCCGAGAATGAGAGAATCCATCGCTGGCAGAGAGTAAAATCGGGGAGAGCAAGCGACAAACTAGTGCCTGATAACAGCTGAGCGCATTTGTTATGGTTTTGTTTATTATATTTTTTTTATATTCGTAGAGTTTTTGGCAAGGGTGGCGGGTTTTAGGGGTCTTGAGATACCCTACTTTAAGGAGGTTTTTGAAAAAAAATTATTAAAACATGATAGCATAATTATTTTTGATAAAAAATGTATTCGTATTATATTCATAAATTATTCAATATTATAAATACTTAACATTTTATTCCAAAATTTATTCAAAATTATTCAAATTGTTTTAAAAATTAAAGAAATACCATTTAGGTTTTATAAATTGTTCAAATTTGAATGGAAATATTTTAAATATTTATTCGAAAACGTACATATTTATAATTATTCCAATTGTCAAGATCGAAGAAAACCTTTTAGGAATTAAAAAAGTATTTTAAAAATCTTAAATAAGAGTTGTTTTTGAGCTCTTAAACCCTGAATTGATTTCATTAACATAACCCCTATCTTATACCACATTCTTGATACCCCTAAATCTCAAGCTATATCCCAAAATATAACCCCTTAAGCATCAGTCAATGTCTATTAGTGACCACTGAGATTCTAATTGCGTTTTCAATTCCAATGCCGATCGATCCCCTTTAATTGTAGCTCACATCTCAAGTCCGGCAAATCGAATCCGTTGGCTCATTAGCATCGCCGGTTCAACGGGGATTTAATTTCGGGGTTACGACAACGTGACTCATTGTACGCTGTCCGGTGGCACACAAATCGCACACAGATACTAAATACAGAGACACAGCCGGTCCCCGGGCAATTGCAATTGTGATTTTATGAGCTTTTCCGGGCCTGGCTTCTGTGGGGGCTTTTAGAGCATCGATAGCTTCCAGCTTCTGGCGGTGGGTTTACACAGGAAAAAAAAAGTATATATTACGTATAGTGGTATTTATAAGTTATTTTATTATAATATCATCTGTACATTAAAATCCCCCTTTTGTTCATTATATATTATTAATATTTGTTTCTTTTTTTACATTTTTATTATATAAAATTTTGTAGTTAAAAGTTTTTTGTACCCCCTAATTTTTCCTAGTTTATCAACGCTTATCAAGTCCACCTCTCGCACGCTCTCTGTTTTTTTATACTCTCTTTTTAACCTTTGGGCAGTGCGAATAAACGAACTTTGCATATAAAAAAAAAAGAAATACACACAAATTCTATTTAACCATTTATAAAATGCAACAATAAAATGTTTAGCTCGACTTCAATGAATCATTAAGGAGGAGAATTTAAGCGTAAACGATGACATGATGCCACATTTTGTATGAGACTTTTTAAGGTATTTCCCCAAAACACCTTTGTAATATAAAACAATTAAAAAAATTACAAATAAATTAACACTTACTTTAAAATGACATTTTATCTCCAATATATGCACTGACCAATATATAGTTGCTGTCTTTATAGATATAAAACTAAGGCCCCAATTCATTTTTTTTTACACCTATAGCTAAGTTATTTTTTATGTTATCATATTTTATATTAAAAATGGTAAACTGACAAATATAGCAAAGTTGACATAGATTGATTGCTTTTTTTTTGGGAAATTATCGATAAATAAATAGGTAAAAATATAAAAGCATTTAATTAATCGAAAATAAAGGCTTAAATTTTTTCAATAAACTGTTTAAATAATGTAACTTATATATTTTTAATATAAATTCATACCAAATAGTCTTAATACCTTTCCTTGGTTAGAGCATTTAAATCGTATTATCTGTACTTTTGTTTCCTTTTATTAAGTGTTATTTTATTTATATTTTTTTATTCTTGGTTGGGGCGTTAATTTTTACCCGACTTTTCGCACATTTCTCGTTTTGTTTTTGTGGTGATGTTGCATGTGTGTGTCAATTGAGTGATTGTTGTTGCTGGTATATGTATTGCTCAGCTGATAAGCCGTTTATTGCTGCCTGCTATGGCACTTTGATAAGAGCAGACTTACCGACGGACAAACGGACAGACGGACACACGCTCCCCCATGGGTCACGTTCTCTGTACAGAGGTAAATCCGATTAGAATTATGCATTTCGTAACTCATTAGCCGACTCAGTTTGCGATTTGTTGCAGTAACGAAGCAGAAACGGCACTAAGGCAAAGCCTTTTTAATTAGCCCATGAAAGATTTCCCATTTTAATTGGACTTAATGCATGCCGGGGAAATCCCACGAAAACTTTCTTACTCAAAATGTTGCAGCTTGGATTTTAATTAATTTTACACGACACATCTTCGGTGTGTGTTGAGGCCTTGGGAATGCATTTTGACACATTGTTTGACAAATTGCCAGACGCTGGGGACCCACAGATACACTCGCTGCCAGGAACAAAGGACGACACGCGCTGTGGCAACTCAGGAGGGACAGAGTGACAGAGAGAGAGGGAGAGAGGAAGTTGGCGCAGGAGTTGCAGGTAAGAGAATCATCAAAGCTAAACTTGAAGGCAACTTGTGTCGTTGGCGCACAAGTTTAATGCCAAAAGGCAACGCAAAGCTGCCTGGGAAGCGGCCCACAAAATCGAGAGATACAGAGACGGCCAGCCAAAGGGGTTAAAGAATATTTTGTAAATATAATTTAAAGTTTTAAAAATAATGAAACAAATTTTGGCACGATTTTTATTATTCATGAGTCTAAGAAATTATATTTAATGCTTATCAATTGCTGTATTTGTTAATTGTTTTGGAAACAATATTTTATCATTATTTTGAAATGATAGAATTTTATAGAAATTTTTAAGTAATTCAATATAAAGATTTTCCCATACAATCAGACCCCCTTTCGCCAGACCCTGTTGCCCCCACACACAGGTGCAGTGATAGTAACAATGTTGCACAAACTGCTCTTTCTGCCAACGCTCAAAATGGCGCCCGCAACAGGGCGTATGAGCAACGTCTGAGCCAAGCACAAATGGCAACAATGGCGACTCTAGCAACGACGACAACAAAAAGAACAACAATTATCATCTGGCCGAAGCATCCAATACGCTCTAGGGGAAGCTAAAACGCTGACAAACCCAGCGCACACCCCTTTTTAGACACTGCCCCCAGTCCGGGTTAAAACCCACTCATCACCCCCCCCTGTCATTGGATCTCCCATGACAAAGTCAGTTATGGCCAATAAAAAGCAATGCGAATCGGGGCCAGCGATTGGGATGCTGCGATGGCAGCCACTGGTTTTTGGGATGATAAAAGCGAGGATACAGTGACAAATTGATTTAAAAAAAATATTACAACAATTAAATTCAAATTATTTAATAACTAAAAATGTCAATAACAGAATAACATTTTTATTATTAAATTCTTTAATTTTTAATAATGTTACAAATGTAAATTGACATTTAAAAAAATGAAACAATTTTATGTCTTTGGGTTTTTATTATTTAATAAATTTTAATTTAGAATTTTTTAAATTTATTTTCTCTGTGTACCTCTCCAACCTTGACCAGTGGCCGACAGATGGCGCTCTAGTCCACAGCCTGCTTTTGCCCTAGAGATGATAGCGTGAAATTGCACGAAATTGGACAAAAATGTGGGGCTAGACGGGAGTGGTGAGGCAAATCTGCCGGAGGAAAGAGAGCCTAATGAAAGGAGGGTGTTTTGCGGACAGCGGGAATTAGTGTGTCCAAAAAGGAGCAGATGCATCACGTTAATGCATTCAAAAACAGTTGAAAAACGAGATCAAAGGTTAGACTTTTTCGTTTTGGTGCTGAGATAAAAAAGCATTCCTGTAATGACAATCATATAATATTCAAAATTAAAACCAATATTTAATAATACTCCTTATTTTGTTCTGTAATTTTTTAATCATCAATTGAAGGTCCATTCCTGGGCTATATAGATATACTCGAGAGTCCTGTCATAACCCCCAATTTGATTTAAAATGGTTAAAGCCAACCCAGAATGCAGTTGATGCAGGGAAACTTGATCCCTGAGCGCCACCGAAATTGACTTCCAAAAATTCCAAAATTGCGTGTGTCCCGAAAAATTACTAGAAATTCAACCGCAATTTTGGCAGGGACCCCACACACACACTTCCTCATACACGAAAGCTGACCGAAAAAATGTACCGTGTGTTGCGACGAAATGAGAATTATTTTAAATTATAGTCCCGCGCCACCCAATAGCCACCGGGAACCACCACAACCACATGTTAGCCCAAAAATGCCAGCGACAGGTTACCCAAAATCATTCGGGTTCAACCGAAAATACATTTTGGACATTTTGTAGATACAAGTGGATGTAATGTATTTTTTTTTCTTTGTATGGTGTTAATTTTAGGTGTGAAAATGAATGAATTATTTGATTCTGACTTGCGTATTTTGTAGTAAAGTACATACAAATAATAAATAATAAGAATAAATGTTCTATTTAAATTAATTAAATAATACATTTACATACATACATTTCTTCCATGATTCTTTTTAAAAGCTATAACCAAAATTCCTACGGCAGCTATGTATGTACATTATTTAGTCGTCCGATCTAGCACTGTCCGATTTAAATACTCACATACAAAATCTATCTGCAAAGATCCATTCAAATAGCTTTTAAACTAAGGGAATTCAAAATAATGTATTAAACAATGATTATTTTTTGTTGTGTATAATTTTTTATATTTACTATATTTTTCTGTCTCCTACATAAGTCCATACATATTTGGCGTAGACCTACACAA